CTTAGTAAATGGATTTACCATTAATAACCTTTGCCATAACAATTATTACCTCCATAACAATCTTACATGTATATAAATAATAATAACCTTATTTAAATGAATTAGCAAATGCTTAATCAAATTATTTTGTTTAATAACCAGTTCATCATTTACCTTAGCAAATAGAATAGTCTCCATACCATACACTATAGTCTCCATAAAATATGACATCAACAATGTATTATCAGGAGGAAGAATAGGATGATGGATTAAATGAGATTGACAGAAAGATCTAACAAGCATTAAAAATGACTAGGGATACTGAAATGAGAAATAAATAAACACCGAATTACTATTGACATAATTATTACAATATGATAAATCCTTAGTTATATAAATATGATTTACTCGCTCAAATTTCTAATTTCTCAAGTTTATTTTAAATCGTAATTATATTTAATAAATAAAATGTTTATATAGTGAGAATTGCAGACTTAATATTGGTTTTTATAAATATTGTGTAACTATGTGAAAATACAAAGGAATGATTAGGTTTTGTGATGTTTTCTGTGCAAAGAGTTATAATTACATGATGTGAACTTAGATGAATAGAGAATGAAATCATATAAAAATGAAGAAAAAGTCATGAGGTGTTGGGATAATATTTAAAACATTTATTGGCATCGATCAATTTTATCTATGAGGTGCTTAATGTAGTGAAATATTAAAAAAAATTCATTATTTTCAAACATATTCATTAAATTTATTTATAATTATTTCCATTATTGAGTGATTTGAGAACTCTAATGGTTTGTGTAGACAAGAAACAATCATATTTAAGATTGGATGAAGGGCTGAAAATATTATTTTTATAAATTTTATTGATCTAATGAACGCTTGCGTCATAATGAAGGATAATACCTCATTCTTAATAACATACATTTGACTCTATGGTTCAGAAAAATAAATATATTATGAGCTATTCTACCACAGATGAGAGATTGATGGATTCACCCAAAAGAACGGAAAGCACTGAGATCTAATCTGACAGTTAAATGTTTAAGAAGGGATTTAATCCGTCATTCCTGGGAATTTAATAAACATCGAAAGTCACTGTACTTAATCTAGCTATTTTTAGGTGTCTAGGAGATATCTCGATACTAAAACTCATGGAGTTCAATTATATTATTAAGAATTTACTCCTTAGATTGTGGATGCTCAAGTAATTATAGTCCATGGATTTGGTGAACATTCAGGAAATTATCAATAAGTAAATTCAAATTTTATTCGTTCTAGTTGACAGATTCTTTTCTGTTCAATAATTTTAAAGTTTACCTCTATGACCAAAGAGGATTCGGTTATTCTGGAGGCATAAGAGGGTAGGCGACAGTTGAATAAATGCACATGGATTTAGACACCGTTTTACAATTGGTAGATAGATCAGTTCCTTTATTTATATTTTGTCATGCTCTTGGGGCTTCGATGGTGATCAGTTTCTGTTTAATGAATCCTTCATTTCAATTTTAGGGACTCATTTGTAGTAATGCTCAATTACGAGTCCCAGCCAAATATGGAAAATTTAAGATGCTCACTCTCAAGCTCATGACAAAACTATGTCCTGATCTCTAAGTCAACACATACCACAATTTATCATATGCCTCAAAAAATAATCATCACATCAAAAAACTTGCAACTGATCACCTCATGCATCCTTATATGAGCATCCAATTTGCATACAATGTACTTCTATTTCAGCAATTCATCTTGCCCAATGCAACGAAATTCAGAATCCCCATATTGTTATTGCATGGAAAGGAGGATAAGGTTGCATCTCACTTAGATTCCCTTGACTTCTACAGGATCATCTAATCCAAGGAGAAAACACTCAAAATATTTGACTAGGGATTCCATGAGTTGCACAATGATTCTGAATGGCCTAAGATGAAAATACTCATCACCCAATGGTGTACGAAAATGTTAAGCAAAGATATCAAAATGTCATTTATGAGGGAACACAAATTTGGAGTGGTTGTTAAACAATACAGAAGCAAAATTAGAATCATTTTGACAATTCTTCTAATTTTATTCAGAAAGTAATTGATTTTATAAATTCTATTAGAAAATATGTTTGTTTAAAAACAAGTACTAAACTTAGCATCATAATCTTCATAGAGTTACTTCTTAGAGTGTTCATTCCTAATTGAATATTTGTAAATTTTTATATATATACTAATTAATATATATAATGAAAAATAACAGATAAAATTTTATCGATTTGATCATCCATCTTCTCGATTTGGAAGAACAAATAGAAAACACCAAGATCCACATGACTTCAAATGAATACTTCACTCTCTACAGAGCTTTCCAAATAATTGACGAACACAACACAAATTAAATAACCCCAGAAGCAATTTCAAAATTAATTTCTAAACCTGCAGAATAATGCACCCTACTTATTGAGTATTACTCTGAATTCAAGGATAACAAGTTATCCTTTGCTAACTTCATGAATTTGTGTTTGCCAAGAAGTAAACCCCAATTAAGAGCACAATTGACATAAAAGCTCTAGAAAACGATAGGTTCACCTGAGGAGTAAGAACTAATAAAGGAACACTTATCTATTCTGATAGCAAATGAAATCCATTTCTTGCAGTAGATTAAGAAATATCCGATTGAAATAGAGGGGTTGTTAGGGTACCCATTCAAACAGAAAGATCTAAATTAATTAGTAAGTGATTTTGGATATAAAATAAATACAGAAGCAATTTGGAAGAGATTGGATTTCGATTAGAATGGGGTTGTCACATATGAGGATATGAAGAAATTGTTTAGGGAGTGTGAATAAGGTATGAATGAAAATGAAGAGGCAAAGGATAAATCAAGAAATAAGAATACAAAATTGGGGTGGATAAACAATAAAGTATGTCCGTATCATTCGTATACAAAATAATTTAGAAAGAGTATTCAAAATTTCTATGAATTTGAGAAATAAAAAAGTATATTGAGGTAATGAATAACAAATAGCAAATAGATAAAATGAATGGAAATAGATAAGAAGTTTTTTATATTTGATAAAGGAACACAGTTAGATCTATTTGTAGATAGATCAATTGTTGGAGAAATTAAATAAATATGATACTTTGAGATTGTTTGAATTGTTAAGCATCAACGATAGATTGGAATTCCAATATTTATAAAAAAAGATATAGGAAATTGTGGGATAGGAGTTTTTATTGGATTATTCGGATGTAGAATAATTGATGAACTTTTTTGGAGGACATAGTTATGAAGAATTCAAACACTCGTTAGAATGCAGTAGGGTATTGGAGAGAAAGCAACCCATCAATATGAATGTTTTGAAGATGCTATTCATAAAATTGATATTGTTATTGTAATTAAGTAGATATTTGAAATAATAATACAAAAAGAAGGCTTTGATATAGAACAAGGACTTGTTGAATGAATTCGGGGAGTTTTCTTAGTCAAATATTTTGTTGATGGCAAGAAAGGCCAAGGTGGAATTAAGCTTGGAAGAAGTGAATGGGTTTTTTAAAGGTCAGGAGGTTTTGGAAGTTAGGAATGTTATGAGTTTTTTGAAATGATTTATAATATATAAAATTATGGAAGAAATTGTGACTGGAGAAGATGATGTCGAGCCGTAGTTTGCATTTATTACACACACCCGAACAACTCAATACCGTATTTCAGTGATGAAGAATCGAATCGAGATCGCTTCTATTAATAGCCTAGATTAAATTTAAGTTGTATTAAGCATAGATTAAACGATCCATTGGCTGTACGATGAAGGTCAAGAAATAGCTTTTGGATTCAGATAGGGATACTTCATTAATTATTATTATGGAGAGAGGAGTGAATTGTCTCAATTTCGAAAATTGATTGGGTGTAAAATTTCATTTGGAACTTTTAAACAAGATTATTTGGTGGGCGACTTATTGGGAAAAGGCACATTTTCAGAAGTATAAGTTCTACTATGACCAGGTGACAAAGGTGACCTGTTTAAGGGATGGCAAAGAGTATGCTTTAAAGAAAATCAAATTGCGTAACGAGGCTCATTTAAAGAATATTGAAATTGAAGTTGCTATCTTAAATAAGCTAAATCATCAAGGCATCATCAAATTACACGACGTCTACAGGTTAAATGATGAAACCTATGGGTTAATTACTGAATTAGTCATTGGATAATCGCTAGATTCAATTATCAACAAGCAAAAGGTTAGTATTTAGGTTAAATATTAGTAAAAAAAGAGCAAACTTGAAGAGAGAGACATTTAAATGATACTTAAATAAACTCTTGAAATCGTTGATTATTTGCATTAGAATAATATAATCCATAGAGATATCAAACCATAACATATGATTTTATGTTAAAATAAAACGATTAAAATACTAGATTTTGGTTTAAGTTCTAATGAGAGTCAAATGTCTTGCAATTGTGGTACTCCTGGGTATTTACCACCTGAATCATTTCGAGAACAATCGTTATACACATCCAAAGGGGATATATTCAGTTTGGGAGTTGTTTTTTATAAGTTATTGAATAGAGGAGTCAGTTGTTTCGATGCAAACACACTCGAATCAGTAATGAGTAAAAATAGGCGTTGCACCATTGAGTACCAAATCAATGGATACTCATCTTAGGCTCTGGTACATTTTTGAAATGAATTCTAAGCATTTGCTCAAATAAATGCTTCAAAAAGATCCAGTCATGAGAATCAATTCACACGATGCACTGAATCATACTTATTTCACTGTCCCCAGGGAATCCCAGAATCTAAAGGAAGATAAAGGGAATATTTATGTTTACTAAGCTCATCCCAGGCCATCCCATTTATCAAGGACAAGTAGCGGTGAGTTAGAGAAAACTTCAAAATGATTGTAAATTTTTATAAAATATATGTTCATGATATATCTTTTCTTCGATTTCTTTAGGTTCTATTCCTTTTGGTCTTCTGGGGAACTGCGTATCGGATTGCAGAGTTATTTTGAATCCATGGAATTTGATTGAGAATAACTCTGCAATGGGGTTGGATGTTTATAGTATAACCCAATTGTTATATTAAAGATAAAATTAAACAACAAATTTAAGAAGACAATTTACAAAATACTAAATTTGTAATTATAATAATCGAGCATTTATCAATTGAAAATCATAATTATTTTTATAATGTTAACATACACAGTCATGATAGACGAGTATCAGACTATTGATGATAAAGTTTACTATTAGATCAACATTAATTGTTTAGAAGGACATAGGAAGATTTCCAAACGATATTCTGACTTGAAAGCATTGAATGATAAAATAATAGAAAAAAATTCTAACTTTAAACTTCATTTAAATTTGCCTTAATTTCCAGGCCGAAAGATTTTTGGAAGAACCAAAAATTCTGTTGCAGGAATTAAATAGAGAGTATTTTATCAATTCTATATAGGGAAAAGAATTATAGAAATATTTGGAAGAGGTTTTGAACATTAAATAATTGCAATCATTTTAATCAATTAAAGAATTATTGCCTCATCAACAATTATATTAAGAAACTCTTTAGTTAACTCGTAGTGGTGAATATGATAAAGAAGTTTGTTGGCTATAAATGGATGAATTAAAGCGATCTTTTTTAGAGAGACAAGAAAATAAAACGCCAAAAAACAATAAGTCTAAAAGCAAGTCTAGCTTCAATACTACTGGATATGTGCAGAGATATCATTTTAGTATTGATGATTATGAAATTCAGTAAGATGTAGTTTTATATACAATAACATTGACAGATGCCAAAAAGACAACAAATTATTAATTTACGTCAAGATATAGTGACTTAAGGGAATACCATAAACTGCTTAAAAAAGAAAATCTAAAAGTTGTGTTACCTGATTATCCAAAAAGAAAGATCATCTCTCAAACAAATGAGAATCCACTTTTCATATAAGAAAGATTGGAACAACTTTAAAAATATCTAAATGACATATTTGCAATAAAGGAGTTAGTGTAGAGTGAGCCTTTGCAATACTTTATCACGAGAATCAAATTGGAAGGTAAACCCATTCGTGTAGGCCCAGTTCAACAAAAACAGTAAATTTGTACTAGTTCAGTCTTATATGAGAGTCAAGAGAACTTGCCTGAAAGAAAAAGCTCGTTTTGAAATTGACTAAATATTAAATGTTTATTGCTTTTTCTTATAATTTAATTTTATAAATATTATTTTACATAAATCACACGGAATGGGATGTATATGTTAAAAAGAAACCAAACAATAAGAGATTAAACAATATGACCAAAAACTGCAGCAAATTGTAACAGTTCCAGTCTTGTATGATCCAAAAACTAATCCAATAATGAAAAGGAGATTGCAATAAGATGCCCAATCAGAATAAAATAGAACACCAACAAGATTTTGAATTAAATATGATGTACTAGAAATAATTATTTCAAACTCTTAATTTTTACTTTACCAAATCCCATAATCTTGGATAATCTTTCTTTCCTCTCTTAACTTCTAAATCAATAACTACACCCATGGCTCTGTATCTATCTAATAAAGGATAGGTCTTCTCCTCATACTCCTTCATTCTTTGTTCAATGACCTAATCATTAATTCAATGAATTACTTCTTTCTTATCATCATCTCTAACCACCAATTTACCACCACATGCATCACAGATGCCTTCCTTTTTTGGATTTAATGGCTCCATAACATAGCCATCTCTGTTGATATCGCAAATGTTGAAAGCTGTGCCACAACCCACACATGTACGACGACTTACATATTGTTTTTAAATAGTACGCAGCTAATTTCTCAAGCAAAATATCAGCTCTTAGAGTTACGTTTACAACAACGTTTGTTGGTAAAATTTTTTCATACAAATCCAATTGTCTCAAAGTTCTTGGGAATCCATCTAAAATTACTCCCTTTGCAGACTCCGGCTCCTTTAACTTTTCCTACAAAATATTCATCACAATCTCATCTGACACAAGACCACCCTTTGCAACAATATCCTTTATTGTGGCAATTAATTTTGGATCAAATGATTTGGATGTATTCCCTTTCAAAATCTTACGAATTTCATCCCCTGTCGAAATGTGATTAAACTTAGTATCGTTAATCAATAACTTTGCAAATGTTCCTTTACCAACCTAAAATCATATTAGTTAACTTTATTACTCCTGGGGCACCGAATAAAACAAGGAATTATTATCCAGGTTTAGCAATACTAGCTGCATATCTTATTATGAGATTTTTCATATCCAATATATATTTATTTAATGAAATAATCACTCTTACCTTAACGTATGAAATTAAAAACGAAATCCAAAAGCCAAAAGAAAAGCTTTCCTTCCTCTTAAAATTAGAAGTCGATATTCTATTGTTAACTAAAAATATAAAAATACACTCATTTTTTTATATAGATTGTTTATAATCAATAAGCTTCAAAACTAATTACTTTTATTTTCTCTTATCCTACTTAATCAGCTGAGATGTTTTCTCCATTTAGCGTGAATTCTGCTTATAATTTATTTCTTACATTTCTGCTAAATTTAGATTGAAGATGTTAAGTGTCTGTCATTAAAATAAATATTCCATTAAGTTATCTCTATAATATTTCAGTCTCAATATGATATTTTAATATTTATGTATTTATAAAAAGTGTGAAGTTATATTAGGGAGATGTTCACAAGTAGATCTATGAAATTATATTAATATTCGTTTTATTTCAACTAATACATAGGTTCTGATGATCCAGCAACCTTCATTTATCTTATTTAAAGTAGCATAGTTCTAAAAGAATGATAAAATGTAATATAAAGATTATACTAAATAATGCATTATGAAAGAAATTGATAAAAATAATATTTTCTATATTCAGATTATTTTTCAACCTACCTCATTCAGACAATAATACTATAATATTAATTATTTGAAGAACTACATAAAATTAATATCAAATCTTCATAATTTAAGTTCTTCATTTTTAAATTGATTAAATTTAAATTAACTTAAAATCAATAAATAAAGTCACCTGAAATTAATTAGATAATTAAATATCAAATAGATGAGAGATTATTTTATACTAAAATTAAATATATAATTTTATTCAATAAATATCAACTCCATCATAGAATAACGACCTTGCTATTTTTTTATGGTATTTATGAATATTTTTTCTTAACTCCTTTAGTATTTCATCTTCTAGAAAATCACCTAGTTTTGATTTAATTAAATTGTTAGGATTTTAGATACTAATTTAACTCTTGACAATAAACTCATCTAAAATGTTGAGCCCTTACCTGTAAAATTTACATTCTTCAATCTTTTAGAGCGGGATAAAATTCTTGTAAAAGTTTTTTATAACTACTTAACTTTAATAAATAATGTCTTCTATTATATTTTGATAAGATGAATTTAAAATTTAAATGATATTGTCTTTATCATTATAACGAGTTGATAATTAAGGAAATAAGGATTTATGTATGGACTATTCATATTTAAATATAGTATTTTGTAATTCTGTAAAATCAAACTAATTTGATAAATTAGAATTATTTCCAATTTATTTTATATCATTTAATGCTTCTGTAATCTCTAAGACATAAAAGAGGTAATCTTCAAAATAACTTTTAGTCTTAAGCTATACAAATAATTCATAAAACCATTTATCAATATTTAGTTCTCTTGCTAAATCTTTTATTGAAAGCTCTGTACAATTAGTGTCATTTATGAATTATTTCTCGCTCTTTATCGCCCAATTTAAAAGGATATTTCTCAAAAGAACTCCATTAGATTTTCCAAATTAGCCTTCAAACTCATTCTCACTTAGTTTTGTATTTTTCAAAAATTTTTCAATTAACTTTGGATTATATGATCCATCTCTTTGCTACTCCTCTCCAATTTATTTTAACATTTGATTCAATTTTGAAATGAGTTGCTCACCATTTCTCTCAAAATCGAGATCTATCATTTTTAATTAATCATCTAATTAAAGTAATTATGAGATGACTTTTTTAGTGCATTGAAAGTCAGGGGAATCATAAATCCCTTTATCTGTAGACAATTTACTGAACATGGAAAAAAAGGCTTTAAATTCTATCTAATTGTTGTATTTAGATGATAAAGGTTTAGAGACCCAAATCCATGTATTTTGGCAATTTATTTAATTATGCGATATCTTTGATTTTTGCAACTTTATAAGTGCTTCCAAAATTTTAATTGATATTAGTATTATTTGACTATTACTTATTGCCAAGATGTTCTTTTCCTATATTAAATATTTCTGTTATTACTTTAAAATATAGTAGGTCCTTCAAGTTTATGTATTCATTTGATGGAAACGAATAAGTGACTATATTTTAGAGATAATAAATGCAAACAATTTCATCATTTAATTCTTCAATAAGTTACAAGTGCTCCTCATTAATATCTTTAGAATTGTGAAAGTGATATTAAGTTAATGCAAGGCTTTCCATAGCAAATTTTATTGAAATTATTCAAATCAGCAGAAATGAATTTCTATTAATGTAGAAAATTATGAAAATGGATAAGAAACAGAAAGAATTAAAAAATAATGAAAAATTACATTATATTGAATTAGAGTCATGAAAAGCAGTCAAGAAATACATCACTTTCTTCATTAGGTTCCTAATGTTACGATAATTGTTATAGTTACCTCCTAGAATACATAAATATTTCTTTCGCTTATATATTGATAATTTTTGCTTATAATTTCATGTACAAAATATTACTCATCCTAATATAATGAATTAATATTACATCATCATTTCCTACCCACTCTTATCCTCTCCACACATAAACCTGCAAGACTTATTTATTAATTTCTTTTATTAAGATGCATAACTGAGATTGATCCAGATCCTCTAAATCGAACATCAATAGATAATCATCTGAATTTGGATAAATGTAAAATGCCTTCTTTTCAACATGAACCTCCTCGACCCTGTCTGAACTATATAATTAAATATTGGATTCTTTTTCTTTATTAAATTCATTCTCATCAACTTCTTCATACCATTGATCCCATTCTCTTATTTTTTAGCAAATCACCCCAGGTTTACCAACTATTCCCCATAAACCCCAAAACATTTCAGATTCATTTTCAGCTTCCATCAATATGGGTTGTATATTGGGGGCCTTTTCAAATTGCTTCAAAAATTTAGTATAATCAAGGGCATATTGGATGAATCTAATTTAAAAAAAAGAATTACTTTTCTGTCTTATTACATTCAGGTCCAATCCACAAATACAAATCATGTTCTGAAAGCACTAAAAAGACTCCTCGACTATCAAATGTTCTCAACACCTTGCCAGAATACAATTAATCCATAAGCATTCTGCATGCAATACTTTATGGTCCACTAACTCCTCTGCCAACTGCGAATACTCTTGGAGCAATAGGTATACTATCATATGAGGCTTGTAATCTCTTTTGAAATAGCAACAATTAAACTGTAAATCCCATATTAGGCGATGCTACTCCTCTATTTTTCTTAATAATATCGAATGCTTGAGAATAAGTAATTTATTAGGAAATGATTAAATAAGCTATACACAGGGATACAGATCTTGATACTCCCTAAACACAATGAATCAACACTTTTCCATTATTTTTTTTCGCATTTTCAATGATGGAAATAACTTCATAAAATAAGCATTCTATATTTTCTGTCTTTGAATCCTTCAGATAATAAGTTTGATAAAAGAAATCATCAGGATACTTATTTTTACATACATCTCCAGCACAATTGACTACATGAGTGACTCCAATTTATTTCAATACCTCTTTATTGTAAGCAATTTGTTCCCCTCCAACATAAAGAAAATTAGGAATTACAGATGAGCATTGTTCTGCAAAATGTTAAATTTTTAATTTTTTCCTATCTGTATCTCTGATATCGAAATTGAATCCATTTGAATCCTCTTCTTCAATATCTTAATATGTGGTATCATCTCGTTATAATTTCAGACTTGCTAATGGCAATTTCATAGGTTTTATTTTTTCATTGTCATTGCACTCAACTCCCTCTACTAATGGAACTCCTATACTGACTTCTTGAGAATGAGTCTTGCAATTTAAATCTAGTTTAGGAATGTTTATTGCAGGAACTTTGCTTTTTATTTATGCAGGTAAATTAAATTAAAATGTATTATTGTTTGCTATTGGTTATTGTTATGGGCTAGTATCTTCATATCTATTGTTTTCTCTAGAACGACTAGAAATTGGTTTTGAACTTTCCTTTGAAATTGATGGAGACCCTTCATTGGAGATCTCATGTATTTTGTTGTTAATTTCATTTGAGTTTCTTCTTGGTAAGGCTAATTCTTTGAATGCATCTCTTGGTTAGGCATCTCTACTAGTCAAAGATTCTCTGAGATTCAATTTAGGTTTTTGAATAACTTTGTTGTTGTTAGAATTTTAAATTTGTTCATCATTTAAATCAACATGAATAAATTATGATGCGTATGCCTATGTATTTTATTTTTTAGCTAGAAAATCTGCCAATTTAGAGAACTCCTTCCTCTTTTCAGGGACTGGAAACAGAAAATTAAACAAATACACAGTTTCTCTTACTTAATTTTCAGTTTCGATATTAGTAGTAGAGGATGTTTAGGCACTGCTTTGTAATGTCAAAATTGATCCTTTAGACAACTTTTTATTTTTAATTATGCCACCACTAAAGAGTATTTCAAGTAAGGGATCTCTTCCTCTATTTAACAAGTTTTCTAATTCAAAAGCATTGGATAAGGCTGATGCTTTAATTAAGGGATTGGCTGCTTTGCCATTCCATACAAAAATCATATACTCGTAAATATTTGACGTTGAGGGGTTTTACTATCTTTGAGGGAGCAAAAAGGATTCTAGATGGCTTTCTGATGCTGCTACTGGTTCCTCCAATCCTCTGGGAGTTAGGTTGGAGTAAGATTCAACGACGCCCCACATTTGATGAGGGAAGTTAGTGAATTGATTGTACTCTATGTTAATTAAACAATGTTATACCTTCTTAGGCCTTTTTGTACACCAACAATACAAGATAGCATTCAGTTGACAGAAAATTAAAACCGCTAGTTTAGATGGTGCTTAAATTAATTGGTTCAGATTTAACTTTCTTTAAGGGGTGCTTGTCCTCTTAAAATTTCCAAATCTGATAATTTTGAAATTTATATACTTTTAAGTGTTAGGTTATACTTTCAGGAATGTTACTATCGAATTTAATCTTCTCCAATAATTTCGTATTGAGTTCTAAAATGTCCTCCAAATTTGAAACATGCTTGTCTATACTCAATTTGGATCCCATAATTTATATAAATAATTAATATTATATTTTAGAATAATATTTTCAAATATCATCCACGGATAATCTCACAGTAGATTCCCTCTATAAAAATATATTCAATTATTTTATTTAACTAAATAAATTTTAATTTTTATGGATTAACAAAATTATACAATAGTTGGAGTGATGTCAGGAACATCACTTGATGGAATAGATTTAGCATTAATTCAATTTGAAAACATGAATCAACAATGGCATTATAAAATTTTGAGTGCTCAAACTTACTTATACGAATAGTCTTGGATTGATCTACTTAAAAATGCTCATACCTTACAATAAGGTGAAATAGAAAGTTTTAATCTAAATTATACTCATCATTTAGCATAAAAAATTAATAAATTCACTTCTCAATTTTAAGATGTCAAAATAGATGCCATATGTTCTCATGGACATACAATCATACATAAACCAAAAGAAGGAATTACAATACAAATAGGTAACCTACCAATATTAAGCCAACTTGTTAAGACAACAGTTGTGTGTGATTTCAGAGTTTAAGATGTTAAATTAGGGGGAAATGGAGCACCTTTGGTACCACTTGGAGACAGAATTCTGTTTCATGAATATCATTATCGCATTAATTTAGGTGGATTCTCAAATATCTCATATGAAAGAGAAAATGTTACTCTTGCATATGATATTTGTCCCGTAAACACTGTTCTGAATAGGCTAGCCTTTCCAAAAAACTATGATGAAAATGGGGATATCTCAAAAAGTGGAAATGTTAATCCAAATTTATTAGATCAATTAAATAATTTAGAGTATTATAAACTTTCACACCCAAAAAGTCTAGGAGTTGAATGGGTTTACGATTGTATTTTACCTTTACTTGATTCATCTAATCTGTCTTAATAAGATAAACTTTGCACATTTTGTGAACACATTGCTTATTAAATTGGGAAATCAATAGAGAAGAAGGATGAAAAGGTTCTATTCACAGGAGGTGGTGTATAAAATAAATACTTAATGGAGAGAATTCATCATTATGTCAAAAATGTTTAAATTTTAGATTAATAAGCATCTGATTTTAAAGAGGCCTTAATTTTTGGATTGCTTGGAGTGCTTAAATTAAGAAATGAAATTAATGTGTTGAGTAGTGTAACAGGAGCAAGTCATGATCACTCTAGTGGATATATTTATAAATATTAAGAAAATTGAACTTAGGAGTAATTTGATTATAATTAAATATATATTTTAATAGTCAGAAACATTTACTCTTAAAAGGGTTTTTAATGTTTGGGAAGCATAATTATTTTACTTTATTTTCTATTGGATGAGGGATGACACAAAACTTACTGAAAAATTAATGTTTGAGACATAAAGAGGCTGAAGGTCGATACTTCTTATGTCCAATCATCAAAAGTAAGAGTTATCTTTATTCTAAGTCCAATATCTTCGAAGATACTTTGATTTAGTTTAGTTGATTCAATAAAATTAAATGATTCTTATCTTAATATTCTGGATACAGTTTCTGTCCAGATAATAAAGAATGAAATATGCTTCCTAAACTATAAATATCAACTAGTTCATCATAGTCTTCTTGATTTAAAATCTCAGGAGCCATGTATCCAGGTGTACCACATCTTACTTAAGTTTAGTAACCAATTTCTACAGCTAAGCCAAAATCAATTATTTTTATAGATTTTATATCATTTTAATTTTCCAAAACGATATTATCTAATTTTAAATCTCTATGAATGACTCCCAATTTATGTAAGTGTTTTACACCTTTTAGGAGTCTCTTCATGATGTACTTGATCTCTTCTATTTCTAAGGCTTTGTCTCTTTCTACTAGATAATTATATAAAAGTTCCACCTCTACAGTACTTCATAACAAAGATTATTTCATTGGAATCTTTGTAAACTTCATCAATTTCGAGAATACTTTGGTATTTTTATTGATTTAATTCGAAAACAATGTTTAATTCCTGCTGGACCTTTGACTGAAATAGTTCATATAATATACTTAATCATTAATTTTGACAAATTTAACTAATCTTAGTTCTCCTGTTTCTGTTTGAACGTATTTGGAAATCTATTTAGCTAATATCATTACTTAGACATCTTCTTTTTACATAAAAGAACTTTTAAATTGATAATAATTATTAAAGTCTGTGTACAATACACTCCCATCGAGTAATTACTTTAATTATATCAGTTTTTCTGCATCGGCCAAATAAGTTATCGACTTTTAAGCCATAGAAAAATTGCATTAATATGAAACTTTAAACCCTTTGAGGATATTCTCACTAAATTATATATTATGTAATATACTTATATATCCAACTTATTGTTGTCAAATGAGATCGAAGCTGAATTTCTCTGCTCCTTTGCTCCAATCCTACATCAATGTTGGACTGATCTTAGTTTTCATTGCTTATCATCAATTTTCTTTTGTACAAGAATAATTTTCTTGGCATATTGTTTTTTGCATTGCTTACATCACAGGTAAATATGATATCTTTGTTCATTCTGATTTAAAAATATAAATTATAAGAATCAAGAAAACAATAATCGAATATATAAATCCAAATTAAATCTTTAAGAATGTGAATAATGAGTAAAGAATATCGATCTATTGAAATTTGGCTAAATGATTGTATTTTTGATAGGGATGAAGCAATTAAGAGTTAGTGTAACTTGAATATTATTGATAACTATAAATTGTTTTAAATTTCAATATTTTTGACTAGGGGACGAAATTTAAGTGAATTAAATGGAGGTTGATTACAAATATGCTCAGAAGTTCAAGTAATCAAAAATCCATAAAAGAGTGACATATTAATTAAAAAATAAAGTTTAATTGTTTTACATAAACAAACAAAAAAGATTAATTATAATTTGCATTTATAATAATGTTATAACACTATATTTTGAATTTTCACTTACTAATTTAAACACTTTTGGTGTCTTTTAAAAAGTAATTTTTTTAGTCGTTTATCGTTTTATTTAAGACTGCAGGAGAAAATCTTAATTAAACTATTTTTAGCAGAATTTGTCCTGAGGATATTTGATTTCACTTTTTGTATTAAATTTATTGATACATACAGTTCCAGGAACAAACGAAATAATGATCATTATTATTAATAAGTGAAAGTGATTTCCATAACATTTTTATAGTATTATCTAGGATTTTGTATATTTTGATCTTTTTAAATTATAATGAAGAAATATAAAAATTTTTAATTAATTACAATTATCCTAGAATGTCCTTATATTGTCATAATTTTACTATTTTTCATTGACAACTAGTTGCTCCTATTATTCAAAGTATTTCGCATTAGAAATTTTTAGTCATAAGTTCTATTTATTGATACATTTATCTAGATATCTTCCTATTTTATTCTCCATGTATTGAAATACTCAAGCTTTATAACAATGATTTTCTTTAAGCATTCAAATAATATAAACTAATTAATAAATAACAGTATTTATATTATATTTATATAAATTATCATCCAAAAGAAGAAAATTTAAATAAACTATATAATTATCAGAAACAATGTTTAAGGCTCTAAATTACATTTAAAACTTAATAGCAATTCTAAAATTATATGAAAACAAAAAAACAATTTTTAACGAATTAATCACTCATTTTTAATCTACTTTTTTTGCTATAGAAATGATCTCCTGCCTTATAGATTTATTATAAATTTTAGGATATCTAGTATTGGTGCTGATATCTGAAGGGTTTGAATTTTAGTGAAATAATTTGTTGTAAACACTATCTTATATGGCTTTTCTGATTGAAATTGATGGGATGGGTTCATGAGTTGATTTGATTGTGCATCTGAAATCTTTGGGATTGAGCTCATCTTTTTCAAATTTCCTAGAGAAATCGCCTAAAGCTTCAAAGCCTTCGATGTAGACATCGGTAAAATATTGGGGTTCTGTAGGTTTTGGATAAACAGTAGTGAGAAATCCTCTTTCAGTTTTCCATTTGTCTTTGGAATGTGTTTTCCATTGCGGGAAATAGACCATAGTCATATCTTTGGCAGTGTCGTCTATTATACTTTTATTATATTAATTTGCTTGGTTGGCTTGATCTTTTCTCAATTTGGGCCTGTTTTCATAGGACCATTAGGGTCCTTCCAACGATTGGACTCTTTCTCTTAATTTAATTTTGGGGCCTTCAGCATATAATTCTCTAGGCAAATGGGATTGTGAGAAATCTTCAACAATGTATTGGATTCTTTGGTCGTTGGTGAGAAACCTATTTAGTATGAGGAGTAAAACTTGGATAGAGTGATGGGTTTGTTGGTTTCTCTTGGTATTTTGGAGGTGGGGTAAAGTCCATTGAGGAGGCCTTGTATATAGAGGGGGGAGACATACAATTAGCGAATGCGGGATCAAGAGATTGAATAAAGTGTTGTCGACGATCGTTGAAAGAGTTGTTGAGTGCGGCATTTGATTTTTTCGATGTTTTTGGGTTTGAGAGAGAGGCAGTTCTTTTCTTTTGTTGGAAGTAATTATTCATGAAAATAAAATAAAAATGGCATACGAAAATTGTGTAGTTTGCGGGAAAAGATAAGATGGTTTATATAAGTTGGTGCCTCATTTTAGATCAAGTCATCCTAGCAAATACATTCATAAGATGTGTCTGCTTTTATTTCGCTCCGATTGGAATCATCGAGTTGCTGCGAATGAGGAATTGTATTACAATGACTACAGAAGACATTGTTCGATATGTGATAAACGAAGTAAGTAACAGGTGGTTAGATGTGCACACAGGTATACACTTTAATTATGAAATGCAGTTCTTGTAGAAATAGATTTCATTTGGACTGCTTAAATAATCCTGTAATCTAAGTAAACTCGAATTCGAGGAATCATTATCCAAAGCTAGATGTTTATTGTCCTGAACATTCTTTCGATTTAATTAGACCCAACAATTTGGACAAGTGCGTAGAATCCATTTTCAATGACCATCTATTAAGTTAAGAATAAGAACCTGGCTAAATTTAGAAGAGCAAACACAAAAAAAAGCATAAGAAGAAGCATTCTCGATCTAGGTCCAGATCTCATAAGAAATCACGCAGACGATCCAGTAGCCAATGTCGATTTAGTGACAGTCGAAGTTCGAAATCATCAAAATCGCAACCCAAAAATCCTCCTCTCCCAGAAAAAGTCGGTTTATTGATTATCCCTGAAAGCAAGATTACTGACTGTATGATAAGAGAAGTCAAAAATCTCACCTAAGCTCCTATTTTGGAAAAAGAGGAATCCTACATTGAACCTTTGCCAATCCCTCAACCTCCCCCTTAGCCAATAATTGGATAGAAGGAGGTTGAAAAATAAATAATTTATCCCCAAACTCAAAGGCCTTTTGTTGAGGATCCTGAGTTCCCCTACACTGAGAGAGAAAACAAGAGGGATCAGTCCATTTTGAAGTGGTGGGACAAAATAGAGGAAATTTACTTTAAAGGAGAAGAAAAACTACCATACACTAAGATCGAAGAATTCAAGAACCCCTTTGAATGGTCTAATCAAGGACTGGACGAGGAATTGCTCAATTATGCTGATCAGACTAATATTGGTATTCACTCTCATACTTATTATTATTATTAGAACCAATCATACAGTTGAGATTTCAATGTAGAGGAAGCATTAATGTTTTAATTAGATCTTCAAAAGCTCAGTATTAGTACACTAATTGTAAAAATCTTTTAGTTTCATTCGATATAGTTTTACCGAGCATGTAGGCAAAGCAACACCCAAAGGATTGTTGAGGACCAACATACAATTGTATAGATATTTATAAGAAACAGTTGACATTCCTACATATTCTGATAAGGAAATAGTTGGCAAAGATCTAATTTATTTAGAAGGTTGCGAATTATCTAAGTAGGAATATTAGGATTGTTTTGAATTAGAATAACAAATTAAAGAAGTTAATTCTAAATTGGAATCTCAATTAGACATTGAAAGTGATGCAATCCAACAATTTGATATTGTCTATCATATCTTGAATAAAGAGCTCACCTCTCTTGTCTAACTAAACAATCAATCCAGAGAGTAAATCAATATCCAAATCAACGACCAAAATTTCAAAATACTAAACACTCAATAGCAACTACTGATGGACTTATTAAAGTGGTCTTAAATAGTCAAAGCCTTCATCAATGGATACAAAGACAAAAATGAAGATGTGTTAAATTCCTTTTATCCTTGCCAATTAACATTGACATCACAATCCTCCCAAAAAGCTTAGTAAAAGAAGAAGAAAATCCACTCCAAAGAAAATACTCAACCTTTAGACACAGACTGCAAAATCTGTTTTGATTATCATTATACAGATATCAACCCGGTTATCTACTGCGGAAAGTGTTCAACATCATTTCATAAGAATTGCTATGGTTTGACTGGACCCCTTGATGAAGATGATGTTATTTGTGAAGCATGTAGCTATGAATCCTCAAAGTTGTATTAATTCAGAAGAGGTATATCCATTAGATTTATAAGGTGCTGCAAAATGTGGAATATGCAAAAAATTAGGATTGCCCTAAAAGTACATGAGAAACCACTTTTACCATGTTTCTTGTTTGCTTTTAACTAATTAAGTCATTTTATCAGACGGTGCCTATGCTGTAAGGTATAGGAAGAACGATATTAAACAATCTTGCAAAGATAATGAATAGAGTACACCTTAATGTGCTGTTTGCGGAGATTCTAAAGGTTAAATTGTCAATTGAATTTCAGGATTCCGTTTTTTGTGTTCTGGAGGGGAAACCATACCGTGTAAGCATGCCTTTCATCCCATCTGTGCTTATCTTCATGGCTTGACCATTGACATCGAAAGTGAAGATCTTGAACAGTGTTGCAAAGAACTACGGTTTGCTCAATTAAATGTGCATATCAAATGTGTCTTACATTGTAATAAAACTTTGTAAGAACTAGTATAGTAAACTTACTACAGGTATTAATTAGTCATCATATTTTATAGGAGATTTGCACTGAATTATGAGCAGACTGCCAAATGTGGAGGGGAAGACGTATTCAAAGAGGAATTCAAGAAATCTAAAGGCTATAGGTAAGAATTTTAAGAAAACTCTTAAGATATCTCTCGCTAAAGTTACCCATTTCAAGAAATGACAATTTATAATAATTTATTAATTAAAATGGTACACCAACCCAACAGATGTGAGTAGTATTTTCATTTTATAATATTAAATATTGGATGAAGAAAGCTATAAACTATTCTTTTTTAAACGCAATCTAAGCTCTACTCTTTACCAATATTTAATATTTCAATTATTGTCAGAGTTTTGCGAGCAAAATATTTTATTTATTATCGACCACATGTCAAGCTAATAGGCTCCTAAATTTTTATAAATACCAATCAACTTATAATATAATCATAATTTAATAATTGATAAATGGGTGGGATGATATAAAAATTTAAGAATTTATATGCTAGACCTAATGAAGACTTACCAACAAAAGATGATCCAAAATTTCATAAGACAATCGAAAATTAGAATATGCATGATAAATAATTAGAGAGCCTTCAATCCCTAGAATTCAAAGAAATAGACAAACTAAAAAGAAATTTCTCCAATACTGCTGTAAGAATGATTTAAATGATGCAAGGGAAATAACATGACACTTAACCATATTAAACTCAAAAACTATAGATCAGAAAAACTATATCAGAGCTCAACTGAATTAGAAAATAATTTATTTAATAAGACTTAAAGCTTATAATATAGAATAATTGATTGTAATATTATATTAAAATTATCACTTAATTAATTTATTATTAACCCATCTTCCTTCTACAATCTTTTGATTCTTTGTATGAAATAGGCCAAATCCATTTATATAATCTTTCAAAAATTGACCGCAAAACTTTTCCCCATTAGACAAGTAAAGTGTTCCTTACCCTTCTTTGTTATCGTCATTAAATTCTCCTTCATATTTGGTCCAAAAACTACATTAAAATATAGATTTACTCTTCAATATGATCGAAATCTTGATAATTGAATGGCTCATTCAACTGAGATGCCATTTCATTATACAATACTCCATAACCTTAAAATTTATCTTGATTCCACGATCCTTTATAAGCAGGATTACCATTTGAATAATAAAGAGTACCTATAAAATTTTAATAAATTAAGATACCATAGCCGTGCATATGATTAAACTGCCAGTTTCCATCATAATATCCTCCATCTTTATAATAAAAGATCCCTTGTCCATGTCTCATCCCATTGAATTTATAACCATTATATTTAGAACCATCTTGGTACTATTCATTTACGAAGATTTCTCCTTAAGAGGAAAATCCAGAGATATGAGGTTATGGTTGTTGTTGGGGAAGATCAAAAGGGATTGAAAATTGTTATTAGGATTCTTTCACATTAATATTGCTAAGCTTTAACTAAAAGTTTTTATTAACATGTTGATCAGTGTGATCTTGTAATGGTAAATTTGATGATCTATTAGTGAAATTGTCATCATTCTCAGTATTGTCTATATTTTCATCGATTTTTGATGGTTTCGAAATTTATTAAGAGTAAATGACCTATTAAACAAAGTCAGAATTGTCAGGTTGGTTAGGCTGAACCACATCCTCCTGCATTCTACTGGCCATAGTAGAATTCGTATTTGATTGTTCAGTAATAATTTCTCTTAGAGACGGCTTCTTAGCATTTGTATTAGATTTCGAACTTTTGATTTATTTCATGATTGGAACAGTTTACTATTAATTTTGTACAATGGATTGATGTTGTGAATGTTATGAGATGGAACATTATTATTAATCTAATGGATTAAATGATCTAAGCTAATATTTAAAATTAGTAATTGATGCTTATTCCTAATATTTTTAGTCTAATAATTTAGACAAGACCACAAAATCAGGTCTTTATGTTTCTTAGATTGATAACATAGATTGGATGACCTCAAATAATTAGGGTTACACAAGAGTGTTTAATTGATGTAATTTGGTTAGTAGTACCTCTTCAACTAAATACAATTATTTGTAGCAATCAACAATTGGGGTTTTTAGAATACACTATAACATGCACATTCCAAGTGTGAATACATCACTCTTGTAAGGGTTATGTTGGGGTTGAAATTCCTTTTATCTTAGAGCCATAGTTTGTTAAGGTGATAGAAATAGATCATTGAGTTTATTATTTTAGAAGAGCTGTTAAAAGTTCGTGGATTACTCATAAAGAGAAGGATCACATATTTTAGGAGGTAAGTATAAGGTTTTTGATGAGATATGTTCATGCGAAATGGATTTATTTTATAAGTCTTCTAGTGCTCTAACATATCCAAACAAAACCGCCCAATAATCTTGGGATGACAACTAAGTTGCAGATAATTGGGAATTTGGATGCTCAATCAAAACATAGATTTTAAAAAATTGGCTACAAACTTATTGATCTTGGGTAGTGTAGATGTCAAGAATTTTGAGAATGTATTGATTTTGAATTAATTATTGCTTATTTTCGAATTATTTTTTATTTTTCTTAAAAAGAGTCTCATCAGTGTAGGTGTACTCTTTCAAAATAAGTTTGACTTTAGGATTTGATTTATTGACTAGGACTGTACAATCTCCAAATTCTAAATTGATTGATTGAATTACATTCATCTCTTGTTTTGGTTGGTTGATATTCAGAATACAATTAGGCGAGCTTAGTGGATTCTTAGCTATTATTATTTCCCATTCAAAATTAACGAATATTTAATAATAATGATTACAATTCTGAAGAATATTTTATAATATATGTTGTACTTTTGGGTTTTAGTACAACTGCATCCCTATTCATATGTTTAGATCAAGAATATAATTAACAATATCCATCATATGTTATCTCTCTTTTAACTCATTTGTCCCTAATTCCATTTGTTGATGATAGACAAAGGATGTTGCTTTCAATATTTAAAAACTTATCTCCTCAATGTATTATTGCTTTGGTTTGGATTTACTTAATACTGAAAACTGCAATAATAGTGTCCATGATGTTTCTAGCATTATAAAGAATTTTAATGAATATGTAGAAAGGTTACTTACAATTTCTTATTGGATTAAGCGAAATATTTGGTAATACTTTTTGGATATCTGTGTTTAAGAGACACTATCAAGATTGTAATATTAAATGAAGTACTTACATTTATAGTAATAATGAATATTATTTATAATTAATGAGATCACTTTCTTAGGCTTGTATCACTGAAAATTCAGAGAACATTGAAAAGTTCATCTTCAAACAAAAGAAATTAGTCACCTTGAGGTCAGACTCACCTACTCTATCCAAAAGACTTAGTCAATAGCCAATTCTCGTATAATCTGATTCACCTCTTAAAAAACATAAAACTTGCAGTAGTGAAATTCCCTTGAGTAATGGGAAAATGTTCTTGAAGGATGGCAAGATCCTGTTCTTGAAGTAAAAGCTGCCTAAATTGGAGTTACCATAAACAAAATGTAAATTTGACCCAAAAGTTGAGATCCTCAAATGGATACAAACAAATAAGAGCATTTCTCCACTAAAGAAAAGAGTTGCCTTTAGGGCTATTAAAGAATCTAATGGCTAAAACAGGAAATCATTAATCTTTTGATTATCATTTATCAATTAATTAACTACAGAATTAGAATATTTAACAGTTCCCTTGACATTCGATATTGTATTATGTATTGTCCAATAAAGATAAAACAATAATCATCAAAAATCATGTCAAATATACAAGTTAGAAATTGTCATTAATAATAAACATTATAATCTATAGTGAAACCTCTTAGTTTTATATGGCAATAGTATGAGTCTTCTCATTTGATATATTAAATAAATTGTTAACATATTTTTAATCAAATATTTATATTATTTAATGGATTATTACAAGATTTTAGAAATTAATCGTGATGCTTCAGCTTCAGAAGTTGCCAAAGCCTACAATAAGCTTTCTTTAAAATGGCATCCAAAGTTGAGTAAGTTAGATCACAATACTACTTATCATCATTTTTGCTTAATTTCAGAAGCCTACGAAGTATTATCTGATCGTAATGATATTTAATAACCAAATTAGCTATCAAAAGGACATTCTATGATAAGTATGGAGAAGAGAAGTTGAAAGAAGGATTCTTTGCAAATGGAAGTAAATAAGTTATTGATTTCATTAGACCTCAAGGGCGGTTACAGTTTTGCAGGCAATCCTTTTGAAATATTTGAAAAGTTTTTTGGGACATCCAATCCATTTGCTCAACTAATAGGTAACTATGAACCCTCATTCATTTAGATACCAATGGATCAGAAAATCACGGCACTCTCTTTAGTCATGCATTTGGAGGATAGAATTTTCCAGGAATTCCAGGACCTCAAGATCTTGAGATCTAAGTAGAGTGTACCCTACATGAATTGTATAATGGTTGTGCAAAAACAGTCTCATATTAGAGATAAGTGCTGAATAAAGATGGAATCACAACTCGTTAAATTATGGAAACTAAGTATTCATTTCAGACTGACATCTATTAGAGAAATTAAAATTGATCGTGGAATTGAAACTGGGTAGAAGATAGTCTACAAAGAATTAGGTAATGAAGCGGCTGGATTTAAGTCATCTGATTTGATTTTCTTAATCAAAGAAACTGCGCATCCAACTTTTAAGAGAAAAGGGAATGACCTATTGTATATTGCAAAAATTAATTTGGCCAATGCAATAGCTGCAGATCCGATACAGATAATAACATTGGACAATAGAAAATTGCAGGTGCCAGTTGATTAAATCATTAGGTATTGTAATTTATTATAATTCATAGTCCCAAGTATGTGAAGATGATTGAAAGTGAAGGAATGCCTGTCTTTTAATAGGATGAAGTGAAAGTATCAATTTTGATTCATTTTTAGGATTTCGGTAAACCATAAACATTTGGAAATTTGTACATTAGATTTGATATCCAATTCCCAGAAGATCTAACAGAAAGTTAAAAAAATAGAATCAAAAATATTTTATTAGAAGGTTAATAATGATTAATATTAATTATCATCATTATCATTATTTAATTACTCTCTACTTTTTTTATTAATTTTAATTATATAGATATATATAGATTGATCAATAATTTACTAAATATTCTTAGATCTTCTTATATTTTATTCATCATTATATATAATTTTAATAAAATAATATTTTAACTTTAAGAATATGAATTCACAAATAATAATTAAAGATATATAACATCTCAATACTCGTCAATAGTATCTTTTGTGTCCAGTTAAACCATATATCTGACCTTCACTTTGGTCTCATCATAGACTATGTATTCATTGTGCTAAAGTTAAAAGCGAACTGGATTTCCTTCCTTATCCTTCTTCTTAGGTTATGGATAGTCAATGCATTATCCAACAGGCACCTTACATCCATTTGACAAAATCACTGACTAGTTGTAATCAGGTCCTCGTCTTCCACATCCTTTGACAGACTAGTATTATTCTAAAATTATTATCTGATAAAATTACTGTCTAGATTGGTAATGTATTCAGGATTATATTGATTCAAAGTTTTTCCTACAGCCACTTCGCATAATAACATGTATCTGTATCTTTGAATTTCATCTTGCTCATCTTTCTTAGCATTATTTGATCTGTCGTAATATCCATTTTATTAGAAAAGTCCATTATATGTGTTGTAATAGAGAGACCAATCCTCAGTATAACCAAATGACTTTTAGAACATATCTGCAAAGTAGATACCTTTTCCAAACATAGTTCCGGTATTAAAAGCCCATGGAGGTGCCACTAAATATATAGACAATAATCAATACCTCTAAGTCCTTAAGCCAGAATACCCATGAAATTTGATATTTTAGAACCATGCCATAAGAGCATTCTGTTATGTTGTTTATTGTGCTCAAATCTTTCAGCTTCTCCTCTTCTCTCAACTGCAAAGATATTGGACACCTTTGCTTGTTGGGATTAATTGATATATTAGACTATCAATTTGAATTCAGGATGCTCTTTTGGTAGAGTAACTACTCTAACATTGAGAGCATTGAAACAATAAGTTAATGGATTAATTGTCTATTTCACAAGATGAGCACCCAATAGGATTTTAGAAGTGATTTCAAAGTTAAGTAAGGTTTCAATTAACAACAACTTTTGATTTATTGCTTCAACTGAATCCAATGGAGGGAAGAGGTTCTGTTTTTAATTCTGTTACTGGAATGAATTCATAAAATCTGCTTGATTTATCACAAATTTCATTAAATATGTTTTGTATCTTCTTAATATCAAGATCTCCAGTTTATCTGAGTTTTTGTAGATCTTCCACACAATCTGTTAATTCATTCAAAATAGCCTTAGCTGCTTCCAATTGCTTTCTATCTAGTCTTTCAATAGGCATAGAATCCAAATCAATATGGAATTACTATAAATCCTTGTTGTACAATTTAACTTAGACAAATTGCAACATGAACCTTCTGATTGCTTTTTCTAAATTGCATTGTTAATAAGGACTCTTCTTGCTAAAATCGAATGGATTAAGTAAGGTCTTGTAATTTTTAACATTCTTGAAATTAATCAATTAATATTTTCCTGGCTTTTTCTCAAAAGGCTCTTCTCCTGATGAAACCTTCTTCCAATCATTCCCTCCAGTCTTAGAATGGAATATCTTATTGAACTCCTTAATAGCCTCTTCTGCATTTTCAAAAGGTGTCAATTGATGCTATCCACCTGTACCAATTCTTCCCCATCTTGTGAAGAGTATAAACACATTTCTGTTTATTTCATGTAAGAGTTGCATCTTATAGAAGACATTCTCCGAATAGATGCCATTTCCAATATCCACTTTAGTCATCTATAACGAATATGGACCAGATTCTTTGTCTATCCACACTTCAACCTTCCCAGATGAAGTAGCTCGACTATCCACTATTTTTCTTGTGTCTTATTTTGAATCATCCAATTATTCACCATTTTAATCCAAGAATTTCTAAGCATCTGCCTCAACATCAATCTCTTCCTCTACCCATTATGCTTGAGAAATAACACTGGTTGGGAGTCTAGGCTGCTTTTACTTCTTGCCTTCTTTAGCATTCAATTTCTTAAGAACTTCAGCCATGGTTCCTGAATCTTGATCATTAGCATAATCCAAAGGAGTTCTACCAAGTTTATCAGCTTGATTGATATCAAATTACTTTGACAATATTTACAACATCTCAATGTTTTCATATGATCCAAATTCAAGTGGCTATACCACATAATGAATAGGCGTTCTATTCTACGAATCTTGAGCGTGAAGAGCAACCTTAAACTAAGGATGATTCAATATATAGTTGACCAACTTCAAGGAATTTATTTTAATAGCTAACATTAATGATGTTTCTCCGTTCTCAGTCTTTTCATTGATATCACAACCAGCATCTGTAAATTTATTGAGGATTATCACATCCTCCAAATGATATTCCTAGATCAAGTACAAAATTGGAGTTATTTAATAATCCTTTCCTTTAACCTTAAATTTCACATTTAAATTGGTTTTCTTATCCTTCCAGTGTTATAACTCTACATCAGATACCAAGGCTTTGTACTTTTCTTACAATCTAATAGAAAATGGAGTGTTCTAATCATTGTTGTAACAATTTGGATCACTATCTGATTACAACAAATATTAAATCATTCCAAAAAAGTCATTTTGAGCAGCATAATGTAATGGAGTATTATTCTAGTCATCCTTAGCATTTCTATCTACTTGTCTGCTTGCTAATTCATCAGCAATCATTAAAGAGATCTCATCTGTACACTACCTACCCTTTATTGAGAAAATATGGAAAAGGTTTTATTTATTTTTGTTTTACTTCTATACAATTTCATCATCTTTCACTTTCATCAATAAAGTACGAACTAGTTTGAATTGCTCCTCCATTATTGCATCTTCAATTGCCCTTTGTAAATCATAGCCATCTGAAATCAATAAGTATGCCAATCCTTACCAACCCTATTTGATGGCTAATTTAAAATAAGAATAAGTTCCTACTGGGAATTTGGTTGATTGCAATAAATAAACTTTGACTCGTTTTTAAGTTTTGCCTTATTGATGATTTCCATAATATGGTCTTGCTGCAACTGCAGCCATCCTTTTAATTGGAGCCTTTCCTCCATATGACTTTCTGGCAGTCTATTTGGTTCTAGCACCTCCATATAGTCCATTATCATCTTCCTCTTCTCCTTAGCCTTAGTCTTCGTTTTCTTCTTCTTCTTCATCACTCGCAAATTCGTCTTCCTATTCTATTGCCTCTCCCCTTTCAATTCTCTCCTTAATCTTCTTCCTTTCCTCCCTTCTAATCTTCTCATAATCAACAACAGTTGCGTATCTATTGACATCTGCCTTATTATCTATAAGCATGGTGCAGAAATTAGAGTGACCACATAAGAATGCCAAAGCCAGTGGAGTGTTGCCATATTTATCAGGTACATCAATGGGAGCCTTCATTTTAATCATGTATCTTCCTGAGATTACACTTCCTCTCATGGCGGCATAATGAAGAGGAGATCTTTAATGGATATCCACAGTATCAACTGAACAATGTTTATCAGCTAATACAGATGACACTGTTTCAAATGGATCAATCTCTCTAAAATCATTATCATAAGTCATTTTTGTGAATGCATAGAAGAGGGGAGTTCTCTTGTAGATGTCTAAGGCATTAGTGTTTGCTCCATTCTTAATTAACAAATGTTCCATCTCAAAACTGGCATCTGCTTCAGAATTAGATGAATTGATAGCATGATGTAAGGCAGTCCTTTTAGACTTATCAGGGAAATTGGGATCAGCCTTAAATTTAGTTAAAAATATCCCCACAACTTTAACATTACCTTACCTTACCCAATTTTATATTGGGACTACATCTTCCTCATTCAAATTGTTAACACTGCCTCCATTTGAGATTAGAATATCCAAGATTCCATCTAGGGTATAATTGTATCTACAAGCTATCTAACTTGTTGGAGTATTTAATTCTTCATCCTTTACAGTGACATCAATCTTACTAATTACATACTCTAAAAATGTTTAACTGTTTTCGTTTTCTCTACCACAAACTTGATTCATATTGCATGAATTTGCAAAAAGATGAATGGGATAAATATTTTATTAGGCAGCTTCAGTGAAGGATAATGCCTTGATTTTATTGATTTCTTGGATGAATGAAACACTATGATAAGACTTGAAAATAAAATGAGCTATAGTATAACCTCCCTCATCAATATAAGGATGATCTGTATTCTCTTATTGGTCCTCTTTTTATTCTCTAAATTACTTTCTCTTTATGATTGATGAATTAGAGTCTGCTCCTAAATTAATGAGCAATTGATATAGCTTAATTACTACCTCTTATAGAGCCAAACATTCTTGTTTAGACTCATTGACCAAAACATCAACTTAATCTTACTTTAAAAAGACTATAACTGGCTTATTTTTATAATAAAATGTTTTAGTGTGGTATTAATCCTTAACTTTTACAGCATTTGCTTGAGGTTTAGAAAAAATATTAGTGGATCCAAGTAATCCATTTCTTGTTTTTTAAGGATGATGATCATCTTCATCAGAATAATCTTAATTTTCATCTTCATCTTCATCCTCAATTTCATCTTCATTTTCTTCTTCATCTTCATTACTCTCTTCTACTTGGCTTTCTTCAACTTCTAGTTCATCTTTATCACTTCCTTCTTCATTTTCATCTTCTTCTCCTCCTTCACCTTCTTCATCTTCATCTTCTTCATTTTCTTCTTCATCCTGAAGATTTTTCTTCCCATCTTTCTAATCATTATTTTTCAACTTCTTTTCTTGATTTATCTTCTCCTCCTCTTCTACTAATATCTTTTGTTTCTCTTCGAATAATTTCTATAATAAAACCGATACTTTTTTTTCATAAATTTTTGAATATTATTATTCTGCTGTGCTTGTAAATTCAGAAAATAGATAAAGTATTGGATTCCATCCATTTTCATCATATTAATTGACAAAGGTTGGATCCACAGTCTTAATGATATTCTATAAAATAGAAAATCCCTTTTCACTTTAGAATAATCTACATTCAATTAACTTATGCAAGATGTTTCTATCTTTTTTATCAACATAGTTAACAGAAGGAGTAGACAATTTCAATAGTAATTCAGACACTTTGAAATTCTAACTAATTAATGATTGAATGAATGGAGTTTATCCATTATTATCTTAGACATTAACATCTGAACCTGCATTAATTAAGAGTTCAATCATCTCGTGAACTAACTCCTCATACTTATTTTTGATAACTCTTCTTTCTGCTTTGCTCATTTCATTCCATTTAGGATAAAATTACTTGGCTTCTTTTCTTGACAATAATACTGCATAATGCAAAGGAGTCTTCTCTTATAAGTCTGCAATCTTGACATCAGCATTCTTCTCCAAAATCAAATATTTCATGTACTCAAATGAATCCACTGTAAACTTACTCAAACTTGAAGAAATCAAAGTTCTGCCTTCATCATCTTTACAATTGACATCAGTTGTTGGATAACTCAATAACTTCTTAACAATTCCCAAATGATTCTTCTATAGAGCCACAGACAACGGAGTCAATTTCCAAGAATTTGGTAAATTTTAATCAGCTCCAGCCTTCATTAGTTCTTCTATACATTCTGGAAAACCATAAGCTGCTGCATAATGAAGAGGAGTATTCTTAGAACTGTCTGGCTAATCATATTCGGCTCCATGATAAAGTAATAAAGAAAGAATCTTTACATTTCCATTACGTGCAGCCAAAACACAAGAAGTTCTTCCATATTTATCCTTGGCCAAAACTTTTGCTCCCTATTCAATTAAATACTTAGCTAATTCATAATGGCCATATGCACATGCAATATTTAATGGAGTCATTCTATTTTATCCTGTCAAATTAATTTTTGCTCCATTTTTTAACAAAACCTTTACAGTCTCCAAATGTCCTCCCAAACATGCGGCATGAATTGCTGCATTTCCATCTCTATTTTTTCCATCTATATTATTAGAAGCCAATAATTCGACATTATGTGTTCTACCATATTATGCTGCCAATATCAATGGGGTGCTCTTATTTCGATCTCCCTCTCTAACATCTATACTATTATCCATTAAAAACTTAAGACAAGCTGAAGTTTATGCGACAGCAGCATAATGGACAGGTTTCCTATGAAAATCATCTAAAATATTATATTCCTATGAAATTTCTAACAATTTCTATAGGCATGCATGATTTGGATTAATAGCTGCACAATGGATTGGAGTAACTAAATAAGTTCCACCTGATTTCTTTGTGGCTGAGGGTTTCTTAATATTACCAATGCGACTGGCACTTGTGTAATTCAAAACATCAACATGAACTTAATTAAACCCATACATATGTCCTTTATCCATTGCCATTTGAACCAAATAACCAGCTGTCTTCCAATTTCCACTTCTGACTGCTAATGCAATTTGATCATAATATTGATGTTCCTCTCCCAATTAGGCAATCATTAACCCAAAGAATTCAGGATTAGTTTCGATTTTCAATAATCTCTCAATTTAATCCTCTGTTAAAGTATCTTCCTGATCCAAATCATAAACAAAAGCATTATTTCCTTCTCTTCCTCCTCTGCCTAAGGCCACCTTTCTCGTTCTGGAACCATAAGCATATTAATCATTATATCCTGTTTATATTTCCTTGAGAGAACATCTAGGAGTAGTTCCCAATTTGACTTTTTCCATTGCCTTTAGAAACTTAAGCAACATAGCTTTATCTTATCTTTTAAAAATGAGTTCAATAGCATTGGCATCATTTTCAGGAGCCCATCTCTAAAAGAGATTACTAATTTTTAATGAATGAGCAAAAATATCATCTAATAATTTAATATTACCTGTTTGAGCAGCTCTAATCAACTCCTTATTATTCATCATGATGCTTGAATGATCAACGAATTTTGAGGATGTTCCTTCTAATTGTTCACTAGTTTACCTAATTTCTCTGTAATTGGGATTAGCTTTGCCTCTCATGAATTTTTTTGGTTGAGCAGGTTACGATTTAGATTTCTTAGCACCTGCTTTCCCTTTCTTTTTCTTTTCTTCAACTGATTGAGATTGAACTTCATTTTCTTCAAACTCTTCTTCAGATTCATCAGACTCTTCCTTTTTCTATGCTCTACCTCTCTTGATTTATTTTTTCTAAACTGGAGGTACTTCAGGTTGAGCTTTCTTACCGGATGGAGCTTATCTAGTAGCTCTTTTCTTTTTTTATTCTTATTCACTTTCCTCATCAGAACTCTATTCACTTTCTTACTATTTTACTTACTTTGTTGGTTTTTTATTAGTTTTCACAACCTTTTGTGCTTGCTTTTTTGTTGTTACTTACTTTTTGGGTGGTTATTCCTCAGATGATTCTTCTTCCTCAGCACTGTCTTCAGATTCAACCTTTTTTTTTGTAATTTTTTGGACTTCCTTTTTTTGAGTCTGTTCTTTTACTGCTTATTTTGTTCCTTTCTTTATTGTTTATTTTTTGGGGGGTTCCTCTTCTTCACTTTCGCTTTCAGAACTTACCTGTTTCTTTTACTACTTGGTATTGGCGGGAATTTGTTTAACGCTCTTTGCAATATCTTACAATGTATCCTATTGGAATACAAAAGATGTAACAGTTGATTTACTTCTTGGATTTGGTTTTGTGGATTTTACTTCAACATCTTCCACAATTTTACTAAAAAATAATATCTTTTCTTACGTTCTTTCCTTAACGGATAATAGTGCTTCTTATGACTCTTTGTAGACTACTTTGCCGTCCTTTTGCTTCTCCTGCTACTCCAGTCTTACTACTTTTAATTAGGATTTGTGGTCATTAGTTTTTAAATCTTCCACTACTTTGTAAAAGACTGGCTTGCCTTTTTCACTTTGTCCTAGGATCTGGTCCTTTTTGAATTGATATGCATAGTTAGGTTCTGTCTTTTATCCACGAGTCTTCATTTAAGTTTATTATTAAATTAAATTAAAAATCTGATGGATTTTTGATTAAATTTTATATGGGGTATCTAAATTATTATAAATAAATTAATAATTAAATTCTCAATTAATTTTCTCCAAACTTATACATTCTATTTAACTTCTCAATTCTTTAACATCCTCTTAAATGTTATCGAAAGTAGGATGGTGATTTGCATACTCAAAATTGATGGGACTGTATTCATTCAAAATTCTTCTCTAATGGAAAGGTGAAATATCTAAAGAATGAATTCCATCAAATTATTTTGAATCGAAAGAATCCAAGCCTTATATCAAATTAATAGATGGCTGAATTCTATTTGAAGGAGTACGATTCTAAATATTAATAAATGATTCGTTTTTTAAAGAATCGTTTTTTGTATTGTCATGCTCTTCCTTTATTGATTAAATAGTCTCCAAAGGCTGATAAATCTATATCGGAGGAGGAACGTGAGGTTATTCAGAAATAGAAGACTCTTGATCATTGTCCTCGTCATCCGATTTTTCCTCCAACATACTCACTCTCTTTATATATGAATAAAATCTATTCTTCACTTAATTTTCCTATTTAATTTTAAATACTTCTTACTGGTCTTCTGTCTAACATCTTAGCAATTTCACTCCACTTTGGCCCGTAAATTCTATACTACTCCAATATTATTTTATCCTCTTGCGCTGTGAATTTTTATCGATTAATCTCTGGGTCCAAATTATTTAAAAATCTCTCTCTTATTTATTTGCTAGAACGTCCTTCCATGAACCCTTCGATTAGCTTCCAATTTCGACCATATTACTAAACAAGTTCAAATACTTTTTTGTCCTCCTCATCCGACCATTGTTTACGCAATTTAGTCTAAAATTCTATAACCATCCAAACTACCTTATTGGGATTGATCCTCTTCCATCTCTATTGACATTAACTTAAATTTCTCCCAGGAATTTCTTCAGAAATCTACCGCCAATTTCCATTATATTTTCTATGCAATTCAATAAGCAAGGAGTCCTCATTAGCTTTCCAAAACTTCCCATACCTCTTCTCTGATGAACTAGAATCAGAGTCCTTGTTCTGCTTCCTAATAGACTTATTGATAGATGGCGATCTCTATTAGAACCAAAATAATTACTTTGAGTTTCCTCTCTAGCTACTCATATTTTTAATTAATTTAATCACTGCTCAACATTGATATTTGAATTAAATCTTTAAGTGTAAACTATAATTATAAAAATGTCATCAAAAATTAAATCAAATAATTTATCTAAACTCTGGAAGGGTTAACAACCGATTGTGTTATTTCTATGGCTTTTTAAGGGGTTTAAGATACATCTACACATTAGCTTTTATTTTCCTTGGAGATGGAGCCAAAGTGGTAGTCATTGTGGCTGGTGTTCTTGGAGTCAATACTTTCTAAAAGTCATTAGGGAGAAAGGGAATCGAACGATATTTATCAAAAATTTTTCGATGATTGGAAAATTTTCTCCTTTAATCAACTACAATCTGTTGCTGTTTAATTAAGAAGGAGTCGAAAAAGCTAGACTTGCATTTGGCCTGATTTGAACAAGTTTATGGAGCAATATCTTCCAGATGCTCGAACGAATTTATAATAAAATCATTATTAGGTTCACCACCCTCCTCTATTTGGATACTCTTCATATTCATATATTATGGATATAACTTTTCGTGTTGTTTCTTTTGAGTTCTTTAAAACTTATTTGCCAGAGCTTCTTGCTCCTTTATTTATTAAATTATAAAAACACCCTCCTTCATTGAATCCCTTTGAAAGATTGTTCCCTTCCCACATAATGAACAATCACAACTCTTCCTCTGCTGTTTTTCTTTGACTTCAATGAGTTTTTAAGATTATTTAGCATTGGTCGCCAATGAACCCCTTTTCTACGGAGATTATTCCCTTGTTTGAAGATCCTCATTGGTTTCTTTTCGAGATGGATGGACGTTTTTGGGTTAAGTTTCAAATCTGTACAAGAATCTTTGATTATGAGGCAAACTGAAGCTTCGTTTAACCCTCGGAGCATGAACATTTCTCAATAACACGTTCTTCATTTATGCTTATTTCTTTCTCTCGAGTCGCTCTGTCAAAGGTTGAAAGTGAACTTATAAATATGGTTTTCTTTATTTAATATTTTGCATAATTTTATTTAATCATTTATACAAATGACCACTCTAATGCAACTCATGAAGTGTTTTCAATAGATTCTCAACAAAATTAACTTATATCTCCTTCGGAATAGTACGAAATGCAGGAAAATGAACAAATAAGCAAGCTGATTTTGGGCAACCGTGACTTTTTAATAAAGAACAATAATAAATGAAGTTACAAATATATCTCCCTGGATCTGTAGATTCTTCAACAGGAAATTTATTTCCTAATTTCTCCGCTAACAATTCAGTATTTAATTTAGTTTGTCTGCAATGATCTTTTTCGCAATCCTTCTCGATGCATTCATTATGAGCTAGGTATCCTTTCATATCAGGAATTCCAAAATCCTTTAAATTGTAACCACATTGTTCTATGTTAAATACCTATGATCCATCATAAACTCCAAAATGAATATTCAAAGTATGATCAGGCAGATTATTCACATATTATTCACAAGCCACTGTAGAAACTTCTAATACTTCAGAACGAATGATGTTATATTTTGTTTTAAATTCCTCCGTAAACTCAGACACAATAACACTTGTAGGATTAGTAACTACATTCCCAAATTTCCCAAAAGCACTTATTGTTATTTGTAATTTATTGTTATTATCCATTATTAATTAATTTTTTTATGATTAATTAAATATATATATTCCTAACTTAAGAAATTATTTGAGATAAAACTACATAGAGTTTTAAATTGTTAGAGATTACATTTTAATAATTATTAATTTGGAGGTATCAGAAATTTAAAGTTCGTAAAGAGCGCAACTTTGACACTTCTTTGTAGAAGTATGTATATCATTCAATTAAAATTTAGTAGAGAAGATTTTTGACTTAACTTCTTTATTTTTATTAGAATATAAATTAATCTTATTATATTTTAAAATTGATATAACATAATTCCTGGTTATTATAAGAGTATTAACTTAATTAGATTAATTGTAATATAGATGGAATAATGAGAAATTCTAAAATATCTGATGTATAGTTGTTAGATTATTCTTCTTCAATAATTTAGATGAATTTAAACACATTGTTATTTTAATATCTATTTAAGCTAAATTGATTGAGTTAAAATTATTTGTATCATTTTTGGTTATTCATGAATAATAAATATTTTTAAGATTTATTACTTTTTATAGAAGAAAAGCTATTAAACTAATTAATCGATTAGAATAATATAAATTAATCTTTTCTTTATTCAAATGCTATTGTAATTTAATAATTATTTTCCTTAGTAAATTCTGGGTTATTTATAAAATTTGACTAAACTGGATGTAAATTGATAGACTCTGAATTCATATTTCTTATAGATATCAATAACTAACTTATATAAAAGATTTAAATTAATCATATGTTTAAAATGAAAATCATTATTACTCTGCCCATCTTGATGAATCTAATTCGTCAAATTTAACTAATAATTCAGGCTGGTCAACCTAGTCACTTTCAATTTAATCATGAGCATCTTGGATGTTGAGAAATAATGATTGGATCTACTTAGGCGCTTAATCAATTTTTTTAATATTTCCAAAATGATTTACTCCATCATTGGCATCATTTTCAGATGCTCCCCAAATATTTGTAATAGTTTTTTTTTAAGCATATTTAATTGGTTATTAATGGCTATTTAAACTTGGTTTCTTTTTTATCTTATCTAATCTTTTAGGTAATGGTAAATAACTAAGTTTTTCTTCATCTTCTTTTTAGAGTATTTAATCATACATGGATAATTAAATTATTTGTTCATTTTATTCCCCTTTGAAAATAATTTAGCTGGTTTCTTATTCTAAAAAATCCATATTTACTGCTTTTAATTCTATATTTTTCTCAATGATAAGTTTGTTATTCTCTATCTTTTGATGATCTGAAGAGGATTCTTTTTCTTGGATCTCTATTTAGTTCTATTCTTGAGAAAGATTTTAAGAATTTATGCAATATTCTTAATTTTTTAATTCGTCTAGTTGTAGATTGGAACCTTAGTTACCTGATTACTAAGGTTATGTGATATCTTCATTATTAGGGGTTTGTGCTAGTTGCTTGTCTTCTTTCGATTAATATATGGGTTTATCAAGATCTTTAGTTTCTGGATAGGATTGTTCTTTCTTTAATTTCAATTCTTGAGATGAGAATTAGGTGTTTTTTAAGTCTGCGAGATTGATGGCAAAAAGGTTGGAATAATAGGGGGTTCTTTGTCTTTACAGAATACTTTTTCCATTTGATCTGTATCGAATTGCTTCGAAATAGTTTAGCCAGAGCATGTAAATTTCATTTGATTATGCCACTAAAACAATGTATTTGTCGGTCAAATAAATCGTAAATCCAAAGGCTTCTTTCCACTCAACTCCTTAATTGGAGAGAGCATAATGTGGTTTATCAGAAACAGACTGTACTTCCTAAAATGAATAGCAAAGATACTTCAAAGGGGATATAGGTGATATCATTAAGAGAGTATCGTTCTTTGTTGGAATAGTAGAGTGTAATTTCAAGGAGATTTAGAGTAAAGTAGCGTTTATTGTAATCTTAAAATATTCTTGAAAGGCCTGGAAGTGGTTTCATCTTTTTAAACCAATCTGATATTTGAGGCTTAAGAGTTTAAGTGTATCGTTGATCAATAATAAACTTGGAATGCACTAAGTCCCTCTGAGTTCTTTCCAAATATTTTATTTTTTTAGACATTCTTAATTAAGTAATATAGTTATTTAGATAAATTACACTTATGAACAAATTATTTCTGATGCTTTTGATTATTAATTGTAATATTAATTTTATTATGAAGATCTATAAATCATTTGCATTTGATCAAAACATTCCCTAGACCGATTACGAGAAGTACATCAACCCTGACGACCTGTTGAATGAGAGCTTCGAGGAATTGAAGGGAGAGTTCAAAAATTACAGAACCAAGAAAGGAAGAGACATAATCAAACAAGAGATGGAAATGAGAAAGTAACTGCAAATGAAGAGTATCACAATAAATTTATAGTAGGGAAAAAAAATTAATCTGGGTTAGTGGTCTAACAAAAAAAGCATGAGGATTAGGATAATCAAAAAGACATGTTAGGAAACATTGGATTGTTGATTCGGTAGTAAGAGAGGAAGTGCAAATAAATTAAAAAGGAAGTGCAGTCGCGTACATAATTGAATATAGACATGCAGCAAACTTTGGTTAGGACTATACAACGATGAAACAGAAAATCCAGTAATTTATTTATGGGGACAATTTAGGAAGACTGATGTGACAAAATAACCAATATTCAGTTAAGAAGACTTTGCTAAGTTGATTCAAAGGGAAGATGAGGATGAATTGATTTAAACATAAACAAGGACCATGCATAAACCTAGAGAGTATTAATATTCTTGATAACATTAGGGGTTTCAAGTCTCGATTCATTGAGAAGTAAATTCCAATGTATAAGAATATGGAGCAGTCCTCTGAAATCGATTCAAAAAAGTAAATGGACAGCAAAATATTGACTAAATCAAATAAGACGATTAAACAGTATAATACCTAATCAGAATTCACATAGATTTGGTCTTTAGTAATCTCGAGAGTCCCCTACCAACGCGATGTTTGAAGGCGAGGCTAAACGCATATCGAAATCATATCTCTATAAGACTTGGCTTAAAGGAGAAGAGGCATAAAATAAGAAGTTCAAGAAGCCAAGGAGGACTGAGTCTTATCATAAGGCAGCTGCTTAAAGGGAAGAGATAAAGAGTTAATTGAAGGAAAGAGCCTAAGTGGCATTCAAACGTTATGAAAGTATGGGGAAGAGTATTACATTTATTAAAATCTTAAGCATGGGAAAAGTTCGGAGTATTTTCATAGGACATTTTGGATTTCAGAATGCAGACTTTAAAAGAGGCTAAAATCTAAAGATTGTATTAAATTAAAAATAATCAAGATTACTTGAGTAATAAGAACATGATCTTAAGAAGGTCGAATCTAATGAGTAATTAATTTATGTATTTTAAAAGACAGAGAGACCCGGACATGCTCACTCGATTAGTGAAAGTGATCACTAAACCTAATTCAGATAACAAAGAAGAAGTCAAAACTAACTTTGAGTATCATGAACAAAGACTTAAGGATATGAGAACGAGGACTAGATAAATTTAGAGAGCTGGATTTTGAATAATTATATTTATAAATTAATGCTATAAAGATAAAAACATGAACTCAAGGAATAATTTCAGGATAGAAAGAGGATTTATGAAGTAGTCTACAAAAAGAATGCTGACAGAGCAATCGTATTGAGCAATGTTTATGTTAATATCAAATACATGGGGAACAAATATTCAAAAGAATTAGAGGATGAGTTGAATTAATATATAGCATTGTTATGAAAATTTGAGATATAAATTAAATCTTTTTTTTTAAAAAGTATTATGATCATCTAGGTGGGTCACCTTAATGGAGAGGTGAAAACATACAACTTAGCAGATTAGAGTACTGCAGCTGAATTAATGAATGTTTTGAACTCTGAATTGGCATGTCAAGTTCAATTGGTTTAATCTGGAGAATTAGTCAATGCATCCTCAATTTTGGCAGGTGAAAGAATCTATTATGTCACCGTTGATGCAGAAGGAGGTAAGAAAAAGAAGAAAAAGAAGAAGAATTTTGCCAAGCCCAAAAAGAAGAAGCACCGACACCGAAAAGTTAAGTTGGCTACCCTCAAATTATACAACGTCGACAATAAGGGTGTTGTCCAAAGATCTCACAAATAATGTCCTCAATGTCCATAAGGTGTTTACATGGCCAAACACTTTGACAGACATTATTGTGGTACTTGCCACCAAACCTTCAGAATGGACGAAGCTACAGTAAGATTAATAACTATTTTTTAAGATTAAAGCCAACTTAGAAGCAATCAAAAAATAATAAGCTCTCAAAGCTGCTTAAGCCGCCGCTGCTGCCCCAGCTGGTGGTGCTGCCGATAAAGCTGCTGGAGGAAAAAAAGGAAAGAAGAAGTGAAATATATATTATCTAGTATATTAATACACAATTTATCAAATAATAAAATCTCAAAGGTTTTCATCCTTATTCTCTTATTTTTTGTATAATTAAGCTAAAAATAATTTCAATTTCTTCAAAGAGTTCAATGGATTATAGTATTAATTTATTTCATTTAAATATTATCTTTTCTTTTTTCATACTTACAGCTTGACTCTTAGCATTTTGAACCTATAAAATAATTAATCAATAACCATAATCAGTTCCTATCATATGAAAATTCTAAGAAGTAATATCTACTATTTTACTAATGTAAATAATTTATTTATAAGAGAACTATAAACTATACAATTACATGATGAACCTTCTACTTATAGATAATACTCTTAGATTTTTGAAACTCTGATTCTATCTTGATATTTTAAGAAAATGGATTTTGATAAATAACAAATTAATAAAAATATTAGACTTGTATTCTTCATTCAATATCCTTCTGAATTACTATACCTATTTTGTCTTCAATAACTCAGATAATAATTTTGGACTAGTACTTTTTAGATCAAAAGTTGCAACTACAATATTCTTTAGTTTTATAATTAACAATCTAACTAAGCTAGGTTTCAATTGATTTTCTTTAAAATATAGCTTGGTATATAATTTTCTAAATTATCTGAATAATATACGCCTAAAAACAAGATTGGCATAAATTATTAACTTCTAAAGAGTTGAGGGATACCAATAATATGACATCATTTTCTAAAAAAATGATGTAAGATACTCTTAAAAAATAAAGGAATGGAGATTTGCTTAATATTATGTAATACATGATTATAATTTTAATATTATGAATTTAATCAATTAATGTTAATAATCTAATATTTCATGCATATGTTATTCAATTTTAGTTGGATATGCTACTATAATTACACTAATAGCCTTTAAAGCTATAAACAGAATGATTTAGTCTTCAACTAGTATTCAAGAATTAACTCCGATGATATTATGCATTGTGTAATCTCTCTTACATATTATTCAATATGCTGTGACTGAAAATAATACCATACAAATAATTACACTCTATTTTTAAATCCTTATTTTCACATCGATTTCCTTTTTATTTGCAAAATTGTGCTTTTAAGTGAAGACTGGGACACTTATTTTGAGAAGCTTTAAATTGTTTAAAATTCTACAATTTATTTTTTATGGAATAATTTTGGTATTTTAAGTATTTGCCTTAATATTGTCAAACAAGGACTCATGTGATAAGTATAGAAACTTCTTAATAACATAGATATTATTATCTTAGTATAATTCTAATTATTGTTTAACAGATATCCTCTACAATCATTACAGCATATTTTGGAATTAATTTACTCAAAAAACTCCAAAGAGTAAGCTAATACATACAATTTAAAACCATGAATCCGAAAGCGTATTCATTTAATAAATCTTAGTGTTTATGATTCATATGTAAAAATGTCCTTGTGTAATCCAAGCGCTACAATCATTGAACCAAGAGAATTGATTTAGACAAACAAGTAAATTAAAATTGTCCTATGGCTAATGTTAACAACCATTATATTATATATATCCTTCATTTTAATCGCTATACTAGTATTCAAAAAAGTGACTTGTGAGCATTCAATTGATAAGAATAATTACAACATCTTAGTCGTAGTCTATGGAATCATTTAAATGACTCCATGTCTAGTGATTCCTTATGCATTTGGATTTATTCCACAAGTATCGGCTCAAGGTTAAGATTACGATGATTCCATCATAATTTTAGACAACTCATAGGCAAAATCAAAAGATTCTATTCAAATTTGAATTTCATATATGGTGTAACTAAGATAATTATATATCAATTGATTCAGTATTGAAATTATTATAAAACAAACAAAAATGAATAGTTATAAAAATAACTAATTCTAAGATCATTAAATATATATTTTAGATCTCAAGTATTTTTCTTGTGTTAAGAATTTATTCATATTAAAAATATAGCTAGTTCTCCTGGAAGTTAAAATTTAATTTCTAAATAATGCTATCTACTATATTTATATTCTTTTATTTCAATGTAGTAGATCCAAATATATCTGCTATATCATAAATCCTTTTTATTTTTAGTTTCTGAAAATAGAGTATTCTATTGTGCAGATATTCACTTTTAATACATCAAATTTTAGTTTAAATTTTAATTTAACTTTTGATCATTGATAAAATTAATTGAATCCTTAAATAAATGACAAAATGCAAAATTTTGGTTAGAGATATACAAATAAGTTTGAGAAAAAAAAAAATTAAAGAATTAATTAAAAATTATAAAATTAATGAATAAAAACATTTGTATCAAATTACATCCAGTCAACTTACATTCGAATGCTAAGTTTATTACTTTAAATCGAATATATAGTTGAAAAATTCATAGGTAATTTATTTTTATCACCAATGATATTTTTTATCTAGATTTTAGAGAAATAACTCAATTAAGAATTCTTATAAGTTAAAAAGTTGATATCAATATCTTCTATTAATGTACAAAACTTATTCATAATAATATTCTACTATTGTATAATTTTTAATAATTTAATAATTATTTGAAAATTCTAGTTCGAAAAAGATGAATTAGAAAAGCTTTTTAACTTGGTTCTAATTATTATTAAAAAGTGATTAACCTATTGTATTGGACTAATCTAATTGGCTTGGTTTTGTTAGTGATGTGCTGGATGTAATCTGCAGCTTTTTAATGAATAAAAATGATTCTAAAGGTGACATATTTTAAAGACAACAAATTTAATCTATAATCGAGTTACTCTAAAAGTTGATTTCTATTCTAAAAAATTTCAATGAAAATAGCATAAATGAATTGTTGAAGTTTATATTTTTAGTATTTCTAACTAAATATTTAATAGGTATCTAAGGAAATTCCAGAACTTGAATAATTAAATGTTGAAATGGATGAAGAGGATTAATATTAGATGTTTCAAGAATTGAATCTAACAGATAATGAAATTATATAGTTAAATTTTTCTAAATATGAACTTCTTTAAATAGTTGAACATGTTGAAGAAAAGTATAAATAGACTAAAGAATAATTGGAGTAAATCTTACCATAGTTTGAAAAAGCTTAGGAGAGCCTTAAATTATCAATAATTGCAAAGGAGGAAGAAAATAAAATGCTGAATAAATGTAAATGTTTTTAATTATTTTAGAAATTGAAGAATTAGTTGCAGAAATTGATCGATTAAGTATCATCAATACTGACTAATAAACTATTCTAAATTAAATTAGTGAATAACATCAATGCAATCCAGATCATAGTTAATTGTTGCAGTATTTACAAAGGTAAATATCAATTATATAATTTAGGCAACATAGCGTTATATAGGAATAGGAACATGAATTAGAAGAATTGCGTAAGATCTTTGCTAAAAAACAATTAAATAATATCTTTTAAGACAAAGAAAATTATACTAATGTTTAAACATTAGAAAGCAGAATATTTATTTATTCAGAAAAATTAAAAGAATTAAATTAATTGGTTCAAACACTACAAAAAGATTTGGTCAAATTAGAAATTTAAAAATCTTTAGTTGAGAAGAAATTAGAAGAAACAACCTAACAAAAAGATTCAGAAATACAAAAACTTAAATTAGAAATTGATGACATCTAATTACAGAACCAAAAACTATAATCTGAAATAAATACAAGATCTAAAGTTCTTTCGATTGATTCCTAATCATCTTAACATTTATTGGCTTAGGAACTTTAAGAGAGTCATGTAAAGATTCAGAATTATGAAAAGAATACTGATGGAATGTAAACAAATGCAGCATATCTATCATAAATTGAAGAACACTTTTTAGCCGAAAAGGAACAGTATCATTAAATAATATATAATTTGATGGCTGATTAAAAAAAATAGGAAAAACTGTATAATGATTTGCAGAAAGAAAATAATTAAATTTAGCAAAATTATCAACATTTGTTAAAAATAAAATATGAAACAGGAAACCTGACTCCTAAAATTAAGAAATTAGAACTCTAAAATGAATTACTTAAAAAAATAGTGGATGGGTTTATTTAGACAAATAGTTAATCTTGAATTATATATAAAATAAATATGTTTTTAATTTTATTAAAAATAAAAATTGTTCTAAATTTCTACATTTACTGTTAATTAGCTATTATTACTATCAGAGCAAAGTTCTTGTCTAAAATGAAAATATAATATTATCAAATTTAACATACAAATTCTTAAGTAACAACAACGAAATTTAGAGAGCAACTATTATTAATAATTTTTAACCGCTTTTATTCTAAAGCTAGAAGATTAAGATTAAAATCATTAATATGATTTAATAATTTAAAATAAAAGGAACTAAATCAACCTATATAATCTATGATAAGATCCTGGGTAAAGGGGCTTATGGCATCGTATTATTAGCAAAAACCCTAAATTCTGGAAAGTAGTTTGATGCTAAAATTGTAAAATATTGTTTTTTCATAATTTTAAGATAAACAAAAAGTCGCTCAGTCCAACTGACATAGTAAATTTGAGGAATGAGATCAATATATAATCCAAATTGTCTCATGCCAATATTGTTTCAATGGTAGATGCTTGTGAAGATAATGATTACTTATACATGCTGCTTGAGTACTGTAACGGAGGATGCTTATTTACAAATATGCAATTAAACGGTCCATTAAACGAAGAAAAAGCCTACAAATACTTTGTTTAAATAGTATAAGCTGTACAATATTTGCATTCAAATAAAATTCTTCATCGAGATATTAAAGTGTCTTATTTTCTTTACGTTAGTTATCTAATTTACTTTTAGACAAAGAAGACTAGATCAAATTGGCTGACTTTACATGGAGTACTTCTCTTTCTTTAGGATATTCGTCCCCTTAAATATGTGGAACAACAGAAGAGATGCCACCTGAAGTTATTAAAAAAGGATTCTAAAATTAAAAACTAGACATTTGGAGTTTAGGAATAGTTCTCTATGTATTTAGTTTATTAACATTATAGGAAAAGCTTCATAATGATCTCCCTAAAAATGGATAATTTTTTCTCAAGCAGGGAATTAGTGAGGAATGCAAATAATTAATGAAGTAGATGTTAGAAGTGGATATGGCAAAAAGACCTTCAGCTGAAGAAATACTTTCCAGTCCATGGATTCAAAAGTTCCAAAGAAATAACAGACTGATCATCAATACTTGCAGAAGTTATTCTGGATTCAAAGACAAAATGGGATCTCCAAATAAATTGTTTAAATAGGTTCTCCAATGGCTTCTCCTTTGAGAACTGCTTTTGGGTCACCTTTTGGATCACCTTTAAATTCTCCACTGCGAAAAGGCAAAATCGAAAAAAAGCAAGGATCAAATGATCCAGAGGAAAAATACAGATTTAGTAATTAAAAACTTTACTGATTTTTACCTTTAATATCTTTCTATACATATAAATCTGTAACATAATAATTAGTATTATCTTTAATAATACTAAATTAATTTAAATTCTACATTTATTTTGGTAATAAAGTGATTCCTAGATTATGTTAATAGTTTTTATTTATTATCTTTTTCAATTTACCAATATTCTATAGGTGTTATAGCAAAATATGATGCTACTAATATTATTCAGAATTTAATTTTCCTATATTCAGCGTAAGATACTGGTTTACAGGATTTCTGATTACTTTTTCAATTGGAATATATAATTGCTTACCTGCTCTGCTTGTCATTTACATTACATAAAATTTAAGAGTTAATATATCACATTGTCAAAGTTGGATTGAATTTTCTCTATTTAAAAGAATCGCAACTAAATAAGTAGCAAATATTTTGAGCAAATAAATAAGAATAAATTTATTCTCATCGTAGAGCAACACATTGATTTTATAAAAATATAAGTAGGTTTGTTATATAAATTAATAATAAATACAATAAGCGAAACTAACCTTTACCTTTCAAATGTGAATGTAAAATGAGAACTGTTTAAATAACAATATTAGTCCAAAGCTGACTCATATATATTAAAGATAAAGAATATTTTATCTAAATTTAAAAAGAAATTCTTAGATCATTTGAAAAAGCTATATAGATTTGGATAATCGTAGTAATCAAGCAAATACATTACAGAAATAATTTGTTACTAGTTTTGTGTTGTGAAATAAAAAAAATAAAAATGCTGGATTAGTTTAAAATTAGTGTGAGATGAATAGAAGACTGAATGATTTATATAGATAATTTGAAGAATGTTGCTTAAATTGGTTATAAATATTTGATTAAATTCTCAAGTAATGAAGAAATGTTATATAATATCTTTGAAAAGACGTGAATGGAAATATGTTTAATTTAATTTTGATAATCATTAATTAGATTAAATTATTGTGAATAAACAATGTAAATGGGGAACAAAGTTTTTGTTTTTACATAACAAGATTTCTAAAAATGTTTTGTTGTCAATTTAAACCCTCCCCTAGGCTAAGGACATGATGCAAGAGTCTATTTGGCTATGCATAAGAAGACAGGTGAAATGTTTGCTTTAAAAGTACTAACAAATCTGTCGCAAGATCATATCATAAATCTCTAGGTTTTTTTACATTTTATTTAGCGAACGAAATACAAATACTTAAGCGCATTGATAATCCAGGAACAGTTTTACTGAAGGGACATTCTGAGGATTATACTTGTGTTCTTTTGGAGTACATGCCTAATGAGACATTTTTAAAGATCCTAAAAAAGGGACCTTTTCCATTTCCTTTAGCAAAGACTTTGTCTGGCTACCTAATTAAGGTATTGGGAACCCTTCATACTGATGGGATTGCTCATTGCGACATAAAACCGGAGAACATTTTGATTGCTGCTGACTATAATCTAAAACTGTGTGATTTTGGATTTGCCAGAGTCTCAAATTAAAATTTAAGACCTGCTGGTGGTACTCCAGGATACACTGCACCTGAATTGTATGTGAATGAGACAATTAATTTTTTTAAATGTGACATCTTTGCGTTGGGAGTAGTATTGTTTATAATAGCGATGGGATTCCCTCCATTTTAAACGAATGATCCAAATTCAAGAGATGGGTGGTGGGCGTTAATCTATAATAAATAATATGAATTATTCTGGAGCAAATGCGAAGGTTTTAGATAACAACAATTTCCTAAAGAATTTAAGACGATGATTATGTCTATGTTGGAGATTGATCCCGATAAGAGGATATCTTTAGACAAGTTGCTGGAACATGAATTCCTTGTGGATGGAGCAACTGAGGAGGAAGTATTAATGGAGATACAGAAGAGGGTGAAGGAATGAAAAATGAGAATAGAGATTAGCAAAATATTATAAAATCATTTATTTAAAAAAATGTTTCGTATCTACAAACCATTCCTATATTCGATTCCAATTTTGGATTCAGTATTTTATATATAATAAGAATTACCTCTCATCTTTTAGAGGGAACTTAAAAATCCAAGGCCGAAGTGGAGGAGCATTTCCGCCCTTGATGTGATTATTCAATATCTTACGATAATTCAATGGATAAGTGCATCATAAAGCTAAACACTTTATTATTTATTTATTATATATATGCAAAGGCTTCTCAAACCAATAACCATATCTTAACCAATTCTACAAAGAATAGAGAACACGAGATCAGATTGCTCTTCTGATGAAGACCTTAGTTTTATTGAAACTCTAAGAGCTGAAGCTCAAAATCCCATGATAAAGAACTTCTAGGGAATGGAGTGCCTTGTGGATGACACAAAAGATATAGAAGAATTCCTTAATTCTCTTGATTGAAACCAATGAAAACAAGGGAATACCCACTTGGGGGCATGAACCTTGTTTTCGACTGATTATAATCATAAAAACTTTTAATCAAAAACATTCTTCAAAATCTTTGCTAAACCCTCATGTTGCCTAGTTCTTTAAAGCCATGTCCAAGTATGGGCCAAAAATAACCTTTAATCATATACAATACAGATAAGCCAAGCATAGTGAATATGAAAGGCATTAGTAATATTTACATCATTCTAATGTTCGAATTCAAACAATAAAAACATTTATTCCTTATATCCACACGATTCTTAATTGTGAACTAAGATAGGTTTTGTAAGTTCTCCTTTTGTTATCACAAATGGATATATATTGAAAATTAAGCATACGTTTTTTGATCTTTTATATGAATAATTAAAAGATGATAATCTATATTTAATTACATCCCTTGTTGTAAGGGATTCACGAGAGGTCATAATTATACTAACACAATATTATTAAATAACTTAATCTTAATGTGTATAATTCCTAAAGAATTCTTAACTATTGCATTTTTTATAATTAAAATTAACCTTTTGAAATAATATTGTTAAGTCCTTCAAGATAACTAAAATTATATGCTTCATGTTAATTTATAAACAATTTGAAATTATTTAGATGTATAATAAAAAATGAATCTCAGTCTGAATAATCATCATCCACCAAGGATAAGGTCTAGGTTTGAATTTCCTACTTAATATTTATCTCATCTTATTCTTCTTCTTTGGATACGCCAACCTTCTCTCCATCCTTTTCACAACAGACCTACTTTTTGACAAACTTTGGTTTAACAAACTACTATTGCACTTATTTTGGCTATTATTGAATCACAACTTATTTTAGATGTTAAGTAACACTATGCATTGTCTTATCTCTAAATGTGAAATACAATTATACTCTTTATCATCGACATCGGACACTCTCTTAACTTTGAATTAATCTTTGAATTCTTTTTATTTTTCCCATTCTTCTTGAAGTTCAAGAGCATCTAAATCGTAAAAGAGTTATTTAAGCAACATGTCAGGAGTGAATTAAGTTTGTCTTCTGTTGAGTTGATGAGTGTCATCGATGGCATCTAAGATGTCCATTTCTTTCTTGGAGTCATGAGTCTTGTTTTCTAAGAATTTCATGGAATCCCCTTGTTCTTCATTGGCTCTCATTTATTTAAGAACCTCTTCAGCTGCTTTTGCATCTCTATACGGATCGTAATTTCTGGTTCCTCCTCCTTCAACTATGTAATCATGATTTCGAGGATCAGTTTTAAAAGTAATTTCAGCATAGCAATATCTAATGGATGGATTGAATTGATTACGTGCATTTAAAGTAGAATCGATGAATGAGAATACCCAGATAGTTTTCAGTCCAAACAGTCTCCTTCCTCATATTAAATTTGGTTCCGATGTAGAGATAATTACCACAATGGTTGCATTTCACAGTCATTGGAAGCATATTTCTGACATTGTCTTATTTTCCTTTTGGACGATGATTGTTTGGCAATAACTTGGGATCAAAATCAGGCGGATAATATTTAACTAAAACTTTTCTTTCTGCCATTAAATAATAATAATATTTATGATGGAGATCTAAAAAATTACCAAGTCAATATAAAGTGATTCGACCTTACATAAGTCGAATTAGAATAAAATTATCAACTCATCTAAGTAGAACAACGAAGAAGGACAAAAAGACTTTTTAAAATTATAAGCTATTCTTGAATCGAAAACAAAAATTGATAAAACCCAGAAATCTAATCCATCTCAGAAACCGAAGTCATAAGGCATCCCAGAATTAAAAGTAAAAGATCCAATTAAGAATAATCCAAATAATAGTGTGATTACCAAGAAGCATGATGAATAGAAAAAGCAAACAAAGGAGCTTGTAGTTAAGCAGAAAGAAGGGGAAAAACACCATGTCAAATAAGAAATAGGTAAATTCGATAAAGTTTAGAAGCAAATTAAAACCAATCCTTCAACTTCTGCGCAACAAGCACCTAAACAGAAGGAAGTGAAGGACAATTCTTATTAGCCATTAAAAATACATAAGCCTATGATCAAAGATAAAGTAGTTTAAAAAGATGATGACGAAGCTAAAGTTCAATAGAATGAGATCATTATATAAAAGAAAAATAACCAAAACAATGATAAGCAAGTTTCTATAAAGAAGGATAACTTGGATGAAACAAAAAAACCATAGCCTGTACTTGTAGCAAATTAGCAATCATAGAAATAATAAATTAAGAAAGATCTTGGAGAGGAAAAGCTCATGTAGTTACTATTAAGTTCATCCAACAAAAACACTAAGAAGAGTAAAAATAAGGAGAAGGAAAAGCAAGAGCAAATAAAATCAAAGGAATCCAAAGGTCAAAATCCATAATTCAATTCATCTATCAATAGGGATAAAATCAAAGAATTATAGAGCTAGAAATCAAAGCCTTTTTCAATTAAACCCTAAATCAAAGACCTAAGCATTTAAAAATTAAGCCAATAAAAGAATTACATTAATGATGATTATGATTTAGATGATTCGTTTATTAATGATTCAGAGAGCGTAGATGTAGAGATCGATCCAAAAGAAGTTGTCACTGAATTAAAGAAGTTGCAGAGGTATTTCTTAAGTTTATAAGAGTAGAAAAAAGGAAGGTAGAAAGCAGGGCGATCTAGATGATGACATTGAAGAGGCTGGTTTTGATGTCATGTTGAAGGAGGAAAAGAAGTCTAGAGTATTGGGGATTATAGATGACTACAGAGAAGAGAAGTATATAAAGAAAGAAATTAAAAAAGAAAAACAACAGAAGAAGAAGTTAATGGAGATGAAAAATAAATAGGAAAATAAAAAAGAAGAAGATGCGTAGTGAATTTAAACTATATTTTAATGATATAAATAACACATTAATAGACTACTGATTTTTAAGCAATGATAAATATAATAAAAAATTGTTCATTTAGTTATTGCTTTAATGATATCCATTACAAATTCAGGTTTTCTACTTTCAACTTTAGGAGATCCAAATATATCATCGTCATCTCTTTCTTCAAATGACATGACATAAACATGAGTCTGATTTCTAGAGAGATGAATGAATAGAATTATTACTATTAATTGAAGATCATGTTTCCCTTGTGTCCTCCAATAATCCACAATTCATTTCCACTTCCCATGGTATCAGCAGCACAATAACATCTTGGAATGGGGATGGTACCATGTATTTTAGGTTTAGTCCTGAGATTTATTAATTAACAATATTACCAACCCAAGGTCTCAGGATTGAAATGATAGAGATCTCCGAGAATATCACTTGAATGTTCGCCTCTTCCTCCATAGATGAACAAGTGTCCACCTAAAGCACTTCCCAGATGGCCATGTCTTGGAGAAGGCGGTTCTCCCTTCATAACAGGAGTTAAATTAGCCCAACTGGCTTCTTTGGAGAAATCCAGAACCCACAAATCATTGAAATTAGGAGTGTAATGTCCTTCAGGAAGCGACTGACCTCCGAAAATGTACAATTTGTCTTTGATTTAAGTGGCTGAATGGGCAGATCTTGGAGGAGGTTTGAGTGCATGTTCATCTAGATCATAACTATGTTTAGATTGGAATAAATACTGAGTCCACATCATGGTGGTTAGGTCTAGACAATAGATGTCATTGTAAGTCTTCTGCACTTCAAGATCATGGCTGCAGTAGTATCCGCCAAAGTAAATTAAGGATTGGTAGTTGGAAAGCAGAGTCAAAGAGGCTTTTTCCCTGGGAGACGGAAGCTGCCCCTTGGGTTTGCTTTAGATCCAAGTTTTTGAAGTAGTGTTGTAGACATAATAATCATCAAAGACCTTGTCTGAATTCAGTCCGCCATAGTAGATTATTTTATTCCCATATTTAATTGCACTAGATAAGTATTTAAAAGCTACTTATGGAATGCTCTTGGATCAGGAATGGGTCCTTTGGTATCCTCGACGACTCTGAGTTCTTTGGTTCTGGGATTGAGGATGTGTAGGTCATTTTTAAAGTTATGGCCTGTGCCTCGACCACCGAAAATGTAGAATTCATTTCCGATGCCAGTCATTGTTAAGCCATGAATTCGTTCATACTTCTTTTGGATTTGATATTGGGTGAAATACACGTTATCGTAATTTTGGGGATGGTAATGTAGCTGTTTTCGATTCACGTGAAGAATGTTATTTTTAGATTGATAATTGTTATCCACAGTGGGCAAAGTCTCATCATAGACATATTATCCTGCAATGAGAAATTTGTATTGATATGAACCAGGAGCCAGATGCAAATATGCGTAATTGATGTACTTCTTTGCAAAGCCTAAGAATTTCCTATTCAATTTAATGGGTTGCTTCCATTCATCCCAAGAGCCCATCACAAACATCTCATTCCAGTCCAAATAAGTGCGTACTTTTACTTTCATCAAGTCTTGCTAAGATTCATAAGAGTCTCTTTACTTTATAGTTTTATCTAAATTGAACATCTTCATCTGTGTTTGGCTCTTGATCATCAGAACTATCCACTTGAATCAATTTTCTTGGGACGACTTCCAACTAGGTTAATAGTGGTTTCTTAGTACCCAATTATTATAAGTCCCGAAATTATTGTAAATTACATCTGCATTGGGATCATGTTTCCAAAGGCCATCAACATTGAACTTATATTAATGGTAACCTGGAGGTAAAGGGGGATTGATTTCGGCTTGTAAGAAACTAGAATAGCATAAAAGAGAGTACTAAGGAGGCTGCTTAGATTTCACCATTGGGTATCCTACTTGGAAGTGACTCCATGACCCATATAGGGTAACGAGATTGCCTTCGTATTTCCATTCAATCACAGCTGAGTTTACTGCGCATTCCTGGTCTTCGTGACGATTGCCACATTGTTTGCAATAATTTGATAGCATATTAAATTATTGCTAAGGTATTTAATTGTACTCACTAAAATAATAGGCAAATGATTTTTTGTTTATGTATTATTAAATTTATCGAACTGTTATTTATTCTGAAAGTGAGATTATTTTAAATATGGATATATATGTAGTAATTCTATTGTGCTCTTTGGCATGCAATTAATTTTAATGATATCAATAATAATATTGATTAATATAAATAATCGAGGATTATCAGAAATAATTAGAATGAATATTTAATTTGAATTGAGTATAATAGCGCGTATTTATTTATCCTAAAAAAGAAAGCGAGGGCATATTTGAAATTCAATAAATAAAATGGATAAGAAGTTTATAATTGTATCCCTGGAAGGAAATGTGGGTGCAGGCAAATCAACCTTATTTGAGATTTTGAGACAAGAATTCCCGAAGGCAATTTTCCTCATGGAGCCCTTGGAATAGTGGCAGAACGTGCATGGTAACCCCAACCTAAATATCTTGGAGAAGTACTACTCAGACATTCAACGTTGGGGTTTCACTTTTTAAATTTATGCTTACCAATCCAGATTAATGGCTTGGGACAAATAATTAAGAGCAGTAGTCAAAGAGCAAAAATTGTAACAGATAGACAATCAATTTTCATCTCCATCAACCAACGCTGATGATGAACCCATCCTCGTATTTACTGAGAGAAGCATTGAGAGTGCAAGGGAATTGTTTTTCAAATTGTGTTATAATGATGGAACAATCAACGAACTTGAATATCACATATACGAAGAGTTTTATGAGTGGCTCATGGAACACTACAAGTAATATTTGGTGGATTGTGTCATTTATGTTAACACTCCTCCTGAAACATGTTTGGAACGTTTGACTCGCAGAGGCAGACAAGAAGAAGCATGTGTCCCACTCGATTACTTGAAGAAGTTACATTAACGACATGAGGATTGGCTTTCTGATAATACTAATAAATTCAAAATCATAAATATCGATGCTACCAAAAACTACGTTAAGGATTTGGATATCAAAGAAGCTGTTCGCAGACAATTAATTGATGAAATATCCACTTTGATTGATTGATAAGTATACTAATTATCAAACATTTTTTTATTTAAATTTTTTTACATGAAGAAAATTATTTCAGAGAACTTATCTCCTGAAGAGGCAAAAACTCTCTGGAAATATCTTGATGATGCTTGCTATCTGATCGCTGAACATCAAAGTATAAAATACTAGATTGAGATTTCTAGCTAAACAACTCTCCTTTGCTGAATTGTATCAGCATGCTTACAAGTTGATACTTAATAAGTTCGGAGATTTCGCCTATTCTTAGTTGCAAATCTCCATTCATAACGTTGTGGATAAACTCATCTCGCCCCTAAATATTAGCAATGATGATTAATTATTGTATGATTTTGTATAGGCCTTTGAAGAAGTCCAGCATTTTAGTAAATTATTGGCAGGCATTCTACTTTACATGGTATATTTCCTTTTATCTATCAATAGGAAAAATCCTATATTCTCTAGAAATCTCTCAAGACTATAAAAACTATTTGCAATGAAAGTTTTAAAATTAAGTGCTTTGAGAAGGACCAAAATCTAGCTAATAAACTACTCAATTGTTTCCTTAGTCAAATACGCAACGATAGAAATTCTCAATTCATTGAACATTTTAAATTGAAAAAAGCATTATAAATACTAGTAACAATTTTCATTCACTTTAGATTGATCTCAATCAAGAACAACAGATCAAAAACAAGGAATACAATTACACGATTGATTATAGAATCAATGACGACTTCTACAAACACTTTCTAGAACGCAAACTAATTTAAGATTCTAGGAGCTATTTTAAAGAAGAGAGTTAATCAAATCTTAATAAAATGACTATTGAAGAATACATACTTTTTGTTGAGAAAAGATATTTAGATGAAGTAGATAGAGTTCAACATTATATACCTAAAATTTCACATCAAAAAGTTTTGGATTGCTTTATCAAAATTTATATCACCTCCAATGCACAACACATCTCGTAAGGACTTTATGATTTTATTGAAAATGAAAAAACTGCCATTATCATTATAATATTTCAATTATTTGTCAAAAGCGAGGAATTCGATTTATTTGTAAAAACATTTTCTTAGATTATCATTGATGATTTACAAATATTGAATTAGAATGCAAACACTTTACAAGGATTCATTAAATTATATGAGAAGATATTCTCCTTATATGATAAAATTGCTCAATATGGGAACAATGAGCATCAATATAAATTTCATAAAGCCATTAAAAGTATTTCATTTATTAATAATATTAGATGCTTTTGAGTAAGTCATTAATAAAGACAATTTTATAATGATGGAATTGAATATATACTTTGATTTCTTAATGAAAAAGGAGACTTTGAGAGATGAAGAGAAAAAGCTACAAATTGATAAGGGGTTTCTCATTTTCAAATTAGTTTAATCAAAAGATGAATTCGAATAAATTTATAGGAAACACCTATGTGTTAGATTATTAGACTAAACTTATAGTTCTTTGGAAGTCGAAAAAGATTTACTGAAGAAGCTGAGATTAGAATGTGGATCAGTCTTGACTCACAAAATGGAAACCATGTTCAGCGATTTGGAAAGAAGTAGTGAGGATAGTTAAAAGTTTAGACAGAAATTGTCATAAAATTAAAGAGATTCCATTGATTTAGACATTCTAGTTCTTACGTCTGAATAATGGCCAATTACTGACTCTTAACCAATTATAATTCACACAGAGTTGTTGTTATGGCAATAATAATTCACTCAATATTATTAGAGCAAGAATTCAAAGAGAAAATTGTCATTTAACTATGGATTAGGCTCAGTGTCTCTTAAAGCTACTTTTGATTAAAATAGTAAAAAAGATTTTGTATGTTCTGTCTTTCAAGCAACCATTTTAATGCACTTCAATAAATAACGTGTCTATAAGGTGGATGAATTGATAAAATTAACAAACTCAGACAAAGAAATAATGTAATATGAATTGGAAAATCTTTTATAGTTTAAATTATTAATTTAGAATGAAGAAGAGAATTCATTACAACTAAATTAGAAATTCCAAAATCGTAGTTATAAAATTAAAGTTCAACCAAAAAAGCAATAATCGATGGCTTTATGTTCCAAATAAAAAGTTAAATGTTAGGAACTCTAATTAGATTCAAAAGAAATTGCATTAGATAGAAGAGTGTATTTGGAATCATTATTGATTGTATTCAGAGTTCTCAACGACAAAAAAACAATTGGATCACAAAGATTTATTTAAATATATTGACAAAGATGCTAAGACCAGACACTTTCCAGTTGAAATTCCTTTTTTTAAGGAATGCATAGAAAATTTGATTCAAAAAGAATATTTAATAAGACAAGAAGGTTAATTAGATACTTATATCTATAAAGCATGATAAACATTATAAGATTATTATAAAATTTCTTTAAAATTTATAAAGCTAATAATATTTTTAATAATCTCTTCTTATTAATATTTAAATAGATTGTTATAAATATTCAATTCACTTTGTGATTCTTGTTTTAATTTATAGAAGCTAAATATTCTTAAATAATTAGTGAACCATATGTAGATTTGATTAATAAGTAAATAAATATTTATATATACATATAAGTTGTTTCATTATATGTTACAAGCTATGTATTCATCTGATTTCCTTGCCTTGTTCTTTTCAAAATTATGTTAGCATTCCTTAAAGATTGATTCAAATTCCTTGCAATTGCTTTTACAAATAATTTTGGAAACTTGAGTGGTTTAAGTTAATTCATTTTTTTCTACATTAAAACTCGAATTTTTAGTCTTAAATTTTTGAACTTTCTCATTCTTCTTCTCAGGAGAACTAAATTTGGATTAAGGTATGCTGTTATTTAGAACCAACATAGAATCTTATAGCTACCACTTGTCTTTATTAGGAGTCTCAATATTCTATAAATTGCTTGCATAACTAAATTTAGATTAAGATTTCAGATCCATTTATGCTGGCTACTAAGTTTTTTAACCAAAATCGGCTGAAATATTACATGCGGCATCCTTATTCAACTATTAAGATTCAGCGAATGAAAAAGTTCTTTTTTTTGATATTTATTTTATTGTTGATTAAAGTTCTTCGTTTTTTAGAGATTAAACACAAGAACTAAAGATGTTTGAGTATTTATTTTCGGTTACGCTTTAAAAATATTCAAGTGGTACAATATTATAGATTGGGTTCTAACTAATGTAAATGCTAAATAATAATACAATTATGTATTATCGTAAGCCTCTAATGACTGATGAGTATCAATCCTTAGAGCATCATTGAATAGTGTATTTGATTCTTTTAAGTTGCAAACATATTCCTCAATTTTTAGCATTTATCAGTTAAAAAAAAAATCGATTATATTCAAATAGATGTTTAGATTTTATATTTATTATAATATATATAAATACATATCCAACATCAATGACATCTATAAAAGCAGTCCTGATTATTAGAGTAAATGACCATCAATTGCTCTTCTCCAAGTCATATAATAAAAAGAACGTATATTATAATTTCAAATTATTTAGATTGATTAAGATTATCAAATAATTTTAGAACATATGTCATAAATAAATCCAAGAGCAGAGGAAAGAGTTACTCTAAAAACTGCTAATGGTGTCTGGCGTTACAAACTTGATGAGAACAAAATTGCTTATGCGTGTATACAAATGTATTTACATTAGTACTTGCTACAGAGAGTTATCCTGATAGATAAATAAATGCTATGATAAGAGTAAGATATTCTAATCAATTTAAGGAAATAGAAAAAGAATTAAAAAAAATGCCTGACTATGTAGATGCCTTACCTAATGATGTTGAAAAATATGCTAAAATATGGATGAAATAATTACATGAAAAATATGATAATTTGGCAGGAGTCGATAAAGTAATACATTTACCCTACTTGTTAAGGTTTATGCTGCATAATAAAAAGTTGAGGAGGTTTAAATTGTTATGGAGGATAACATTCACAAAATGATAGATCATGGTTAATAACTGGAGGTATATTTTTTGCAAAATTACTCATAGAATTTAGATGAAAAAGCAGAAAATCTCAAAAATTAATCGAAACAGTTCCAACAATAATCTCATGAACTTGCTAAAATCATGTATTGGAGGAACATGAAACTAAAGATTCTTATAGGCCTTATTGTGTTAGCCGTACTGCTTTATATTATTGTCCCATTAGCTATAAATGCTTCAAATTGAAAAGTCATTTTGTATCAAATATAATATTTAGAGATCTTCTATTTGCCTTATTAAACAATATTCTATTTTATAAATTAGTAAATAGTATGACAAGAATATCACATCTTAATTAGGTTTATAGAATTAAATGTGATTTAAGGAATAGAAGTATAATATAAAATTAAAACACATAATTAAAATTTCATTTTTTTTTGGATTCATAAATAAATCAGAGAACCTTCTATTCCAGATATCTTTTTAAACTTATTTTCCTTTTATTATTATTCATTTTTTGTTTTGTATTACTTTTAGGTCTTCTTCTGAATTATTATTATCTAACAATTCTTTACTCAATTCTCCAAAGTATCTCTTTTATCGTTAATAAGAACCTTATAAGGTTTAGTAAAATGCCCTTCTCTATATTATTCTAGCTTTATTGTTTTTTTAATGTTTTTCAACTATCCTCCTATTCTCAATATATTACAGATTCAACTTTTTAGAGAAGATTATTCAATCCACCACAAGATCACATACTTTATTTATATAAATTATTAGTTTGAGTATCAAATATCATCATCTTCGTACATTTCATCGTAAAGTCCATCATACGAATTCACTCCTGGCATTAATCGAGATTAGATCTCTTTTTCTCTGTACTTCTTTGACTTTGAAGCATTCTCAGGTCCTGTCATTCTGCTTAAGTAATACATGACTTTAGTTGTAATTTCTATTTTCTTCTCTTTTTCTGATTCCTTTGAGAAAGTTTATTAATGAGACCCACTTGAATCTTAATGTTACAATGATGGTAGCCTAATTCTAATTTTAGGTCTCAGTTATTCAATCAAATTGTCTTCTGATTTATCTCTTGCTGAATAGGGTTTCCATGAAGTAGCCTTGTATTTTGTGGGTACTCTGTAGATGTTTGCAAATTGATATTCTTTTTTTGGAATTGTTCGAGAGTATTAAGGAGAATTCAAAACACTTTATAATATAGGGTTCATTTTTATAACTTAATACTATTATACACAAAAAATCAAACCTGGGGCTTTTTCTTTTAAATCTTTTTTTAAACATTTTACACTCTCGCATTCTAATTAAATTGCTTAGGTTTCCTATTAACCAACTACTTTTTGATCTATTTGGCAATAGGAACTCTATTAGGTTTCTCAACTTAAGTCTATTCTTATTCTTGATCTGCTTGTCTCCTCTACACTACACTTACACAAAAGCACGTCAATCTCTAATTTGTTCTAATGACATAAATGGGTTTTAATTTATTCTTGAGATCAATATCATCAAATTATTCATTGGCATATAATAAGCAATCCCAAATTTTGATGTCGCCATCAGATGAAATAGATGCCAAATATGTTTAATCGTTCAAATCAAACAATTACAACTACTTGATTCTTTTCTAATGAGCCATAAATTTAACTATGATCTTGCTTTATAATTAAGTGTCGACTGTCAATTTTATCATATACACCATTCCATTTGCATCTTGAATAAATCAATTAAGTACCTGAAAGAATGAGTGAGTCCTGATTTAAAATTGAATCCGTTATCTAGGCTGTAAAATCTATAGTGTGGGCTACCTTATTGGTCTCACAATCAACTATATAGCATTTTCTGTCTGATTGAAATAATAAATATTGGATTTCTTCTTCCTTTGAAATGAAATGAATCTTATCAATATCTAAGGTTTTAGAAACAAGTACTAAAATGAAATTTCTTCAATGCAATTCTTTTTAAATTCATCAAATTATAGAGATGCAATTTCTGATCTTTGGTTGCACAAGCTAAGATCTTTCCTGATTCATGAATAGCTATGCATATAACAGGACTTCCACATTGGAATGTATTAAGTATAGCCCATTATTTATTTCTCCATAAATTTACTTTTCCATCTTCAGCCGCTGTGAATAGAAAATTAGTGTGGCCTGCAATCTAAGTTATCGTTCCATTATGCTGCTCTAATAAGGTGACTTCAACTCTCCTTCTGACATCATACACCTTGATCAACTCCTCAGAACCTCCGATGAACAAATAGCGTCCATTCTGATAGGTTGTTTTGATTAAAGACTCAAATAATAAAGTAAATGTACTGTGGAGGCTGGAAATGAGTAGAGAGTATTATTCGATGAAAATTAATCATCTAAAGAGAAACCTAAAAGTTTGCCATCATATGTCCCCACATTAATATTAATTTCCATTTTAAATTAATTAATAAATAGAATACAGATTATTTATTCATAATTTATATCTTTTACTATAAGAAGCGAATTTTAGATCTCTAATAAAAATAGAGAATCTGAGGATTTACCAAAAAAATAGTTCTACCCTAGAAAACCTATATGAAACCATAGGTGCATAATCACTAAACTAGTTTCCTATTTAAAGTTAATAAATTTCACAATAGTCAATCCAAATTTTAAGGTTTTATCAACCAATCTTCTATCTTTTAACTTATTTACATTAATATCTTCTTTGATTTCCTATCAACTCTAATAAAGTATAGAATTATTTTAATTCTCTCTTTCTGGAATACTTTACTTATCAAAATATGCTGGTATTTCTATTAAATTAAGTATCCTCTATTATTTTATAATAATTAGTTCTAGATGTATTTGCTTCTTAACCCCATTATGACTATAATGAAAATAGTTAGTTATTTTCTTATAAATATTTGTATATATATAACGAACACATTCAAATTAATAAAATAAATTTAAATAATTAGTATTGATGGACACTAGATAGTCAGAGCACTCTAGAGGCAAGTCTTAGACTTAAATCAAAATGCGTAACCCATTCGAACTTCTTATAAGTAATGTTACTTTCAATATATAGAAATAATCAGATTACCAAATGTTTGCAATAAATGTGGACATATTACTAGAATGAAAGAAATATCAGATATTCTCGAATAATTTGACACAATGACATCTTAATAAATTGATACTATTAATGAAAAACTAATTCAAAAATCGAACTAAATTTTAGCTGCGCGTCAACAATTAGTTAAAGACACAAAAAATGAGCTCTAATAATCATTGCAATAACTAATTTAAGTGAGATAGAGTATGGGCTCATCTTTTAATTTTGAAGACAAAGAAAAGTGTTTAGAGCGTGTTTGTGAGGTAATAATCAATAATACTATTTTTAGGACATATTATGCAATGTCCAAAGAATAGATTGAAATATAGAATTCTCTTTCTGAGCTAAATTCAATAATTTAAGAATAATATCAAAAATTTCATCAATTTCCAAATGAAATCACTGAGATGAACAAATTAGAATATCATGACAACCTGGAAATTAGGGAAAGATTAGAAGGTGCTTTAAGGATTAATTAGAGTCATAAAGATATTTTAAAGGAGATCTTGATAAAAATAGGAGAGGAAAATAAGAGTTACACATTTGATATCTAGTTATAATTTAGACAGTAGCAGTTAGAAATGTTAAATCTTTTACAATGCAATTAAGAATAAATTAAGGAGATAGAAAGAATTGAGGATGAATTGAATGATAAGAAATTAGAATTATAAAAATATGCAATATTATTTAGTTAATTTGAGAAGTAAAGATAATTAAATATTTTAGTCCTTTCAAATCAAATAAAGTAAGCTCTGAAGAAAGTAGTGCTAGCAATTTCTAATCAATTTAGAAGGACATTATTTAGCCACCATCATCAATTCAATAAAGTCGAAATGTATTTTAAGACATTAAGAACATTTAATCGAAAAGGTTTTCTTAACCATCTATAAATGAAAATAACAATATGTGCACTTTTTAATCAGAACAATTCTATTCAATTGATTAATCTCATGGGAATTTGAATCAAGAGTCATCTTAAAAGTCATCATAAAACAATAGCAAATAAATTGAGAATTCAGTTGTGATTAATTAGAGATATGGAAATAGCATATCCAATAAATTTAACAATTCCAAAGCTACTAGTTTAATTTCATAAATTAATTCTTAATAAAATAATATTCCTATTTAAATAGTTGCTAATTCTACTAAAAAAATTAGAAATTCCATTGACACAAATCCCATGATGTCTTAGGAAAGTTTTGATAATGAAAATGAGAATGAAAACGATGAAAATTCCCCAAAAATCACTCCTACTAGCAAAACATTTACTTTCATTAAAGTTCCCCACCCTAAGCCATATAGGGCTAGATAGTTAGGAGCTGTGATTGAAAATTTTATTCTTTTAATTATATTTATGGAAAATTCGTATGATAGATCTCACTAATAAATTTCTTTAATATTAAAATTTCAATTATCTATATAATTAATCAAAAATTTATTTTTCTATTATGTTTAATTGGAAGGATAAGTACTTAACTAAAGATAAAACATTTTTCATAAATTACGCCAAGTCAACTTATGCCATCAGAGTTTCAGACAAGCATGAGGTGTTTATTAAAAAGTTTAATCAGAAAGACAATCCATCTGATTCGAAAGTGTTATCAGAATAGAAGCATCTTTATGATTCTGATCAAGATGATATAGTGGTTATGAAGCATCTTTATGAAAATAATCATGATAATATTTTTTATATGTTAATGGAAATGTACAACAGTTAAGGAAGATAAATTTACTTATATAGTAATGGAAAAGCTACAGACAATCAATTTAAAATGAATAAACTGAAATAGATAATAAACATGTTTTTGATATCTGAATAAATAATGTATTTTCTGAAATAGATAATCAAAGGGTATAGACATCTAATGAATTTTGGAATTTTTCATAGATATTTAGATCCGAAAAATATATATTATGTTGGAAATAATAAGGATATTATATATAAAGTAATTATGCTCTAATTCAAATTAGATTGGGGGATTTGGTCATTCTAAATTTTTGGATGATCAGGATTCGTTAGGGGAAGAGTGTACTAAGCAATAAAATTGGGGTTATTATTAGGCTCCCGAATAATAAGAGATTAAGTATAGTTATAAATCGGACCTATTCTCAGTAATTAACAGCCTATAACATTTTAGTTAGGATTAATTTTACATGAGATGGCAACAAAATAATAACTTAAATCTAAAAAAGAACTAGAAACAAAGAAATTAGATTTATGCGATTTGAATATAGATGATTTTTTAAAAAACTTGTTACTTCAAATGATTGTTTTTAAACCTTAATAAAGGCTTTCATGGTCACAGTTAATTATAAGGATGTTTTATAAAAGCATAAAGTTGGAGCACTAAAATGAAATAACAATATCACTGGAAAGAAAATAAAATTGTTTCATTAAGATAATTAAAAAGCCAATAAAAAATTATGAGATTTGCCTAGAAGAAAGGGCCAAATCAGAAATGGAGATTAATAGAGTATTACAAAGAAATGAAAATAAAAATATAGTCAAAATATATGACCTGTTGCATGAACCTGACAGTTCTGAGATCTACATAATCATGGAAAAATGCGAAGGAAGTCTGGCAGACCTTTTAGAAAAAAAAAAATTTAATATTAAAGAGATATTAGACTTGGTTTCATAAATAAATGATGGATACGAATTTCTACAACAAGAGAAAATTATGCATAGAGATATTAAGCCAGAAAATATTCTATATAAGACTGTTGAAAAATAAATCGAATATAAAGTGATTTTTTTTATATCAATAGATTGCTGATTTTGGAATTAGTTGTAAGGCTGAATAAGCCTACTCGAAATGTGGCACAACTCCTTATAAAGCTCCAGAAGTAAAAGGAGACTTTTAATATTATAATAAATGCGATATTTATTCGGTTATTATTACAAATATTTTTATAGCTTGGCATTCTAATTTGTTATGTTGCCCAAAAAAAATATCCATTTGACCCGAATAAACTTTCTAGTTTTTTTGTTCTATTAAGAGACAAAAAAACAATAGAACATTGTTATCCAAGTGATACAGTACTAGATGACAAAATTAAATAATTAATTAATAGAATGATAGTTTATGAGGCTAAAGATAGAGTAGCTTGGGGGAGTGATTTGAAAAATTTGATTCAATAAATTTAAGAACAATTACCAAAGGAACAAGTAATCTTTAAATAAATTAATAATTTTAATCAATTTCCAATTACAACTTAAAATACTCCTCTATTAAATAATAATAATAATAATTTTAGGTTTCCAATTTAACCAAAATCAGATATTTGTTTTAGAAATACGGAATTCCCTAGATCTATTTCAACTGCTGATAGGCCAACTAATTAAATTACTCCAAAAAGCAATTCAGATAACCATTAATATGGTAGCATTATTGGATGCAAAAATTATACTTTATAAAACCAAATTCAAGAAAGAGATTAAATCCATAAACACATTTTCATTTGGCAAATTCCTCAACAGAATTAATAAACATAAAATAATTAATTTGTATAAAAACCTTAATTAATTTAAAACCTACAGGTATAATAAAACTAATAAATGTTAAATAAAAATTATTCAATGATAGACAATCAAGCATAAGTAAATATTCAACAAAAATTATTCCGTTGGAATTAACCCAAAAAATAATTTCCTTGATTAATATAATAGAAAAATATTAATACATAATTAATAAATGTTAATCAATATTCACATTTTGTTATTTTAATAGTTTATGGTAGAGATTGGGTAAAATATCTTGATTAAAATGAATTTTGATTATTGTTGAGTTATTAAACCTTCATTGATGGATTTTTTATAATCTATAAAAAATATTTTTATTAATAAAATGTCTGATAACTAATTAACTGACTTGTTACTATATTATGCTTATGTAGAACAAGAAATAGAAATATTAAGAGAAGTGTTATGCTCTGAACCTTATTTCCAACCTTATAACTTATTCAAATTTATTGATTGCCTGAAGGATGAACCAAAAGTAATCATTGTAAATAATTTAGGGTTATTTAACTGCTTAAGATTTATCTTATTATTTAAGTGATATATAATTTCTATCCAATCTACGAACAAAAACATATATAGAGAATTATAATTAAAATTAAGATGGCAAATTAGTTTATTCAGAGTAATAATAAAATACTATGTCAGATTTTTGAGAACAATCCTGCCTATTTCTAATCCAGATTTAAGAGAAAAGATCACATAGTAAACGCCCTCTGAATCAATAATTATAAGCGAAAGAACTTAATATTTATTTGCAAAGTTAATGGAAGCGTAAAAGTTTTACCAATTATTATAGGGAAATAAAACTGACTATACAGGCCGAGAATTACAAATAGTAAATAGATCCTAATTTTTTTGATAAGATTTGTTATTAGAATTACATTTATCATCAAGATCTGCAGAGTTATTTTAAGCACAAATATATATCTACAAATTCTGCTGAGATATAATAAATCTTCAATAGGATAGATTTACTAAATGATGGAAAGATAGATAGAAATGAATGGAATTTATGGGTAAGTGCCAGAAAATCTGTTTTATCAATCAATTCGAATTCATACAAATAACAATAGAAGTTTAATAACACAAGATATAGTTCTACAAAAAGAAAATAATAAGATTCTACAATGAGCGATCTCTTCGCGATCTCCAAATAAGGATTTTATTAATCTACTAAACCTCCTTTGACTAATTTCTCTTACAATACGCCAAAAAAATATTAGAAGCAGAAAACAGATTTAAGAGCCTAAATGCATTATTCATTATTACAGAATAGCAACTCAAAATAAGAACAATCTTATAAAACCATACCTCATAAACAAATAACAAGATTTTATGATGATGACATTTAAACTTTAAAAAAGTCTTAGTCAGCTGCAAAATTTGAAGCATTGGAACCTGTTAATTATTATGTTTAGCTCTTTTTGAATTTGATCTAGTTGGTAAAAAAGATTGAACGCCAAAAGATTTTGTTGAGCAATCATGATGATTTTTCATTATATTCCTCATTTCAAAAATTGGATAAAGGTTTTAAAGGAATTTTAATAAAGAGTGATTTGAACTCATTTTGCAAATACCCATAATTGATATTGGATCGTTATGGAAAAGATAATAAGATTAGGTTTTCAGAATATATCAAGATGGTCGAACCAAAAGATCCATAGGCTGTAGAAATACTCTTACAAAAAGATTAGAAACAGAAGGGAAACATGTTAACGTAAACAGAGTTATCTTTAAGGTTGTTATTCTAATTGATTGAGGAATTTCAATAGAAGATAAACTAAACGAAGGATTATTAAAGCAAATAATAATTTGACATAAGCGAAATCTTTTATATGTTGGCTTATGATAGACAATATATAACGAATTAAGACGTAAGACTATTAACTTAGATAGATTACTGATTTCTTACAGGCAAATCAATTTTCAACTGCTTCCCAAGACGTTGATTTATTGATCTATGAATTAGATTTTGACAGCGATGGATATATAAGTTATAGAGATTTTGTTAAAATTTTTGGAAAATGATTATAGTATTTTAATTATTCATACTAAAAATGATTGAAGATATGCTGCAAAGTAGAATCCGTAGTCGCCATACTCAATCTCTCCATACTAAATAACAACAACTTTCTCGTTAATAAGGAAGTTGGAATACTTTGAAAATGCTTTCTGAAAGCCTACAACAGTAGTAATAAAGCCAGAAATTAAATCAATTGAATTTACAAAGAACTGAGTCTCGTTTTCAAATCATTTAGCCAAAACATATTCAATATATTGGGTTAATCTCTAATTCAATTAAAACCCTGAATACAAGTGCTTCACCAGGAAAGTATAGTGAATCGCCATTAAAGGGAAGGATTAAATAGAGTCGAATTTTGAAGACTCCACTTCACCATTCTCGTATAAGCCCTGAAAATAGATTAATTTTTAAATAAAGGCTCAATAAAATCGATGAATCCATCCAATACATACAGGATAGGCATAACCAATTGAACGGAATTAATTCCAACAGTTATAAAAAGATGTGTGAAATGATCAATAAAACAGAATACATGAGTGTTGATCAGAGTTAAAACGTCTAGATTCCATTAATAAAATTGATAAAGCCAGAGCCAACAGAAAACAATGAAAATAGTGCAAATCTAGTATAAAAGCTGGCTACTTCAAGTATGTAATGGAGTGATTCTAAGAAAAAGCAAAGGTCTAAACTCGAATAGAGTGTGTATTATAAGACAAACAAATGGCAAAAAGCAAAATTCTTAATTTTACAAAACTTTTCATCCCGCCGCAATAGTACCTTATATTCTAAAAAATACATGATAACTTAATTAAAAATTCCATATTTGAGACACAATTCTAAATAAATGTTCATGGCTTTAAAATAGAAGAACTATCATTAATTGCTTAAATATCTATCATTAAATAAATCGTTTATTCATGAAGTTGATAATTCTCTCATGACTCCTTTGCATATATCTTGTTAATAAGGTCTATACGATATCACAAAAATGCTTTTACGGTTCAAGGCTGATGTGAATTCTTTGGACAAAAATAAGAAATCTCCACTTTACTATGCATTATGTAACGGTCATACAGAAGTAGTGAAAGTATCATTTTTTGGTATTTTAAAAGATGCTCCTCATACATGATGCATTTCCTTATTCTGATACTAATTGCAATTACTCTTAATTCTTTCCCAATAAAGTGATGAAAGAATTGTTCAGAGTGGCCAAAAGAGTAACAATATTATTATATCTAGATCTTAACTTTGATGCTGATTTGCCCGAAGAACAAGAGGAATAAAATGAAAGAATTTTTGGAAATTAATTTTTTGAATGAATATACTCTCCCCAAAAACTTGCTTGCTTGAATAATATTATTTATAAGCATATCTTTTAGATAAGAAAATCAAATTAAATAATATTTCAATTTAAATTTAACTTTCTTTGAGCCCAATTTGACAACTTTATAGTATCATCCCATCTGTATATAATAAATATTGATACCGAACTTCTTTTGATAAGCAATTCAAAATAATTATTATAATGCAAATGGAATCTTTTTTAAATAAAGTGGCAAGACATGGACCAGCCTTATTAGTAAATCCAGTTTTGAATCCACAATATCCTTCAAATTCTAACATCTTGTTCGTATTTTCCCAAGTCAATTTTATCAATTTATTCTAAAAAAAGATATACAAAATTATCTACATTTCTCTAAATAGTCGCTTAATGTTCTTTTTTATTAACTATGTCCATTAGCAAAGGATCATTAATAATTTATTTGCATAGCGTGGCCAAATCTTCAGCACAGGAATAGGATTGATCATTAGATAGTCCTGAGAATATTGAAGTAGGTTTACCATGTGGATTGTAGAATTAAGTATCATTCATATCAAGGAGAAGTGCATATTAATTCATCAATGAAATAAAAGGTTAGATTCTGTATTATAAGGCGATATTGGACACTGGGTCTTTGACAAAGGATGATAGATTTTCAGCAATTACATTGGCGGCATCATTTCCAGATGGTAACATTAATCCATGAAGCAAATCATATAAGGTAATTCTGTCATAGGCACGTAAAAATGCTGAAGTTCCCGAGATTTAAACAGCCTTAAATGTTAAAATATATACATCATAACTAACGTACATTATCTGATATATATTGATCTTGAGATCTCTAATTAACTAGATGGCTACGTAACATGTCATTAACTTTGTAAGGGATGCGATTTAAACTCTTTTTTTTGAATTAAAGCTCTCTTAATTATTTAATTGAATTACTGCCAAATTTTGTCCATCATTACCATTCATTACTATAAAATTCTGGGCTGTCACTAATGGCACTCCATATTTTGAGTGTAAATCTGTTTTTGAGAAACTTATGGATCTCTAACCAGAGGCTGGTCTATGACGAGAACCACTGGAGGTTCTGTTTAGACGGTTGCTTTGGCTTGATCCTATGCTTCGAACATGGATCATTGGTTAATCTAAGGCCTTGCTTGACAGTCTTTAGTTTGGTAGTGGTGGTTTGAACATAAACTATTTATCTAAATAATTTTAATAATTTGAAATTAAACAAATAAATATTAAATATTCATTTCCATTTAACTATTCCTTTATCAAAATCTATAAATAGGTAATAAGGATAGACAACAAATGCAACAAAATAGCATAATAATTTAATCTCTTAAAATATATGAGATGTTAAGAAGTTATTTATATAAGAAAAGTAAAAGAAGGAATGCTCCATTTAAATTGTCTAGGTTGGAATTAATATTCAGACTATAAATTATTAATGTTATTATCTGCATCTATCTTTAATCATCTTATTTTTTATTTATAAACAAATTTGATAATAATATTAATAAATTGATTTCATTAAGTGATCTTCATTTCAATTGCATTTTAATCATCATCTTAAAATTTATTTTTGTTCATTTCATAAAATATCCAAAAAATGGTTGCAGGTATTGTTGTGAATGAGATCAATTTGAAAATAGTTAAGAGTAGAACCTTAGAATTTAAGAAATAAATAGAACCGACAGGAATGATGTAGCATTATAATACTCAGTGCATCCACTTGAAGTATCACATTTGAGATAAGTAAATAAATCAAAAGCAAATTACATTCCAAATTAGAGTAATCCACAATCTAATTATAATAAAATATACAATGCATTAAAGTTATTTATGTCATTCTCATGGTCACTTATTTATATTGTAAAGCATGCTATTATACTTAAATGGCCCCAGATCTTGCAACATCCTTTAAATTAACAATTAATAAAAACCAATGTATTTTTATATTCCTACATGCCTTCCAATGCCAAGTTTCCCATATAAAATGATCCACAAGCCAAAAATAATCCAAAACCAGAAAGAATTAGATAATCGACTTAAACGCAATCATAGCTAGCACATTCATATAATTAATTACTCTAATGCACCTCTATGAAATATTCCAAACCAAACCCATAAAAGTAGGGTGACTACAAGCAAACCTCGAGCCAGTTACCATACTTGAGGTGTTTATTCTTCGTCAGCTATAACAGAACCCAAAATATTGCAAATCATTATTTACATGGCTATTCCCATACATCTGATAGTTGATAATAAAATATCATTATCTTTACGACTAATAGGTTATAACTTGTTACCAAAATACAAAAAATAAACAGTTTGCAGAAGTGTTTGAGCCAAAGCAGCCGAACACAAATACTTATCAACGTCAACCAAAACTCCACTTTTATCTCTGGTAAGTATTCTGTAGCTAATTATTAAATAAAATAAATAAAATAAGCTCATTAAGAATTCCACTAACCCTTCAAAACAAACGTATCCATTAGCACAATTAATCAGATTTGCCATGAAATTTATATTTTTAATAAATAAATTGAAATTATTCTCAAAACTATTGCCTAGAAAAATTACTGTAGCCTTTTAAATTTCTTTGAGGTTGCTTAAACAAGAAGAAGTAAATTAATTATCTGATGCGATTTGTTTTAATCAAAATGCAAAAAAAAATACATAAGTTTATGAAATCTGAAAAAAAAGTTTGCTAAGTTTATTAAGTAGCGTATTACAACCTACAAAACTATAAGACGAATTCTTTACTGAAGATGATAAAACATTTCATAGATATTTTACCAGTTTAAGATGGTACTTTTGAGGAGAGAAGAGTATTATATTATTTAATAAATGTTCCAGAAAGTATTTTAAATGCTGAACAAAGAAAAGTTTATAATTGCTATGAAGTTGAAATTTATTTATTTTGTCATTTATCAAAGGTCAAACATGATTTATGATCTGATTTTTTTGAATTACTAATTATGAAATTATTTATAGAAATAAAAAAAAAAAAAAGTGTAATTCTATTAAAAAAATTAGGATTTATTTTTATTTTCTTTAAATAAATTCTATTCAAATGATGACCTTTGTTTTATTGGTGTCATTAATTTATTTACATTAAATAATCAATTTTGAATGTTTTCAATCCTAAAATAAATGAAAGAAACAATAAAATATATATAATATTAGAAAAAGGTGAAGTTAAATTTTATAAAACTTGGAAGCAACAATATTATTCATTAATTCTTCTCCTAATCATGATTCAGAATTTTAATCTTTCCTACTTACATCTAGGGTTGATGTTAATTTTGAAAATGCATATTATTTGCTTATGGCATTTATTATTATTACTATGGTTATATTTATTAATTTTAAGCATTCTAGTTCTATTGATTGTAGAAGAAATTCTATTGATTATTGATAAATTATTGATTTTGCATATTTTAATTATAACCAGGAAAAGATTTGTTTTGCATATTTTATTCGTAATTAAGTTAGCCAGAATTAAAGGATTATGTATTACTCGGTTGTTATTGGAAATATTGATTGGCACCTTAATTTACTCGTTATTAATCTTGTATTAGTTAGGGTTAGGTATGCATTTAATTGATCGGTTGGTGGGGAACTTGATTACCTACAATTCTATTATTAATTAATTGATTTTAGTCGTATTACTAAGGCATCTAATTCTAATTTTTATTATTTATTTATTATTAATAATCTTGTTACTACTATTATATTTTTTAATGTTCTTCAGAGGTTTTCTGTTTTAACTCTTTCTCTTTCTCTTATGCCTTTTTCTCTTATGCCTTTTTCTCTTATTCTTTTTTTTCATATTCTTTTTTCTCTTATTCTTTTTTTTATTTGATCAGTTCATTTTATTTTCTTTTCTACTCGTAATAGCTTCTTTCTTCGTTAATCTTCATTGTGTAATTGGTAGCGTAATTCTTATTCTCTTTGATAACTTATTAGTATTCATCTTTATTTAAGCTTAACTGTACAAAGCTTAAATCAACAGGGTAATCTGAATAAGTTGGAATTTCATGGAATGTTGAAATAACTCTATTAATAATTTAATCCAAAGTCATTGACTTTTTCCAGTATCTAATAGCAATATTATGTCAGGAATACTTTTCACTCCAATCAGGATGACAATAGACCCCTGTGTTTTGTATAATGTATTGATGCCTGAATTCCTTAGGAAACTCTATCCTAACCGGTGAAATGGGATAATTGTTGTATTTAATGACGAAATAGTATAGGGCACCTTTCCATTCTGAAAGATATTTTCCTTCGAAGCCAACCCTGACCTATTTATATTCTTAAAGGTGTTCTATGTCAGTAAATGGCACGTATCCATCAAAGTCATCTTCGTCATCATCTTGTTTGGTGTTTTGATCCTAAGATGTTGCTTTATCTTTCCTTCTTTTTAGCTATTCAACCTGATTTGCAATTCTCTGATCAATAAAATACTCAAATTGCATTTTAATATTTTTAATATTATCATTTTTATAATTAATTGGTAAGAATAGCATGCGAGGGATAAGGGGACAAAACAATCGAATAAGGAAGGCTATTGACACTGCAGCAATTTCCCGCATGACTCTGATAGACAAAAGATCTTTGATTGAAGACTCCATGTTGACCCTAATAATATTCCCTAGATTGAAGCATTGCATTAGATCGGCAGACTTTCTGATCAAAATAAAAGGACCCTTAACCATTTATGGAAAAATAATTTTCTGACGCCATTCCTAACTGATTAGTTTCACTACTTTGGTTCAAATAGGCTGAAAATTATTCTGGTGTAGCAAAGTAAATTTGATTGCCTTCTTAATGAATTAAACATGGCATGAGGGTTGTAAGTTCGTCATCCTTTAATTCGGAATCCTTTACATTAATTTAGAGACTCTTCATATTTTGTAATTGTTAAATCTTTTCCTTAAATTCTTTATAGAATTCCCTTGGTTATTCCTTTTACACTTTCTTTAATGAATTTGTCTGTTCCTCCACTATTTAATCTAGTGGCTCTTTTTTTTATCTTAAGTTCTCTGTTTAATTAATACGATATTCAATCTTTTTAATGATAATATTAATTAATTTAATTTCTTCAAGACTAAGTTCTTCAGATGATAATAAATTGGAGATGGATGATTTTTCAGAATGAATTTCATCCTTATCTTTTTTCTTTCTAATCATTATGAAATTCTACCCAGACTTATTATTTCTCTCTTTTCTGATTAGACAATTAAATCGATTTTTGACATTGTTTTCACTTCTTGCAACTTTTAGCTTCTTAGATATCAAAGCCCATTTCTTACCCAACTTTTTAGCCTAACTCATCAAATCCAAGTCCTCGCTTAATTACCACGGGTTTCTATTAAAATAAATTTCATAACTGTACCTATTGATATTTGGGTTTAGATGGTTATTCCAGCGCTCTCTGCATTATTTACCATTTCTATGGACTTACTAATTATTTACTTTGTTGAGAATCGCAGCCATTTGACTCCATTAGTTGCCCTTATTTTGACTTTCAAAATCTTATATAATAGTTTGCAGTATATTGTCCTCAGTAGTGGTCCAAGGGGCCTGTTATAAGGGAAGTTTGAAGATTTGTAACCATTTTTGCTTACAACTGAATGTATCTCTGCGAGGCATCATGCTTGCAATGGTATTCCAATCAGAATCACTCTAACATATACAATTATCTTTTTACCAACAACTCTACGTCTTTTTTGTTTTAGGTGACCCATTTGCCCACTAACCATATTAAAACCTTTTTATCTTCATCAGTCCAATTTTTCTTAGGTTTATTCGGTGAAGATTGGATATTCATTTTGTTAGCTTGTTGGATTTTTAATACTTCTTGGTCATCGGGAAAAGTATCATTATTAAGGGTGAACTCCTCTCTAAGGCAATTGAATCTAACGTTTTTCACTCCTTTGACTTCAGAGAAGAAATTTAAGAAATTCTAATAAAAATCGTCCATTAAATGTGAATCTATAATTTGCATATATTTTAATTATTTTGTTATTATTATAAGTGTTTTATGTAAATCCAGAAAATGCGTATCAAAAAATTAATAATTTTAACAGTAATTTTTTAATTAATTCATTTTATATATTCCTATAATAGTTTTAAAACACTGTCCTTAATTTCCTGTGTTATTAGCACTCTAGGCTATCTGATCACCTGATCATTTTGCATCACGTAATCGAATCTGCACTTCCTTTTGAAGATACACTCATACAATATTAGACCAATCTGCTATGTGTTATTTACTTTCTTGCTTTTGTGTTCTATCTCCTCAAGATTTGATATTTTAATCCTGTTGTTCTCATCAAAAAAGATATTCTCAATTAACAAATCTAAATACAATTGATTTTCATTTAAATATTATTGCACACTAAATAATTAGTTAGCAATTGAGTTCAAAAGTTCTTCATCAATATCCCCATATTTAATCCAATTCAGCAAAGAACCCTTAGGCATATATTCTCGTACAACATATACATGATCTGAATCATGACAATAGAAGTACAACTTCTACACATTAGGATGATTGATATGATATTGAATTTCTATCCATTTTCTCAGTTGTAAATAGGATTTGTTGGCCAGAACCATTCTCTTCGAAATCACATCCAATTAAGCTTATTGATTTTGGATCAATATTCTGTAACAATTATTTCCCAATTATTCTAATACCTTCATGTTTTTAATCTATTCCATTATTTAAATTAATACACATCCTTTAATGTAAAACATCATACAACATGGTTCAGATGAAGAAACCGAATTTATATTCGATTCCAATACCATGCAACTTAATGACAGCAAGAGCAAAATTTCCAAAGCCAATGTAATTGTTTTAATTGCAATATGATTTTAGGATGAGATCAAACAATTGAATGATTAGAATAAGGAATTGGCCACTTAACTCAACAAGTAGAATGAGTTACTCGATTTAAAACATAAATAGAATTAATAGTTGCAAGTCGATGGTATGCTTGATGTTTAAAACTTCTTAGTGATAAAATTAAAATCGCAGCTTGATGAAAGAGAACTTAAACTATTATAATCTATGAAAGAAAAACAATCATTGTAGAATGAACTAATTTGTTTCCATGATATAATGGATCAAACTACCTAAAGAAATGACCAATTGAATTCTGAAGTGTTTGCTCTTAGATTAACAATGGAACAATTATAATGTAAGTATTTAGTGATTACTCATTTAGAAACAACTACAATGTGCAAGGAGGACTCTAATTAAATATTACAAAGAGAGTTGAAATTGAAGGAGAACATTGAAGCATAAACTAAAACCATCAAATAATACGAAGAGACAGTTAGAAAAATCACCAATGAACTCAATCAGAAACAGGCTTAATTTAAAATTGATAACTAAAACAAGGACAACATTATATCAGACTTAAAGAGAAAACACGATTTATAATTGTAATAGAATACTGAAATAATCTCTGAGTTAATATAGTTTAAGAATTAAAACTTATAAAACAACTTCATGAACAAAGACTATAAACCAGAACTTACAAAAATGACAAAGGAGATTGAAGAATATAAAATTCAAATCAAAGGATAGAACCATTAGATAAAACTATCAAATGATTAGATTTTGGCTCTCTAAAATTAGATCCAAAAACTTGAATAATCTATTGGCACTCTCTTGACTGATATTCAATAGACAAAATAAAAATTAAAGGAAAAGGAATCAGAATTATAAAATAAACTAGGGGAAAATATGTAGACTATTGAAAAATTAAATATTCAAATTTCATAATTGAATAATCAATTGTAATTGTTTAAAAATTAGGATTAAAAGATCAATCTTGTCAGAAGTATTTCCTAACCTTCTGACGAAAGATATCTTAAAGAATTGCAATAAAAGAACGATTATATTGCCATGTTACAAAACGAAAATAACTAATTAGTTAAATTAATTGAAACTCTGCAGAGTTAAAAATGTATTCATTATAAATAAATAATTTGTAGCTGACAATCAAGGTAGTGAAGTTCTTAAAGTTAGACAGTTGGAATCAGAATTGAAAAATCTCCAATCTTTCATTTATGACAGTCCATTAGTGGTGCTATTTAATCTCCTTGAAGACAGATTGTCCAAATAATAATAAAAGAGTTTTGAGAATAAGAAAAAGATTTAGGAGTTTTGGAGCAATCAATTAAAACAATGGGCAGAAGGTTTTGAGGAATTGAAGAAAGCATTTAATGGTCTTAAGATTTAATTCAAGTATGATCTCAAGTATCCAATCCAAGGTTAATAGCAAAATGAATGATATAATTCATATGATATTATATAAAATTGTAACTAAAATTCAGTTTAAAAAACACATTATGAAAATACAATTATTATTAATATAAATTTAATCAATCATCATCATCGGAACTGGAACTACTAGACGAGCTACTTGAACTACTAGATGATGAACTACCAGATGAATCATCGGAACTCAATGGATTGGCATCCTTTAGCACTCCGAATTCGTTCTTGTCAATATCATCTAATTTAAGTGCTCTTTCATACAAATCGGACCTCTTCTCCTTAAATGCATCCAACAACCTTTGACTAAACTTTGGCCTTTCGTCTCTTACAGATCTAAAATGTGATACATTTAATATTACCTCCAGATCTTATCAAAGTTATTGATTGACATGAAATTCTGAGTGAGAGCCACTGAATTGTCTAAATTTAAGACTGCATGCCACCAACCGCCAGGGACAAATATAGTATCTCCAGGACCTTATACACACATTACAATCTTTAGATTATCGGCTCCTTCTTTTTCAATTAGTTTTGGCAAAGCATAAAGGAAGTAATCAATGGATTCATCCAACACTTCAGGATCGATTTCCTTCTTGGCAGCCAGTCCTTTGGCCTTTACAATTGATTTTGGTATATCGGGAGGAAAGAGGACCCACAACTTATGTCCCTATAACGATGTATTCCAGGCACTTGTCATTAGTGGATCTATGTGTACAGTAGTACCTGATCGTTTTGGTCTAATATATTAAATGATAAGTTACCCAACCAAAAACCATCTATAGGGAGGACGATGTTTCTCTCCTACCACTGAAAAGAAATCTTCTTGGAAGTATTTATGGTATTTGTATCTTCCCACCATATCTGCTCCTCCGTCTTTCATATCCTCGACTGAACTACGAAATTATAATGGATTAGAGTACCTTTCGAATAAGTAAAGGGGGGAATCATCTTTGTTGTACACCAAGTATTCAAGAAAATATTTGAATGGCAATCTCAATTTCCTCCCTTTATCATCCTCTCCAATTTTGAAGGAGGTCTCCTTGTAGAGTTGATATAGTTTCTCAAAAGTCCAATACTTTTCAACATTCCAATCATCTGTTGTATTGGTTATTATACAAGGAATGTCTGGAATTTCGAATTGGTTCACAAATTGTTCAGAGGTGAATGTGCGACCATCCACTTTAGCTATTGTGAAATATCTAAATCAAATAGTTATTACTTTTCATATTATTTTCTCAATTCTTTAAGACTCTTTTCATAATGATTTCTTTTATACCATTCCCTCAATCTCAAGTGACTTCTGTCCTTCAATTTTATTTCTTCTATCAACTCCTAAGCCTTAGAGCTCATTTCTTTTTCGAAGAATCTCGATGATTTCAACTTAAGCTTTTTAGCTGTTTCCATAATTTAATTATATTTATATCATAATTTTGTCATTTTATCATTTCTTTAATTTGGCTAATTAAGTTTAACTCAATTCAATTTTGTATTAACTTGAATTATTTTACGATCTATAAGAATGCAAAAGCCTAAAGATTCGTCTTCCCATTTAAGAATGATTAAAATACTATCTGGTGAATCTATTTCTTATAGATAAGAACACTTGATTTAAATTAAATAGATTTTTTAAATCCTCACCCCGCAACTTTTGAATCAGCAATAGATTTTATGAGCATGCTTATTTATCGTAATTTAATACTATAAATAAAGGAGAATATGATTATTAGAATCAATTATAGACTATAAATCTGGAGAATAAAATTGCATTATGGATACGGTATCATATAAATCATTTCCATCAACAAAAAATCCTAATTATCTAACAATCAAAAATATATTAATTTGTATATTTTAACATGAATCTATTATTATATAAATAATCAGATTGCAGCTCAAGTGACTTGTTAAAAATATTAGATAAAATTGAAAATGGCAATTGAATTGTTAGAACTAATTAAGAAAAAGAAAAGTGAGATGAATACGAGGGGGAGTTAGTATTATACTTGTATTAGTATTAATGATAATTAATTATTATTGTTTTGGCTGGTTTTAATTTAAATTAATGAAGTGAAGAATAGGGGGAATTATTTATTTATTAATTAAATTAATTATGAGACAATCAGGCGCTGATTTCACTTACTCCACTGCTCCAATCGCCAAGGTCAGGCGTGTGGAATTTGGGTTGATGAGTCATGAGCTCATTAAGGAATGGACAGGAGACATAGAAATAAAGGAGCTACAGACGAACGAGCTTGATGGAACGCCAAAATAAAATGGTTTAAACGACCTTCGAATGGGTGTGAATACGAATGCTTAGAAATGCAAGACATGTGGAGAGACGAAGTATTGCCAGGGCCATTTTGGAAGAATTGAACTGAATAAGCCAGTATACCATGTGGGGTTCTTGCAGATAGTGAAGAAGGTATTGAAGTGCATATGCCACAGTTGTGGTAAATTGAGACAGCCACAATCAGAAGATGCTTGGGTATGTATAAATTTTATGAAAAAAAGTAATCCTTTTAGAAGGCCAAGGAACATAGATTGAATCGCAAGAGATTGAACGAAATAGTGAAATTGTTGGGTAGGATAGAGAAATGCGAGACTAGCAAGCACAAGTAGGAGGAGAATCAGGGGAATGACGACTTTTGTGGAGAGAAAATTCCTACTAGAATTTAAGCCATAAATGGATAAATAAAAATTTAATATAACACCAAAGAGGCTGCAAAGGAATTGACAGCGGAGAGATGTTTGGAGATATTCAAGAAGATCAGAGACGAGGATGCAATCATATTGGGATTCACAAAAGATTCACGACCTCGAGACTTGATAATAAAATTCTTATTAGTGATGCCACCCTAGGTGAGACCAGCTATCGAGATGAATCCAGCGAGAATAGCCCAAGATCAATATACCCAAATTTACAAATCCATATTACAGAAGAACAACGAAATCGCCAATTGCAGTAGTGATGCTGAGAGAGTAAGATTGGCTCCAGAGTTGATGAGAGAAGTGGCCAAGATCATAGATTCGGAGAAGGCTGGGAAGATAAAGATGAAATCCACTTAGCCATTGAAGAGTATCAGAGCAAGATTGAAGGGTAAGGAAGGTAGATTTAGACAGAACTTGATGGGTAAGAGAGTAGATTTCTGTGCTCGTTCAGTCATATCTCCGGATGCAAATTTGGGGATGGATGAGTTGGGAGTGCCTCAGATAGTGGCAGATCAATTGACAATTCCTGAGGAGGTGACAGAGTACAATTTGGAGAGAGTAATTTAATTGGCCAAGACGAACAAGATCAAATATGTGATAGTGCCCATAACAGACCCAAGGAGCAAATAGAGGAAGTTTTAGGCTTTGTATTTTGATTTCACAGACACTGAGGATTAGATTAGATAGAAGATCAATCAGGGAGTCATAGTGGAGAGATGTTTGTAGGATGGTGATTTCGTGTTATTCAACAGACAACCCACTCTACATAGAATGAGTATGATGGGACATAGAGTCAGGATCCTCCCTTATTCTACATTTAGATTGAATTTGTCTGTGTGTACTCCATACAATGCAGATTTCGATGGAGATGAAATGAATATGCATGTTCCTCAATCATATGAAACAATAGCAGAATTGAAATACTTGGCCCACGTTCCAAGATAGATTGTAACACCGAAGAGTAATCAACCAGTCATGGGTATTGTGCAGGATTCTTTGCTTGGATGTTGTTTGTTCACTTAGAGAGATACATTCTTGACTAGAGATTAAGTTATGCATTTGATGATGTGGAATGAGTAATTCACTGGAGAATTGCCTATGCCTGCTATATTGAAACCTTAGGAATTGTGGACAGGGAAGTAGATCATGTCTATGATTATTCCGCAGTCGATCAACACTGAAAGAGGTATCAGAGAAGATGATCTCAGGAAACCCAATTGGAATGCGGATGACAAGAGTTTGTGTATTCAGAGAGGTAGTTTGGTGAGTGGAATTTTCAATAAGGAATTGGTGGGATAGGGTGCAGGTTCAGTGGTGCATCTTTGTTGGCTTGATTTGGGAGCTGAGAAGACATTGGAGTTTATGACTTCGTGTCAGAGAATCGTGAATAATTGGTTGATCATGCATTCATTTACAGTGGGATGTCAAGACATAGCTCCACACATCAATTTGGTAGCTGAAACTGAAAAGAGAAGTAAGGAGCAGGATGAGGAATATATTAAATTGTTGCAAATCTTTTTAGATGCCAAGAAGATTCAAGATAATCGTTATCATCAGAAGGGTAAGAGAATTATGGATTCATTCGAATACTCTTTCAATATGAAATTGAATAAGGTGAGAGATGACATCAATTCCAAAGTCACAGAAACCATTGATCAAATTCGTAATTGCATGTACAAGATGATTTGGGCCAAGAGTAAAGGAGAAGCATCCAATTTGGCTCAAATTACATCTCTAGTCGGACAACAGAACTTGGAATCTAAGAGAATCTAATTTGGTTTTGCCTACAGGACCTTGCCTCATTTCTCTAAATTCGATTATGGTCCTGAAGCCAGAGGATTTGTGGCTAGCAACTTCTTCAAAGGACTCAAACCTACTGAATTCTTTTTCCATACTATGGGTGGTAGAGATGGTCTGATTGATACTGCTGTCAAAACAAGTAGAACTGGGTATATTCAGAGGAAGTTGATCAAAGCTGTTGAGGATGTCTTTGTCAGATATGATTCATCTTGCAGAGATTCAGTGGGAGCTGTCTATCAATTCCATTACGGAGAAGACAAAATGGCTGCTGAATTTATTGAGCATTAGGAAATCAAGTGTGTTAATTTAAGCAATGCTCAATTGGAAGAGAAGTATGAATTAATCAAGGAACAATGGTTTGGAAGTGAAATCAGACAGAAATATCAAAACATACTAACAGAGGATGTCATTAAGGATATTGAGGAAGATTTTGAAGGTCAAGCCTTGTTGAAGGGAGAGTTCGATGAAATCAAAAAGATCAGAAATGAATTGCGTAGATTATTCTTGATTGATTCTGCTCCAAAAGAGGAGTTGTTCACTCATTATTATTTGGTGGTAAACATAGAGAGAATCATTTCAACAATCAAAATCAATAAGAAAATTAGTGACAGAGAGAAATGTAGATTGAATCCTATCTATGTTACATAATAAGTTGATGAACTCATCTAGAAAGTTGACAAGTTGTTGAGTTACGATTTGGAAGAAAGAAAGGATTGCATTAATTTATTTAGAACTCACTTAAAAGTGTCCTTGGCTAGCAAAGACTTATGTTGCAGACATAGATTAACACCAGAGGCATTCCAAGAATTGATCTCTGAAATTATTTATAAACTCAAAAAGAGTATGGCTCATCCAGGTGAAGCTGTAGGTGCCATTGCTGCTTAATCTCTAGGAGAACCTACCACACAAATGACTTTGAACACCTTCCACAAATCTGGTGTCACTGGTGATAAGAATGTGACCTTGGGTGTCCCAAGATTATAAGAATTGCTGGATGCCAGTAAGAAAACCAAGACTCCCAGTTTAACCATCTATTTTGATCCTCCTCTGGAATATGCTGAGTTGGAATTGAAAGATGACAAAGACAAGAAGAGCTATTTAAAGACTGAGCAACTCGTTCATCCTCATAAACAAGATGACTTTACTTAGAGTATGTTAGTGTAAATGCAAGGCAGAATTCTTGGTTAGACCTTTGGACAATACATTATCAAGAGTGAAATCTATTACTAGAGTGATCCCAACAATCCATTACACATCACCGAAGATCAGGAAGATAATTTCACTGATGGCATTTTTGATTAAGATGAAGCCAAATATAAGTGGATTCTCTTTTTACATATGGATCATCAAAAGATTCTGTCCAATTTAGAAACTTGGGATAAAATTAGAGATAGCATTCCAAAGATCCTAGATGAAACCTAAGTTAAATTTGGAATCTCCTCTCAAAATACAATTGTAGATCCAGATTCCATGAATCACAAGTACATTCAAATCAAATACTTTCATGATTATGCTGACTAGAAGAAATTTAAGCCAGAAAGAGGAAAGGGCAATTTCGATGATGAAATTGCTTTCGATGAAGAAAACAAAACTAAAACCTATGTCGATACTCCTTACACAATTCTGAAGAGATTGGAAGAAACCATCAGAGGCTATTCCTTGGGAGGTATCAGCAAAATTACAAGAATTCTTCACTCCCAAATTGAGAAACAATTCTACATCAACAACAAAACTGGAGGATTCTTGAAACAAGCAAATGTGGATGGCAAAGGTAAATGGAAAATCATTGAAAAATACTTAGAAACAGAAGGAACCAATCTCAAAGAAATTCTTAGATTGGAACACGTTGATCAAAGAAGAACCACAACCGATGATGTCTATGAAATATCCTAAGTGTTGGGAATAGAAGCTGCCAGAGCTGCTCTTGTTGGTGAAACCAGAAAGATCTTCAATCACTATGGTATCTACATCAATTATAGACATCTCTATCTATTATATGACTGGATGACTCACAGAGGCAGACTTACAGCTGTCAACAGAAATGGTATTAACAGAATCCCTGAGGTGAGTGTTCTCCGTAAAAGTTCTTTCGAAGAAACAGTAGAAATCCTCTATGATGCTGCTGTCTTCTCAGAAATCGATCACATGAGAGGATTGAGTGAAAACATCATATTTGGATAATTGTGTCCCCATGGAACTGGTTGCTTTGAACTTATGGTCAATGCCAAGAATGTCAAAGAATTCAAATTGAAATCCAGTCATGCTGACAAATTCACCCAAGGAGGTGAGTATCTTGCTGAACAATCTCCCTATGATTAAAATCAACAAACTCCTCTCATGCTTAACACTCCAGGACCTGGTGTTTCCCAAGGCTTCATCGAGAACTCACCCTACACTCCATATCACAAATCTCCTGCCAATTTTGCCACTCCTTTCGGCAGAGAATATACTCCAAATTCGAGTCATTGTTCCCCATTTTATCCAAACACTCCTCTTATGCCAAATGACCCATATCAACTAAGTCCTGTTGGCTCAGATTCAGGAATACAACAATCAGTTTAAAAATAAGCCAATGTCAGTGACAGTCACAGTCCTGGATCCCCTCATTACACCAGTCATACTAACTCCCCAAGTCCCAGTTACAGAAGCAGCGAAAGAGCCACCTCTGGCCAAAGATCTTCGAGTCCTATTCTAAATTCCTCCAGAAGGTATTTCTATCTCTCTATCTCCCCCTAGTCCCAATTATACTAGTAGCGTATACAATTCGCCTCTTTCACCAACCAACACTGGAAGTCCTCGTGTTCCAACTGGATCTCCTCATTCACCCCAAGGTTCTATCTTTACAACTTACAGTCCAGTCTATCAACCAGGAGGAGGCACAGGCAATCAATACGAATAAGAATAATGATAAATCATAATATAAAATAAAATACCATTTATTTACATTCTTATCGACTTCTTTAATCATTAAAATTATTACTCACACCAAGTATTCTACTCTATCGTACCAAATTTCAACTCTGATTTAATATCAACTTTATGTTCTCATTTAACTTAGACATTAAACTAATTTCATCAAAGTGTTTGTATTAATTATATCAAATTTTAGAAGATAATTATGCCACTAAAAGATTATGATATCTGATCGTAAATAGTTTAAATTAATTAATAAAGTCTAATGGGAAATAAATAACATTAAGCAAAATTGAGAAATAGCAATATAAGTATGAACAGCCTGGGAAGGTCCGTTTCAACAGCCCCCACGAATGAGTCAGGTTTAATTAGATTCACAACTGATGGCAGCTTGAGTTCTTCCATGTTTGGAGGAGTTGAGTTTTATTTTAATCGCATGCCCAATACTGTTATAGACGGAATCTGTTAATTCCTAACTATCAACGATCTTACAAATTTGTATTGCACTAGTCGGTTTGTATATGAGAGATTTTACACGTCACTTCCATACTCAATTGCGTGTGGAAATCTATTGTACAAGTAGTATGAAGACAGAAGACACATTGCCTAGTAGGCAGTTCAAACTAAACATGCATCTTGGCCATAAGTATTATAGGTTTTTATGGAAAACAAGTAATATTTTTAACTTTATCGAATGCTAGAAAATAAATGCAAATTCTACACATCAATCTCAGATAATCGTTGTAGGGTGCCTATCAATTGCATATCATCTATCCCCCGTTGCTAATGGATGAGATTACTAAGGAAGGATTGAACTCAGATTTTTAAAGATAAATTATGCAAAAATTATAAGATTGTTAAGAATGCCACACAATTACTGAAATACAAATCATGAATTAAACAAGAGCATATTTCAAAAAGTCATCACTCTAAAAATAATAATTGCTCAATACAATGTTAGAGATAAGAACAATCAGAAAATTCCAAGTAGATTAAAAGTAAAATTTATAATAATTATTTTTAGATTGCCTTAATTATTTAATATTTTAATAATATTATGTTCATCTATTAAATCTCTATTACAAATAATAGCATTGACTCTTGAATGTGCATTCAATGCAAACGATACTGTTGGTCTACTAGACTTTTACCTTTATAATTATTAAATGTATCTTATATGGATGCAGCAAGTTGATGAGTTTGCCACACCATACCTAAAAATGTTTGATATCATTTTAAACGAATAGATCAAATCATATTAATCTCCTCCCTTTACCCTGCAATGGATTATGATGAAAATGTGGAATTAATGCATTTATCAAAAAAGCAAACATTTCTTAAGATCTATTTTCCTTCAATTGCTCTAATAAGTACGACTTAATCCATCTCTAAAATACGAATTATTTTTGTTAAAAGATTACATCTCCTAATTAATTGATCTTTCAACCGATCAATCAAATATTAGAATGGCTGGACATTCTAAATTTACCTATATAAAAGATTTAGAGACTTTATTTTAAGTTGTGATAAGTCAGTCTGTTGATCTTTGGAATTCAAGAGATTTTGATTTTAAAACTGATATTAACGTGCTTGGATATGTCTTTCAAAAGTATATTTTAGAAAATAATCTGTTGTATAGTCTTTTGGAATAAAAATACGAAATTATTAAAGCATCAATTGAAACAATTAAATAAAGTTAAGAATACTAGAAAAGAACAATGAAATATGATAATGATAATTAGATTCTATAAGAATAAGCAGATTACTCATTTCAATTATTGAATATTAATAAAGTATATTCGAAGATCAAATAAATAATTAATGGAGATTTTGCAATGGAATAAAATGTAAGGTTAACTATAAACTATTAAAAAAACACACTTGATAGAGTGCAAATGTATCTTAGAGAATATCACCCTGATTTATATGATTCAGATTTCCTAATTAGCAAATATTGATGTAACTTCTAGGGAAAGTGTTTAAATTCGTGATGCAGTAATAATACATAGATCAAAATCAGAAAAGTATGATATTCAATTGGTATCCTATGATTCCTTAATTGATGCTGAGATCTTAAAATAATTGATCAACTAGCATTAAACCAACTAATAAAAAACTTGTAAGGCTTCAAAATAGAAGAACGAATTGCCAAAATTGTAATTGAAATAATAAGAGTAAAGTGAAACATTTTTTTCGATCAATATTGTAAATGGATTAAATCTTGCTTAGAGTTTAACAGAGTAATTTATAAGCCAACAATGATTATATATGTTCACAATTTTGTTAGATTTATTTAATGAAAATTACCAAAAATATATTAATGTTTGTAATAATTATATATATATAAATAATTTAATTAGAATCATAATAATTCTTATAAAAATTAGTCGATAGCGTTAAACATTTTATTTTATTGAACGAGATCGCTTTCAAACTCTTTATCTCCGTTTAGTACTAGTATGGATGTATTTTGATGGGTTTCCCTTAATAGCCATTCTTCATGTCTATCGTGGATTTGAGTCAGATATTCTTTGGAAATGGTATTCTTTAAAATAATAAAAATGGCGGTAATACTTTCTCTTCATCTCTTGCTCTCTTTTGCATCCTTGAAAAGCAGACATCAGGGTCTACTTGTAAATATATGATCATTTGCTTTTGTATTTTTTTCCCAAACACAATTCATCAGCAAAGCCAACTCATAAAATTTCTCATACAAAGCGAATTCTAATTTATTTATCATTCCATTCTTGTGTCCATTAACAGCAAAGATCTCTTTATCAGCTTCTATGCTCCTTTCACTTAGAATGCAATGTCTATCTTCAGGGTTCAATGGATCAGATAGAACCTCCTTCCAATGCTTAAGTCTGCTGTAGAATGCATAAACTTGCATAGTGTAAGCCCATCTTGATGGCTCCTCATAAAAGGAACCTAACAAATTCAAAGTTGGATCTCCATTAATGCTTTGCCATTCATTAACTGGTTCCGCAATAAATCTCAACTACAAATTATTAATGATATTTACATCTGGATATTTCTATTACATCAATCTTAGTAGAGTGCTTTTGCCAGATCCAATATTACCTTCAATAGAGATAAGAGTGTATTGTTTTGATTTCATAAATATAAAATAATAATATTGGAGGGATTTTTGAAATATAAATAAGAAATTTATATCTAATTCAAATTAGCAGTTAATAAGAAATTGTTTATTTTTTGTTATTAAACCTAATTATAAAAAACTCTAATTTTTGAAAATTTCAATGCGTCATTAATTATTCTTTGATACTTGAATTAATCAGCCGGTTAAATCACATAATTCAACTAAATCAACACTGGTATCAGGTAGCATAACAAAATCATAATTCTATTTGTAGCAAATCTGGTTACTCCGAATATCAACAAATATTGATAAGATATTATTGTTTCACATAGATGCTCATTTCTAGTTTAAAATGATTATATCTGTAGATCCTTTTGCAGTCCCTATTGAACTAATTGAAATTTCATCATTTCTTTAATAACCAAATGTATAACAAGAATTCTTATTCAATAATTAAGTAATATTTACCAAACAGTTGAGTTACATATTATATATTTATCCTTAGGGCTGCATCAAAAGCAAATCTATTTAACTCTAAAAATCTAAAATAATTATTTATTCTTCTCAACTTCTTCTTTTGCTAAATACTCATAATTTAGTTCTTTTGCAAAATAGACAAATTATCCAAGCAAAGAAACATCCATTTCCTGCATTATAAATTTGATAAATATAATTTAATATTATAGAATATGAGTTCAGAAAAGTTTTTATCCCAATACAATCTATTTTTAACAAGTAAACTTATTCACAACCAGAGCTAGCAACTACAACTGGGCATTCAATAGCATAGTCTTAATATTCAATTTTAATTCTGATAAATCTTATCCTTTCTGCTGTTCTAAATCAATTATATAATTTATTTACATAAGGAAGTATTCTATTAAGAACTTGAAGTACTCCCTCTATATCCTTCAGCAAACAAACTCGACTTTCTTGGCTTATGCTTTCTCTACATGGTAGCTCTGCTTGTTGTTGCTTTAGTGTGTCTAACTTAAATTTTCTCGAATCCAATATTAGTATCTATCAAGCCTAATCTTGCTATTCTTCTATTATCACGTTGTAATTCGCTTTCTAATTGAAAATCATATTCATTTGATGACAATGGAAATTAGATTCTACCGAAATTATTTACAAAATCCATATAGATTGCATAAGCTTTAGCAAATTCTAAATATGTAATCCATTCATTCAATTCATCTTCAGTTTCAAGAGCAAAGTAAACTTTCCTATAATTCTCAAATACTTGCTTTCCTCTACTCCATTAAGAAGTGGTGATAGTTAAAGCAAAATATTCACTATTAAACTCTCTCTCAATCAGTTGAATGTGTTTCAAATAAATAGTTAAAATATGTTCAGGATTATCATCCTCTTAAGAAACTCTATTTTTATTACAAATTAGCTTACATTAAATATTCGCTTGAAATCACACAAAATCGCCAGTTCCATTATAAACCCTTCTCAGATCTTTTATTAATGTATCCAGATTTCAATAGAACATTTCTTCTATTTTAATCTAGTATCTATTTTATCTTTTTTATTATCAATTATTTCTTTTCGAAAAGAGTCAATCTAGGTAGTAAAGTACCTTCATCTATAATAACTGAATTTCTATTTTACGCCTAGGTCCAATGATATTGCATTCGAGTATACTCTTTGTTGTTATGATAATCAAATGGTTGGGGTATCTTCTGCAATGCCAAAGCTACATTTTTATGGGCCTGTCTTCTTTATGCATAAGTCATTCTCTAATAGATTGTCTCTCTAAAAAATGAATACGAAAATCTATAATAAATATTTTCAATCTCCATGTTCATTATATCCAATATCCCTAATTCATACAGAGCGTTTAATTCATTTATTAAAGGCTTTTGTCTAATAAAATCTTTAAACGGATTCACATAATTTAAAGTTTAGATATCGAATATATCTCCGATTACGCAAGCTTACTTTAAGATTAATTGCTGCACTGCAGTGAGCTTATCAATGTAAGGACCATTTATTTAGACAGTCATCAATGGCGCATCAACATCTAACCATTCTTCATGTTTGATGAGTTGGCGAAACTTTTTTGAGGCCATTCCTAAGTTTCTTTACTCATCTAGAATTATGTAATGATTGTCCAATAAATGTTTCATTAAATAGATCATTTTCAATGGATGACCACAAGTTCTCACATACAAATAATTGATGCATAGAGAATTAAAATCCATTTCCTCTAATTCAGGTTTTGACTCCCAAAACATCAATGGATCTCTTATCTTTTTGAGTATTTCCACCATTTCATAAATATCATCTATAGATGATGTTCTTTTTCTACGTGCAAACATAGTTTATTCTTGATTTTTCTAATCCTCTTCCATGCAAATAAAAGATTTGATTTTGAAATGTTTTTCAAATAATTCTGACAACTAATCATCCTACTTGAGTCCTTTCAAATTAATTGTAAGTTTATTTGTTTGTTTTGCAATCATTTTGCTTAAGAATTCAGATTGGCATTCAGATTTATGATTATTGTTATCAAAAAAGGAAAACTCCTTAAATTAATTCCTAATACAACCAACAACTAAAATATTTTTAAAGTTTTTGAGAATGGATTTCAACAGATATAATGATCCATCATCAGAATCTTACATATCATCAATCAGTATTATCAATGCCTAGGAATAATATTCTTATATTTAATCCTCATTTTAAATTTGAGCTTAGAGTTATTCCTATTCTAAATATAAGCTAATTAGTTTATAGACAAATTTCTTAATTGACTTTGCTAGTGTTAAGTCTTCTCTAATCGTATTGGCTTTAATATCATTTACAGTAAGACTCAACACTTAGCTAATTAAATTGGCTAAATGCGAGTCGCATTCATAAATCTATTATATTAATTCAACATTTGCTGCTTTATTTAATCTCTATGCATACGATAGAAAAATATTTCTTAAGAAAATTCTAATAGAGTTCAATAATTTTGATCTGCTAGATGGATTTAAGGAAGATATCATAATCTCCAAAAGGGCTTCTTTATTTTATAAAGACTCAATATTTTTAAGCACAGTTTTAGCCAAAAATGATTTGCCAATACCATACTCACCTTGAATCAACACTAATCTATTTTGAACATATTTGTTTTTTTTGAATTCATCTAAAAATTTTTGAATAAAATCCTTTATCTAATTGATCTCTTGTTTTCTACCAACTGGTTAGAGTTCCTCATCATATTCTCTACAATTAATATGGTATTTATCAAATACGATAGTTGATGATAGATTATTGTGACATTAGAGAGATTTCGAGGATACGATAGTATTGAGATTGGTTACACTTCCCATAGATTGAGTATTCATCACTCTAAATTCAAGATGAGTATTGATATCTTTTATTTTCTTAAAATCCTCTTATAGACACAAGGGCTCGTATATCAATACTCCTTTTTCCTTTCCCTTAACTTTCCTTTCACTCCAAAAGATGGATTGGATCTTGGTCTAGGCATCGCTTGCACTTTACTAATCTATTAGGATGCAAGGTGAAAATGGCTAGGTTGCAATTTACATCAATCTCGCAGCCAAATTAACACAATCCCCTAACACTGAATATTCTCTTCTACTCCCAGAGGTTCCTACGACTCCACAGTAGGCTATTCCTGTTGATATTCCAATTGCAACCTTGCACTTGATCTTTTTCAATTCTGACTCTAATAGAAATGCTGATTAAATGGCTCTCACTGGATCATTTTGATGACTTACAGGTGGTAATCCAAATACTGCAATGCAAGTGGAACCTTTATCATCCATCAATAATTTATTTAGAGAACCTTCAAAGGTATAGACACAATACTGAACAGTTCTAATTACGTTTTGTATTCTCTGTAGTCCTGAATCTGTTTTAGCATCTGATAAATCTATACTCAAATTGATGAACATAGTAGTCACTCTTCTTAATTCACTGCCCCATCTCTCTAATCCTATCTCCATATATGGTTTGAGTGCTGCAGGGACAAACATCGCTAATTATTACAAAATTTTGGGATTCAAAATTATTGAATTTTTGATGAGAGTCGCCTCGGCCTTCAATTTAACTTTACTGTATGCATTCAATTTCTTCACCAGATAAAACTGTTTATTGTCATGGTTGATAGTTTCGAATGTGAAGTAATCCTTTACAAATTCATAGACTTCCTTCGATATTATGGTTTCTCCTCCTTTGGTAGCGCAATGTTCACTTTAGAATGCTTACAACAATGGTTCTCCTGTGGCCAGATATTCTGATCGATTGTAGACTCCTCCTACATAGATTATGTTGATATCCCCAATTCCAAATCCAATCTTGACTGATAATTTCAAATCTGGTAATATGCATGTATCATTTAACTTGTTTTAGATATCCAATGCATTTTAAAGTGCCATTCTACAAGTTAGTCTTAGATCTTCATGCACCTGTACAATATCTGTTTTGTATGAAGGAGGCCACACAACAATCATGGCATCTAAAATTAGTAGAAATATTGACCTCCTGCGAATTTCAATATGTCACCTCCACTTTAACTTATCGCTTTCACTAGTAATTCCATATATCTATTAATTACAAAGGCAGTTAATTCTGGTCCTTCGTTTCCCAATTTCGAAAGACTCTCGGTCAGATTCGTAAATCCTGAGACATCTGTGAACATTACAACACTTTAAAATGATTATTTTGCAGGTAATTCCTTAATTCTCAACAATCAAATATTTTATACTATTCATGCTATGCAAAATACTAAACAACCAAAGCAGGAACATATCCCATTAATGACATCAAACTCTTCTTTGTTAACATAGTTAATTAAATATATAATAATACAATCACGATTCTTATTCAAAATTTTCCTTTTAGTATTCTATAACCTATTAATTATTTTACTATAAGGTAGTAATCAAGAAGCCTTCCTAATTATAGCTTTTCTAATCATCACTATCTTCAAGTGGATTGACAACGTCCTAATCACTGTATGGATCAATAGATTCTGCAGCCTTGATGAATACTTCACTGCCATTTTCATTATCATTTAAAGTGTTCTTATTGGATTGCTATTATTTTAACAGTTTCTAATCATTCTGAGTGGCTTAATTTTGAATCATTTTAATAAATACATCTTCCTATTAATGGTTAGATTCTTTTAGTTTATCCTCCTCATTTACATTTGATCTTTTAATTTCATTGCTTTCAATCATTTTGCCAAAAGTATCCTTCCTTTCTTCTTCCTCCACAACATTGAAGTAGGCAGTACCATTCAACTTCCCCTTTTCTTCATTCTAAGGTTCTGTATAGGATTTAGTTTAATTCTAGGATTAATTAACCTAAAATAGTTGAGAATCACGAGAAAAATATTAAACCTTATCCTAAACAACTTAAACTTAATTCTTCTGTTGAAGTGTATTAGATGATTCATCAACATCTGAAATTTTAATTGTAATTGGCGATATAGTTGATTTCTTTGCTGGAATATCTTGAACATTGAGATTTTTTTTTGATTTTTATTCATCAATTTTGGATATATTGATTGAATTGATTTTTTTTAAATCTAATTTTGACTTATTCTTAGATTATACTTTTTATTAATTATCCCTAGTACCAACACTCTTGCTTTTTAAGTCTTTTGGTGATTGAGAAATTTACTAAATGCTGTTATCATTTCTATATTACTTAGGCTTAGTTAAGACTAACTGAATTTCCTTGTGATATTTCTTATACTAATAAACTGGTTTTTATTATGAGCTTCTGACAGATGGAAGTTGTGTTGTTTAATCGGATCGTATTTGTAATTACTATTATTGTTAGGTACTTGGATCTCGTTAACTTTAGATTTGATCTGTGTGTCTATCTGTGATAGTCTTTTTGATTGTGTTATCTTAGACGGATTCATAATGCTCAAAAACAAAATTATGATTGTCTGTTTCCTCCAATTCTATATTCTAATTTCTTTCAAGTGTCCTTGATTCTATAGCTATTTTTTTAGTGTCTTGATTATGGGATTGATATTTTTGATCTTTTCTTCTTTAGGACATACTAATGAGGCCTTCGCTTTTCTTGATTTAAGGCAATTTTGAAAAGTTCTTTTGAGTCTTGACGTTCTCCACTTCCTTTTTATTACCCAATGAATTCGCACGCAGTTTTCTTCTCAGTTATTCAGTAGCTTAACTAATTTTTCGTAACTCATCTTGCTATTTAGAGATTTAATTGTCCATTTATTCTTATGGAAAATACGTAATTACTAACTGTTAAACATTCTAGACTGTTGCAATGAGTTAATCTAGAAATGTTACAAAGTGTTCTTTTGATAATGATCTAGATACATCAGGAACTTTTTGAGTGTTGGATACTTGAGAGGTTGTCTTGTGTTGAGGCGAGCTGGATTAATTTAATACTTAAGTTTATTCTTGTTGATGCTAAACTTTATGTATTCATCCTTACTATAGTTTATTCAAAGGACTTTGATTGTTGATTACTCAAATTTCTTTAGCTCATTCTATCTTGTTTCATTTTCACCATTCGCTATCTCACTTCCCGATTAAGGTGGTATTATTCCAAATGAATATCCTTCTCAGCCTTGTAATCGAACACCTTCCCTCTTCTCGCAACTGACACCCCATCCAACTAAAAAGGAGGCTTTATTTTTGTCTTTAGTTGTTGCATATAATTTTTATAAATGAATTATGCTAATCCATTTTCTTTATCATCTCATGGAAGTTTCCTCAGTCCCAAAGAAACCCCAAGCATTTTAACGAGCTTTCTCTCTTAAAATTAGTCCATAAGATCAGCCCAATCAAATCCTATTAAATTGAGTTTCATCTAGCATCCAAAAAACCCAAAGAAAACAGATCTTGCATCCCCAAGATCCAAAATGGTTACCTTGCATGAGGATAGGAAACTAAAGAACACCAATTTTGAAAGAATCAAATATGTTTCAGAGCATTCTACTACACCTTATTTATGCATTTCAAAAAAACATCCCCAAATTCGTATTCCAATACTCCCGAAACTATCACCTGAACCTAAGATGGAAGTGTAGAGAATGCCTTATATAAACATTATGACAGAACCAACTGCTGCAATTGAAGAACATAGTGATGAAGGGAGAAGTAATGGCGAAAAAAGTATGGATAATAATAGGTCAGATAACCTACTCTACGTTTCTGAAACCTCTCATAATTTTGAGGACCAATTATCCACAAGCAAACTCTCCCTCAAATCCCGCTTTAAATCAGCAGTCTAAAAATCATTTCGCTCTCCTCCCAGGAAAGTATTATCTTATATAATTAGTCATTATTTAACCTCCTTATATCTCACGAATTTAATACGCTACAAGAAAACGAGAGGAAATCCATCCAAATTAAATTCGAACCAGGTAATTAAGTATTAGCTACTAAATTAATATACCGCAAAAAATCTAAATGGAGGTAATAATGCATCCAAACACAGGAAATCAAAAGACATTCTCGCTTTATTAATGATGAATAGTTTAGCATATCAACTAAGGCATTCCAAAGGAAAATCAATTTAATTCATGGAACCAACTCTAGAAATCTAATTTCAATTGAATCCTTTTCTTTACTTCCAAAATCTTCAAGAAAATCTGCAATTAGCATTGTTTCCAAACTACAAAACAATACTTTATCAGGAATCTCTGATCATACGATCGACAAAAATGAGGAATCAGAATTACATAGGAACAGCAACAAGGAATCTAAACCAGTTAAATTTAATATAACAGTGACTTTTTAAAATACTGATATAGCAGCATACCAATTTAACAAACCAAAATATACTTATCACCACAATGAAGAAATCTAATAATTGCAAAGTCTTTCCCCAAAAGCAACTCCAAAGATCCTTCCTATGACTTTGCAACAATCTAATAATCATATTTCACTTGTATCAACTAAGAAATTAGATTATAATTCAACTTTTGTCAATCTAAAAACCAAGAGATTATCTAGGTTATCTGTTCAATAAGGGGTGACATAAGAGGAAGTCTAAAAAATAGAATAGCAAAACGAATTCAATAAAGTATTATTTTATATATATGACATATAGCCTGGGTTATTCTTCAGAGTTTATTATCAAAATAAATTATACAAATTGATGCAAAAATCCAATTATACAAAAGAAAACTTAGTAGAAATAGAACAAGGTTTTAGACCAAAGTTTGTCTCACCCAATACCAATACAATAATGAGTAATGCTTACACAATGATGTCGACAACAGAATAGGGAATAAGATAGAGAAAAATCACAAATGAATAATTAAGTGATAAAATTTAATTTTTGGGAATCAAATTCCCAAAATATTAGATTGAATCTGAGAAACCGCCCTTTGATTATAATAATGAATCATCCTTGGAGGGATCGGAATCTAGTGATGATTCAGAATCATAAGTGTCCTTAAATTAATTTCTAGAAAGTCCCTTGAATCCTAATAGTAATAATTTAAATAAATTAAAGTTAGAACCATTAGAAAAAAACAAAAAGCCATCTAAAAGAAAAAAATCACTTCAAGAGATATCAAATGAACAAGATGATTAAACTCACTTTTATAATGATCAACCTACAGATTAAAAATGTAATAATAATAAATTAAGTTATAGAATTATCCACTGGGTCATTAGTGCTAATAAAAAAAATAAGGGAAGCCTTTCATATCCCTTTAACTATTTAGCCAATTTTGAACATTTTGGAATCTTCTGCAAAAAATAGGTTGTTAAGTTATAGTGTTTCCGTTTGTGAAGACTTTCATATGGAAATAGTAGAGGATTTAGATCAAATAGCAAATTAAAAATTGTTAAAGTTTCAGAAAAATTCATAATTGAACTCTATGATCTTTCAAGCTGTCTAAATCAGATATTCTTAGATTTTGATTGGGAGGTATGTCAGCTAAACAAGAATGATTGACGTTGAACATTAAGATCCTGTTGTTTAAACAACTATTTTAGAAATATAGGAAAAAAATGACCAATCTTAATCTAATTAATCACAATCACAATTCTCACAGATTAAGAGCCAAAAAATGAATTCTAGCAAGGAAGCTGTTAAAGAGTCAAATTCTAAGAAGCCTTAGACAGGAGGGAAAATAAAGTAATCTTAAAGATATCTTACAAAATAAGATTCTCTTTAAGTTCAATAATATTAATCATGGAATAGAAGAGCAATGCAATCTGGAGATTTATCAAACACTCTGTAATAGTCAAATTAATAAAACTCGAATTTCTTTACTCAAGCCTCAACTGTTCTAATCACAAAACCTACATAAACATCATAATAGTCTGTTTTTAGAGTTATGAGTTCAAAGCATATAGATTTGAATAGTTCTCAATAAGATGCAAGTTCCTCATTAAATTCCTCATAAAATGAAGAAACTCCTTAATCTGGTTAAGTGTAAAAGAGTTCATAGACATAAACCTAAAACTAAACACAACCATAGCAACCCCAATTAATCCAAGTTTAAGCTTCGAATTAAATCAGTTCTGGTAGAAATTTGCGTTGTTTAGATGAAGATTCTTAGTAAGAACTACATGAATAATTTGACTTGGACCATTTATAAAACAACATGGTATTTGTTTTGCATTATATAAGAATTAATTAAGCATGTAAATGCACTCATTAAGAATGAGAACTCACATTAAGGAATCCTCGAGAAGGTAGAAATTAGATCAAATTTAATAAATTAAATTGGCAATTTATGATCATAATTATACAGAAGTAAGCTGATTGAATAATTAAAAATAGTTTATTGATAATATCTAGTTCATTCCAGAAGCTCAACTAGATACTCCGTTATAAAATGGAAATACGTTTCTTATTTTAGCTGCTTAGTGTGGATGTAGCGAAATTGTTCATGAGCTAATAAAGAGAGGTGCAGACATCAATATTTAAAATGTATGGTATTACTAAAGAAGGATGATGGCAATACTGCAGTTCATTTGGCTTTGGCATATGGGCATTACAAGATTGCGGATTTGTTAATGGAAGCAGGAGGAAGTACTCATATCATCAACAGAAAAGGATAAAATGCCTGGGGAATATTGTGATACTTATTATTTTTATTTATATAAATATATTAAAATTAAAAAATGGATCAAGAAACTCAGAAACCTATTTTGATGAACATTTATTAGTAAACATTTTAAGTTTAACTCTAGAAGGGCCAATCAAATTGGCAATCAATTAAAATCATAGAATTTTAGTTCTCTAAAATATCTTTTCAAAGAACTATAAAAATCAAAAAAAACTCCAAGTACATCTTAACATACTACTGCGAGTAAAAGAAATTAACAATCAAAATAGTAAGATAATGTTTAGGTTCAAACTCCTCAAACTAGTTATCGTTCTAGGCTATAATTAGTAGAAAAAAATGAATGGATCAATTTAATTAATCAAAAATCGCAGTAAAATCTTCAATCTGATCAAATTGCAATGACCGAATATCGGTATTTATAAAATTCAACTTAGAACTAGAGTTTAAATCGATTCTTTTTTCTAAAATGACTGGAAATAGCCGTATTATAAACCAGAAAAAATATAATAATTAAACTTAGAAGTAAATTAATATTAGCCTACCAATGATATTGATTCATGGAAACAAACTGTATATTAGAGATTATATCAGAAGATATCATGATTTAATTAAAACATTTTTGATAAATCACTAATCTATAATATCTTTAAAATATTAGTGTTGCAAAGCTTAACTTGCGGTAGGTCGTTATCCTGGTATATATTTCAGTAATTTTCTATTTTTAGAATAACATAAATTAATACTTTAACAAGTCTACAAAATTTGCCTTATCCTCTATATTACTAAACTTCTCATTGAGATTGATGCCTTTGTATTCAGGAAACTCTTGAAATAAATTGATGTCAAAAGGAACTACTTTCTAGAAATATTTAAGATCCTCCTCTGTAAAGGATCCCATTATTTTGAGAATTTAAAATAATTGATCTCCTTCGGATTTGCCAATAAAAAAGGGCTCCAATAATGCTAATTCAGCCATAATACAACCAAAAGCCCAAATGTCAATGGATTCAGTGTATTTGGTGACACCTAGCAATAATTCAGGAGCTCTATAAAATCTGGACACAATGTAAGGTGTATTCACAGCTGTTCCAGTCATCTCTTTGGCACTTCCAAAATCGCATAACTTAAGAGTTCCATCTTGAATCAAAACGTTTTCTCTAATCCAATAAAAATTAAGAATTTACGGTTTTAAGTCCCTATGTGCAATATGCTTTTTATGAATCTAATCAAGCCCTTTGAGCATCTAATAAAGATAGTTCTTAAGAGTTTTGGTATCAAAGTATTCCTTTCTTTTCCTATGATCAACTATAATATTTTCTAAATTTTGATCCATAAATTCTAGTACAATGTTTTAAACCATTTTATTATCTTCGCTTCTGCTGTAGAAAACATCCTTGCTATTTCATTAATCATACTATCAATTTAACAACATTAGGACACTATTTCAATTGCATTAATATATCGCATTCTCTGCTTGAGACTTTACCAACTTTTTGCATTCTTTTTAGGGCTACTTTTTAGTTTCTCTTTGAATCAAATGCTTCGAAAACATAACCTTAGAATTAACTAAAACTATATACCAAATGCTCCTGAACCAATAACCCTAGTGATTTCGTAATTAGGTATACTACCATGTGCTTCCATTTTAGATATTAGTTATTTTACTCACTTAAAATAAAAGTTAAGAATTTAGTATTAATAATGTGAATTATCATGTTAATTTTAATTAATGTATCCCTTATATTCTAGTTTAGTTCTCATACAATTTTTGTGTCTGCTTGCCACCTTAATTAAAAATGATCATAAAATCCAAAATTTCTAATAATTATGAAGTATTGAGGTTGTAACAACAGAACTGAATTAAACATAATTCAACTGAGAAATTGGAGGCATTTTTTGCTTATCCTTCTAAATTTTTGGAAAAGCTATGGGATTAAAATCTTAAAGCACTTTGAAGATACCTAATAGATAAAGAAATGTGAAATTAAAGTTGATTATAATAACAAGCAATGATTCAAATCCTATATAAATTCTTCCCTTAGTATCTAATTATAATATAAATAAAAATAAATAAAATGTCCAGATAAGCTCCATCCTCTGCTTAAAAAGTAGATCCCAAGAGGGCTCCTCCTCCTCCTCCTCCAGCTTAAAAAGGACCCAAAGCTTTTAATGCTGAAGATTATGCCAAGCCACCTCATCTAACAAAGGAGGAAGTCTTGGAAGTAAAACAAGCATTTGACATTTTCGATAATGATGGATCTGGATCAATCGATCCATAAGAATTAAGAGAAGCCTTTGAAGCTTCAGGAATCAAAACCTACCACAATAAATTTATTTATTAAGTATTGGGAGAATTAGATACTGATAATAGTGGAGGAATTGATTTTGAAGAATTTTTGCATTTAGCTACAGCAAAGGTTAGTGATAAAGATACTAGAGAGCAAATCCAAAAAGTGTTTAATCTGTATGATTGGAACAAGGAAGGTAAATTCTGATTCATATTTTAAGGTCGCATCACCTGGGATGAATTAAAGAGAGTAGCATAAGATTTGGGAGAAGAGATGACAGATGAGGAGATCTAACATATGTTCAAAAAGGCAGATTTGGATGATGATGGTTTTGTTACTTTTGATGATTTTTACAATCTAATGACCCAAAAGGAATACGGAAAATAATGATATCAAATAATGATAAACATATAAATAAAAATTATATATTAGATATTAATCCTTTGTTTGAAAACGTCTTGTATCTTATATTTCAACTTTCTTTATTCGATATTTCTCATAGTTTTTATCATAAAATGTCTTTAAGTTAAATATTACTTAATCTAGATATTCTAGAGATTATGTTCCGCTTTCAAATATTAATTAATATTAATATATATTAATAAACTAAATTTTGTAAATATGTAAGGAAACAATGCAACTGAAAAAAAGGTAATAGAGTTAAAAGAAGTATCTCTAAACCAGGAACAGATCGGATCAATATTGAAATAATAATAAAAAGATTTTAGACAATATAGCGTTGATAAAAGGAAGTCTCTAATATTATAAAGAATTGAAGATATTAAGAAGGACAGAATGCTTAAATCTGATGGAACAGTGCATCATTCTGAAGATTTTAGAAAAGCAAACAAAGCACTAGAATATTTCTAACCTGAATTCCCAATCCTTAAATTTCCCGTATTAAACATCTGTATTTTAGGAAGACACTGTGTTAAACACTTATGATAAAACTAAAAGATGGCTGAAAGAATTCGATTTCCCTAATAAAAAATAATATTGGCAAGAGTTTAAAAAGAGAGACTTTAAACATTATCCAGGATAGCCTTTTAGTTATGCACCAGGAGTTCCTACCTATTTTGAGGAATTCAAGGCGTACCATTACATAGAACATGAAGAATCTTAAGTTGAAAAATATCAACGACTCTAATAGTACAATATTTTATATCATCCAGGAAAAAAGTATTATATGTTTAACCAACAAAAGTAGTTGGAGGTGAATTTAGTAGACCCATTTTTGATAGGACTCATGTCCATGTAGAATTAAATCCTATTCATTAAGTGCAATATCTACCTAATCCTATTTCAGCAGATTCAACAGACTATAGATAGTTAAGTAGATAATCAATAAAATCTAAATTGAATGACATGCAAAGAGTTAAACCATTTACCTCATGTAGTACGAGAAGTTAGATATTTTAATAAAAGTACAAACCGTTGAATGCTGAAAGGACTTAGGAGACAGCGAAATCTTCTAAAAAACCTAATGATGATGATTTTGATATTTGATAAATATGTATTTATAGATATTATCTCAAATATAGAGACCCTCTGGAATATTTCCTTTTTTCAAATATAATATCTTTTCTTTAGCTTTTCTAAAATCTTCTTATGTTATCTTCATTCTTCTTTCTCTAAGGGCCAATAAACCTGCTTCTGTACACATGGCTTTGATATCAGCTCCAGATAATTCATCTTTAGCATTAATGAATTCATCCAAATTTGCATCCTAATTATTGAAATAAATAAGTACCTCTCCTAGATTCATTTTACTAGTGTGAATTTAAAAGATCTTCTTTTTATTTTTTACATCAGGCAATGGGAATTCTATTTTTCTATCAATACGTCCAGGTCTAATCAATGCTGGATCAAGAGATTCAATCTTATTCGTGGCAAGGATTACTTTAACATCTGCTCTTGAATCGAAACCATCCAATTGATTTAATAATTCAAGCATTGTTCTTTAAATTTCTTTTTCACCACCAGAGTGAGAATCATATCTCTTAGTACCAACAGCATCAATTTCATCAATGAACACTATACTAGGAGCATGCTCTTCAGCAACTCTGAATAACTCTCTAACTAATTTAGGACCATCTCCTTGATATTTCTATATCAATTCTGATCCAACCACTCTTAGGAATGTTGCCGAAGTTTCATTGGCAACTGCCTTCGCTAAAAGTGTCTTTCCAGTTCCTGGTTCTCCATATAAGATGACACCTTTTGGTGGTTTAATTCCCATGTCTTCATAGATTTCTGGATGTGTTAATGGAAGTTCCACTGCTTCTTTAATTTCTTAAATCTACTATTCAAGACCTCCAATATCTGCATAGGATTCAAGTGGAGCTTTATCAACTTTCATCACATTAAGAAGAGGATCAATTTCATCTTACATTATACCAACAACTGCATAGGCTATTTTAATACATCAAAGAGTATTTTTACATCTTTAATTTAATAGAACAGAACAACCTGGCTCCAACTAATCTTTGTCAACAAAACTCATGATTCCTGAATAACTTTCTGGACCAACTGAGGACGATACAATAGCATGATTTTCATTTACAAATTCTTCTAATGTTCCTACGCTTTCAAATTAGAAATTATCATTACATCATTGGTGTGCCCCTAAGTTATTCTATTTTTTTCTGCTCTTCTGATTCAGCTTGATCCTATTCTTTTAATGGCTTTAATCTTTATTAATTTTCAATAAATTCCTATTCTAAAAGCAGATAGTCTTTAATTCTCTCATTTTTAAGTAATTTTAATCTACACTTAGTAATTGGTGTTGCTTAGAAATATAGAATCATGAATACCTGCTGGTAATTTGGATGCCTATTCAACACCCTTTCTAAGCTTTTTCCTTCCTACTCTTTATGGTGGAGGGGGTGGTTTTTTTTGCTAATCCTTGTTTTAATTGTTATTATTATCTTGATTATTTCCTCTTCCTTGATTGGGATTGAAGGGATTAAACCCTTGTGGATTTTGATTTCCCATAGTGTATATTTTTAATTTAAATTAATACACCAGTATTGATAATTTTATTCAAATAAATAGTAATTTAATTGTCATTCTCAATATACAAAAGTTTATAAATCGCATTAAGGTAACTCAGGCTGAAATAATTTCATTATATTTCTTTGACTGGATTAAAATTTAAAATAATAAAAATATCATACAATTTATAAAATTTTGGTTAATGCAAAACTATGAAATAGGAATTCCGATTATAATTGAAGCATGTATTGGAATAGCTTCTTCTTTATTCTTCATACTCGACATTTCGATTCATTATACGATGAAACTATATCAATTGGAATTGGGGATCTTATATACTAATTTGATGCAGTCTATAAGTAAATAAAACCTCATGATTTTAAGTCACCATACTATTAATTCTTGACTTTAACAATTAAATGTGCATTTGGACATTGTTTTTAGAACAATGTTTGACTCTTTCAAGTTTTCTTTGGACCATCTTGATTTTATAAAAAAGTTGTTTACTGACTAGATACCCAATTTAAATAGCTTTAGAATATCTAAAGACTAATTAATTTACAGTATTAATTATTAAATCCAGCTCTAAGCTATAATTGCATTTGGATTGCCAATAATCGCTTCATCATTAATTTTTGTAAAATTAAATATTTGTCAACTTGATACGCTCACATAAGTTTCGACAAAACTATTCTGGGCAATACAATCGATTTTAACAATAATATTCATTGGAATAATCGCCTATCATATCATAAGGGTTCATTTGAATTGCAAGTTTGTAAAGAATATAGAATAAATTAAGGCCAAATTATACTTAGAAATTTTATACTGCCCCATAATATTACTGTTTTCATTACCGTGGATTGTGTATACAATTTTCAATTTTGAATTAGATAATTCTGAGGATGTGAAAATCCTTCAAGGTAATTATGAAAATCTAAACTAAAGGGTTATTTCTTTTAAAAAACTCGTAAATGATTTTCAGTACTTTTCTTTTTGGATAAAATTCGGCATTCCAAGTGGCTTTCCTTGAAAATGCATGCCCAATTTTAAGAAAAACTTATTTGGCAAAATATGATTTTGAAAAAAAGTATCAAATTCAATATCAAATTTAGAAATAATTAGTCATAAACTTTAAACATCGAAATTTGTAATACTTTATGTGCACAATTATTGATAAAATGATTATAAATTATAATTTATTAAATAAAATAATTAATGGAGTTTATTCAAAGCTTATTATCATTAATTGGTAATATTGTTATTGTTGCTTTAATGTTGACAATTGGACTCTTGGTGTTACTCTACTTCCAATAGAACTCATTAATATATTTGCCATGTTTAATTTATTCCTAATTTAATAAGCATTCTAAGGATTCCCCCAAAGTCCTAGTTAAAATATGAATGGACTCAGGAATCCTTCTGAGAGAAATTTATAATATGAAGATGTAGAGATTGGAACACTAGATAGATAAAAATTAAAAGGATGGCTCATTAAATAGAATGACAGTTCAAATGTGCCTACAGTGATATTTTTTCATGAAAATGCTGGAAGTATTTTATAATTTAATATTCATTTCAGATATTGGAACTAGATTGCAATTTTTAGAATTGTATTTTCAAAATGTGAAATGCAATATATTGATCATTGCATATAGAGGATATTCAGATAGTACAGGAAAGCCCTCGGAATAAGGTCTTAAATTAGATGGAGAATCTATAGTTAATTATTTATTTCATAGAAATGATATTGATCACTCAAAAATATTCGTACATGGCAAGTCTTTAGGTGGAGCAGTAGCCTGTCATGCTATGACTTAAAATATCGCAAAAGGCGTCAGAGGAGTTATATTAGAAAATACTTTTACATCAATGGGTGATATGGTTGATGTCATCTTTCCTAAATTGAGGTTTTTTAAATCATTACTTCTTAATAATCGTTGGTTGTCAATTTAAAAGGTTGGTCAGATTACATAGCCAATACTATTTATTTATTGTAATTTGTGATGATTATATGATTTTAGCAATGAAAGACGAAATCGTACCAGTGCAACATATGGCGTAATTACAAAATGCAGCCTAGAGAGCAAAATTTATTGAAAAGGTATTTCATTTTATTATTTTAAAGTTTGTGATCGAAGATGGTGATCATAATACTAATTGGTTTAGAGAACCAGAAAAGTACTTTAATTCAATTTCAAGTTTCATCAATAAAGCCATTACATCATGATTATATATTATAAATTAAATGCAATAAAAATATTGTGATGAATGTGAAGAAACTAGAGCCAAGATAAATTGTAATTAATGTGGACAAATTCTATGCGAGCAATGTGACAAAAAAATACATAATAAAGGAAAAAGAGTTTATCATTCTAGAGAACTAATCGAATCATCAGATTCGATCGAATCAAACAAAATCAAATAGGATGCTCATGTGATTAGACATGAACAACACAAGGAAAGGTTTAAATAAATAAACAGCAGTTTGCCATCTGTTGATGTTGTTAACTTCAATCTAATTAATATCTAGGCGGAAACACCTATGATTTTTTAGAATGAGTATTTTTATCCTTTTATTAAAGTTCTATTTTAGCTAAAATTGAGCATCACTTATTCAAACAGGCAAATAAAGGAGACCTGATGATTCATTTAAACGATTTTTAGAAATTTTTAAAATAGAATGAAATCTATAAAATCAATCAGTAAGAATCAATTAACATTTAGATCAAAAGATATCATATAATAATTAGAGAAATTGAAAATGATTAATGTTACTATTAGAAAATTTGGGGACAGTGACCCAATTTAGTTTATTAGTCTTCAGTTAGATCATATTAGTTTATAATCATTATATTGGGTTTTATTAAATATTAGGAAAGATGAGATGACTCCAACCGATAAATTAGTAATGAGTAGGATTAAGGAATGCTATGGTTTAAAACTCAATATTTAAGATTGGAACCATTATTTGGCTGGATTCTACAAGTTGCAAGATTCTAATGGATTAATTTAGTTTAATGTGAAAAAATATAAACAGAATAAGTGGATTGATGAAAAATGCATAATTAAAATGACCAAATGTCCTATTGATTTAGTGAATAAATCAGAAAATAATAATGCTTCTCTATCAGCTTCTTAATAAATTAATAATGAATCACTACTATTATTTACTATAGAGGACAATATCAATTGGAAAATGATGGATGCTCAATAAATGAATTCCATTTATAAGAGTTAATGGAGATCATTTATATAATTTTTAAAAGATTTTTTTGACACCAATCTTACTTTGAATACAAGTCAAAACACTTAGTCATTTGGAGATTTAAATTAATCTGATTATTAGTCATAATCATCCAAGTAAAGTGGAACCTAATCAGTACCAACTTAAAAAAACTAAGATAATTCAAAGTGGATTAGAAGTGTTGAATCTGGATTACAAAATGGCCAGAAGAGTCAGGAATAATATCACAATCAAAGCTATTCTTCCAATGTTACATAAAAGTATTATCAATTAATATAAGTAGAAAAAGAAGTAAAAAGAGTTAAATTAAACCACCAAAATCTATTTAAAAAGCTATACCTGGAGGTAAATATGGATGTGCATAGCTTTTAAAATGTTGTGGGCCACTAGAATTAAGAGTTTGTTCTTTGGGTGTTTTATGTCTAATGATATAGGAAGCCATTAACAGGAATGTCCTAATATACTATAAAACCTTATTAATTAAACCAAATACTAATATAGCTTTTGATTTCAATGATTTCTTAAATATCTTTGATGATTAATTTTAAGATTAATTCATCCTTTAAAATATTTTAGGGAATGAAGAAAATCAATAACTTTCTGTTGATAAATAATAACAATAGCATGAAAAATAAAATAAATTAAAAGCTGTTCAATAGGCAATAATAGATATTCTAAATGAATACACTAAAGGTGTTAGTTTAGCAAGATTGCCAAAGATGATTTAACGCAAAATTTAATTTACTTTTGATTTGCATGAACTTGGATTCACTAAATTAAAATGCTTAATTCAAGGTATTGATGGGATTAGTATAATAAATGATGGGACTACTTATGCTTCACTTATTTTAGATGAGTATTATGATGACACAAATGATATGAAATAAGAATAAGAAGATGATCAATAAGTGAAAATTGATTTAAAATACTTTTAAAAGTAATCCTTGTAATAATAACAAAGTTAATCTAATCCATAATAATAAACATAGCAATAATAATAATAATAATAGTAGCAACAGATGTAGTTTCTATCTCCAATCCATGTATCTGAATATTAATTAAAAATTGAAGTAAATATTTATCTTAATTTATAGCAAGCCTTAAAATAAATCCTTAATTAGTATAGTAATGGAATTCCAGCATCTTAACTTCTATAAATACTTTAACTGCATATATAAAATACATTCGAATATACCCAATTTGGCTGTTCAACTTTTGAAGAATATATGGTAAAATATGCTGAAAACTATTGTGATGTAATGATTAAGATGAAAGGTTGCATCATATATCCAAAAGGATATTCATCATTTAGGTCTGCTATTCCATAATAGAAAATGTAACTTGGAATTCATCATTAAAAATCTCAGTCGACTACCCTTCCAAGTTATGCTCAATAATAAAGTAATAGTAGTAGCTAAATTATTAAAGCCGATAGTAATTTTAGATTTATAATTTAGGCTTTTTAGCAGGTATGTAAAATCCTAGTCAAATGATTGGAGATGTGTAATCTCAATCCTTGACATTTCAATCATTTCAAACCTACCCTTAAAATAAAGACTTTTTTATGATTTAAGAAGAAAATAGTCATCATGAACTAGACGCTAATGTTAGATTTATAGAAGAACTATTAAAAGAGTCAGATGATGTAGAATAACAGAAACATAAAGTTTAAAGAAGTCACTAAACACATTAAGACAGTAAATAATTTTAGAGTTTGGGGCAATGGCCAAATTTAAATTCTAACGAGAAAAGATGCCATAATAAATATAATACTTATTAATATAGTCCTCAATAAGACTTTTACTAGGGATAAAAAATATCATTAGATCTTCACAGTTGGGATCAAGATAACTGATAATGTATATATAAAATTATAATCAATTGATAAATATAAAATAAAGAATTATAAAAATGATGACGACTATTAATTAAGTGAATGGAGGCTTAGGATGATCATTTGGAACTACAAATATTATCCCACCATGTCTAAAGGGGACTAATTTATTAAGATGTTATTCTGCCAGTTTTAATCTTTTTAGGGCAGTCTAAGATATTATTTGATGTTTTTGATGATTTGAAATCGACAGCATTGTTGGCAAGCAATAAGATAATTTCATTAGATTTTTTGGATCACATTCTTACAAATACTCAAACAAACTTAGATATAAAAAGCTTATACCCACATTATTGTAGCTTTTAGTAAACTTCCTATTCAATAGAATCTAAATTAAATTGTTTATTAAAGAGTTTTTCAATTTTAATTTTAACTCTATGTCTGATTTCATTCATCTCAATTTAATCATCTTCAAGTATCAAAGTATCCTCAATTTCTACTTTCCCTTAGCAAACAGGAAGTATTATTTCCTTTTTTTCTTTACTTCCAAATTGATCAATGCTATCAATAATAAACGCTTGATGTGTTGTTTACAAATTTTGCACTTTTTCCTAAATAAATGCGTATATGTATATATTATTATTGATTATTGAAACTCGATCAATTCTTGCCTTAAATTATGCTTTTTAAATTTCATTTTGTAAATATACTTCTGCATTATTGAAACAACCAAAATAATCATTACAAGACAAATTGCTATCAGGTATTTTAAATATTTGTAGTTTCAAAAATGCATATGGAAATAGATCTTGCTTTGTTTTAAGAAGAATATGATTGGCTGAGTCGACTTATTATTATTTTTATTCATCCTGTTCTGGAGAGCGATTTTACATTTTTATTATTTCGTGAATTATTACGCTTACTTTAAAACTATTAGGGGTAGTTTATATGTAAGATCTAAATTGTAAATTACTACAAAAACCTGCATTATGGGCAACAAGGCATTGTACATAATGACCTATACATGCAATCAAAACAATAGGTATGCCCACATGTTAGAGTAACTGGCTGACTAAATTATTATCTACATATTGAGCACTCCAATAATAAATCAATATTATGCTGATCATACATTATCTATTCTAATAATATTATACAAATTTTGATAAATTTATATGTATATTTTTCAAATTATTAGAATGTAAAAAGCATGTTTATATATAACTATGATATAAATATTAATCAATTTGTCTTGTTTAAACAGTGGCTATATCTTTGTTTCAAATAAAGCCGAGCTGGTAAATAGAATGATATTTCTTAAGACCATATAAAAAATGCTTTAATAAAATAATTAAAATGTTTAGTTTTAAGCCTGTGAAGTGGTTTTCATCTCTTCTTTTATCAAAGGTAACACTTAAATAGTAACTTTTGTTAGTTTCTCAAACCATATATAAAAAATTTTGAATCTTAGAATATAGATGTTTAAATTTTAGATGGAGAAGTTTGTTTGAAATAACTGGAGTTGAGAAATGATATATTGATGCAATTTGGTATTGATATAGAAGTGATTGATTCATCTTTTGGAGAAGTCAAATTGATAATTCCATGGAACAATTTAAAAACAAAAGGAATAAGTGTAGAAATAACAAATGCAAAAATTGTTCTATCCAATAAAATTGAGATGAGTGATTTTAACAAAGAGTAGTACAAAGACCATTTAGAAAAACTAAAAAGAGAAGTGCTGGCCAAATTTGACGAAACCGTTTAGAAAGAAGATGCATTTTCAAATGGCTCATCAGGAAATAACTTTTTTGCTGATTTTGCAATAAAAATATTTGAGAAGTTTGTTCTCAAAATAAACAACCTAGATATAGTATTCATTTATCAAATCAATAACTATGAAATTGTAAAATTTGGATTTGGATTTTAAAGTTTGCTTATAAATCAAGATGATATTAAACCTAAGAAAGATGAAATTCGGAAAAAAATAGTAGCAGATAACATCTTTTTACTATTTGAAGTATTTGACAATGTTCTCCCTTCTCAATTACAACCTGAATCCTTCATTCCGGATTAAAATTAATCGAAATAAGAGGAAAAGAAAGCTATTCATATTCTTAAGAAACTAGCTCTCAAAATAGAATTTAGCTTAGTATTTTCTGAATAAATGGAGATAGAATTAAAAATAGCTACAATCTCTGATGTTCTCATTTACTTAAAACAAAGACAAATCAGATTATTATTAAGGGCAATGCAAGATATTGTTAATCATCGTAATGATAGACCAAAAGAAAAGCCTAAATATGGGAAAACTGCAAAAAATTGGTGGGTTTACATCATCAGAAGAGTAATTGAAAAAGAATATATTCGAACAAAAGTAAGAAAATAAGGAATAACTAATTACTTTAAAGTCTAATAATATATCGAATTATATACAAAGAAAATGTTAAAATAACATGATGCAAAAAGAGATAATAAACTAATGGGAGATTTTGAATAAAAAAATACTATTTCTTAAATTTTAATTTTGAGAAGTATTGCGATAGATAAAATTCTTGAAATGAGAAATATATTGCGATCTAATAATCCAAAAGATCAAAAAGTATAAAAAGAAGCTCAAGGATGGTTTAAGAGATTTTAAAATGATTTTAACATGGAACATGCAAGTAATTTAAAGTTTAGTAGAAATGTTATTGATTCATACTTATCTTTCATGAAAGAAAAGGAAAGTAATACAAGAGTTTCTATCATTTTGGATGTTAAAAAGATAAATTTATTAATCTAAGAGAATTAAATTCTGTAATAATTAAGAAATCTCCATTAGCAAGTTAATATATTCAAATAAGAATTAAATTAGAAAAAGTCACTTTAGACAAAAGTTTTGGACCATATTAAAAATAACTTTCTCTAAAAAATTACTAAAGTCACAGTCAAATCATCCGAAATAAATAAATAAGAAGATTGGAAATTAGATGAACTGTTGAAAGAAAAAATATTAATTAATTTAGAAATAACTGAAACAAAATTAGAATTAGTAAAATAAGGTTAATTTAAATAATTAGTAAAAGCTTAGATCCAAAAGTTAATCCTATTAGATACTAATAAATTCAACAGTCATTATTTAAAAATTGTTGAAATTTCAGAAGGAATTAAAGTATTAATGAGTTCAGAACAATTGGAAAGATAAAAGAAGATCCTTGATTTGGATCCTTTAGAAAAGACAATACAGGTCTATTTAGATATTCAAGTAGGTCCACTTAGTATCACACTTTGCAAACCTCTTTATGAAAGATTGATATCATTACAAAATTTAATATTTTTCGATAAATCTACTGTTCAGAATGATAATTAAGAACATTCAAAATATTTTGACAACTTTTTAATATTAACAAAAAGAGTTTAATCTAACACAAATGTCTCTTTTTCTATAAGCAGAATAAATATTTACTTGCCACTTTAATATTAAATAAAGACACAAATGTTATTGATACATCTGAAACAAATTAAAATATTTAAAAGAGAACATGAAAACAGTGTTGTTAATATTTACCCTGCTGAAAATTCTAATGGATAAGTTAGTTAATATCTTAAGGATTTAAAAACAAGGTAAACTGTTAATAGAGTAGCATAATAAAATCAAAACTTAGAGGAAAATTAAAATTTAAAACCTGTGTACTTTTCTGTTGATTGCTTAAGATTAGCATTTGTATAAGACTATGATTGGGAGAATAAGGAAAATATTTTTAAAATATAATATAGGAAATTAAGAAAAAATGAATAACAGAATGGAGATCCTGGAATTGAAACCATTATTGAAACACTTCCAATAAAAATCAGAATGGAATAATCCTAAAAGATGATAACTTTAGAATCGAACAGAACAAAAAGTAGAAGTAAAATGACCTTCAAGAAAAAAATATATCCGAAAACATCAATGATAACTATTTAATTGCCGTTTTTGGATTTTAAACTTTCAACTAAGCATTTATTTTTAATATTGTAATTAGTTTCAATCTGGTAAACAAAAGGCTATGATTTTTATGATGTAATTGAAAGTAAAGTGTAAAAGTAGGAACATAAACAATAGCAATAATATATAAATGAAGATTGTTAAGAATAATTGAAAGACTATATGATTAGTTAATTGTAAGTTGATATGGAAGGTCTGCAATTGTCAGTTACCGTAAATACATAAGAGTTTTTAGAAAAATTGGATAAGACTAGTTCCCATGAAAATCGGCTTTTTCTGTTTTACTTTTTAAATTTAAGTTATTTAAAGGAGGTTAAATTCTACGATAGCATTCAGCACCTAGCCATATAGGAGTTAGCTTTATAAAATATTAATTGCCATTCATATGATTTATAAAACCCATTGAAGGTTTTAGCTAAATAATTGCTGAAGTATTCGGATAGTGAAAAAGAATAAAAGATCTCAAGTTTTGGAGAAGACTTAGAAAGGGTAATGAATTAATAGTCTGAAATAGAATAAGTTGCAAACTCAAAACTAAATGAAAATAAATCAAACATAAAGAACTCTAACAATGAGGGATAGTCTCCATAACAACAAAATGATAACGATGATTAGGTGTAAATAGTAGATGAAATTCCTCCGGATGAATTATAAGAAGAAGTAGCTCCTTAAACTATATTCTCTTAAAAAAAGGGTCAATTTTAGATTCCTTCCCCTAAGCATTCGTTTTTAGATAACAATTTTCAAGAGGTTTTTGAAGGTGAACTATACATTAGAGAGTATTTTACTGATAAAAATTGCTAAAAATGTAAAGAAAAACATAGATTATTACTAACCTTTATGAAAGTTCAAGATGATTTGGGTCCTGATGTCTACTTTCTATAGACAAGTGATTCGCAAAGATCAAGAGTGGTAATAAATTTAAAATAGTTAAACCTTATTTTGGATCCAGATATAATAAAGAAAATGAGATTGATATTTGATATTGGGAATTTGGCAGCAGAAGTTAAAAAATAATAGTTTACAAAATGGATGAGGGAAAATGGATTTTGGCCTGATTTCAATGAAGTTGATAAAAAATAATAGTCAGAGACTCAAACTTGGAGTACAATAACAAGTGATTTATTTTAGGAGACAAATAGAATTGAATTGCAGATTAATTAAATAGTGCTGATGCTGAACTATGAAGATTAAGTAGTGTATTTAATGAATATGAAATTTATTGATACATAAATATCAAGTAGTTAGTTATTTAAAAATATCAATATAAAGATGCAACAAGTAAGACTATTTGATACAGCTGTCATTGGTGGAATCCATAGAACTATGTTAGAAGATTATGATGAACAGAATGAAAATCAGATTTAATGCTAAATTTAAATTTGCAATAATCCAGATTTAATAAGAATAAGAAAATATGCTACATATTGTGGTGTAAGAATTTAAAGAGCTAAGATTGTATTTTTGAAAAGGAATACAAATGAAATTTAATATTATTTGAGGAAAGTGCTCATTACATCTTTTTCAAGTGCCCTCACAGATAAAGATAGAAATGAATTACTGAAAGTTACAGAGACTTAAAATCTAAGCTTTACGACTTAACCTAAAGATGTAGAGGTTGATTCTGAATTTGGGTTTAGATTTTCTTTAGTCGCTTTAGACTCATTGGGAATCGGATATAGAAGTTCTTTATCAAATGAAGCATTATACATTTAATTCAAAAAGGTTGGCTATTGGTTTAGTGGAATCTGGGGTTAATAATATGATAACCTGATTAAAACAGGTTTGTTTGATGATGAAATAGAAGAATAATAAAATATTAGTGAAAATTTTGTAGAAGCTAAATATTTTGAGGAACCAGGAATGGCAGAAGAAACAATTTTTTAAGAAATAAATCAAGAATAGATGTAGGAGGAAGAAAATTTAGATTAAAGGGTTAGATAAATTGTCTATGTATGGGGCTTAGAAGTTCGATGTTCCCCAGGAACAGACGTTAATGACTTATTTGTCAAAGCTCCAGAAGATAAAGTTTCATTGGAATTATTTATAGACTTTTGTGATGAGACTCCAGATAAACTATTTTGCCTTTAAGAAGTGAAACCTATGAGAAGTATATTTTTCATTTATATCTTATAGTTTCAATCGATATTTAAAAGCTAAATATATATGCTTATGATTTAGATTATTGTACTATTTGTAAGTTCTTTATGGATAATTTGGGAGAATAACCATAAACAATAAAAGGAAAATATGAATACAATGAATTTAATGAAAATATCTGGATGGTTTTAGATATAAACATCAATAAGGCTATAGCGAAGTTTTTCAAAGGAACTAGAGAAGATTGTAGGAGATATTATTAATAAAAAGGAATATCATAAGATTAATTAGACAAGAATTTGTTGTATAAAAATCCTGCTTCTATTGCTATAGCCAAATTACAAACCCTAAATTACTAATTTATGATGAGGGAAAATGGAGCTAAATTTATGAGATTAAGCGTTCAATAATTGACGCTTTCTGATTTTAGGAAATCATCCACTATGAAACATTCAAAGGAAATTCTGTTTTCACTTATAGGGGAATAATTTAAAGGAGATGAAGATTAATCCATGTCTGATACTAAATAAGAAGAATTCAACAAAATTCAACTCAATCCTGTTGATGAACTTGATGTAGAATAAGTAGATTAAGATTTAAAAGAAAAAGAAAAAGAGAAAAATAAATAAGTCATAATAGAATAGCAACAACCTAATTCTGCATTAGATGTAAAAGGTATTTAAAATGAGTAAGAGCAATAATCTCAATTGTTGCAATAATCATAAAATAAAAAAAAGAAAAAACTAAGCAAATGGTAAAGATTTGTTAAAAAGTTTAAAGAAGCATTATGTTGTAAAAAAAAAAATAGGAGAAATAATAATTCAAAGGGCAAAAATAAAAGTTCATAAGAAAATTTGTAAAACGAAAAAGAATAGTAGCAACTAATATAGGCAAAACTAGATTAGTTACTTGAATATGGTCCAGAACCAATGGAAGAAAGAAGGTGGCTAAATTTCAGAGAGAGACAAGTCTTACCAATCACTCTTGAAAATAATAATCATGCTGATGACAAGGATGATTATGATTATTATTTTGGTGATGATAATCATGATATTACTAATCAGAAGCCTTATCAAAAAAGACAATAATAACAAAAAGAAGATTAATAAAAATAGGATTTATATTTTATAATGAAGACTAGGCCAGATGGAGAAAAATTAATCAAAATCAAACTTGAAAACAAAAATATTATTTTATTAATCGACTTTATTGTTGAAGTTGTTTAATTCTTCAGATAACCATACAATGGAAGTGATAAGCAACCTTACTAAAGAAATCCTCATTTTAACAATTTCCCACCTATGGTGATAGAAATTAATGTTGTGAATGTTTGGGCTATTGTTTTAGGGGATTTAGAGAAAGAGCATTTTGAAAAATCAAAATCCATAGGTATTCTTTTGGATTGCAATTATTCATAAACTTGGTTAGGTGACAGTTGGTTTGGACCTGGAAGTTGTGAAAAAAATATTGAAGCTACTTTAAAAAAATTATACATCTTTCAAACCAATCATATCATTAACTTAAAGTAAGATGAATAATCCAAGAAATCAACAGAAAAATTCATAATACCACCTCACCCTCCCTTAAGAACCCTATTAGAACCTTTCAAGGTTTGTATTAAAATGAAGTACTCTGTTGATTTCTATAGAAATGCTTTATTAAATTAAGAGATTTTTACATCTGAAGGAGTTCAGGTGAAAGAGTACTATACAGATTATAAATATTATCATAAATGTTATCAATCTAAAAATGAGTGGGAAATAAGTTTAATAAATTCTGCGAGATTAAAAAATAATTTTAGTCTCTCAATTAGAGATATTGCAGAATTATAATAAATCATTAATATCTTTTCTGCCAGAAAATCTCCTGAAGGTAAATACCATTTTTATAGGAAACCTTAACCTCCAGATCCATTTATTGATGATTGTATAAATACAAAAAAGATCAATATAGAGATGCTCAAGATTCAAATATTGAAAAACAAAGATGGAGTCAAAGCAGCTTAATTTGAATTGAAAAATTTAAGGATGTCTGATTTCAAAGATAATAAAAAGACTTAATTAAATCTATTAGCTTGTGTATCATTAGACTATTTTAATAAGAGAAAAATGGATTTCGAGCCTTTCCTTGAACCTTGGAAATTCACTATTACAACTTTGTCTTAGATTGAAAAACCTCCCGAGAATAAGGCTATTGATAGAGATTCAAATAAAATTACAATAGCAAATCATATTGAAAAGGAACTTAAAGGCGAAGAAGTTCCATATTATCTAAAAGATCATACAAATTCATTAAATATTAATATCACTCCTGCTTTAGTCGAAGTAGCTATGGAAGCATTGAAGATTTACAATAAAAAAATGGAAGATGAAGAACCATATAAAATTTTTAATAGATGTGGATATGCTTTGGAAATTAGAGATATAAAAAAGGACCAACCTGTGAGAATTATTTAGGAGGATTCAGAATATACATATAATACATAAAAAGAACTTTGGGCAAAGGATTTTAAGAAACACAAGTCAGATTAATAATAAATGTTATTAAATTTAGTAATTTTGAAACCAAACAATTTAAAAGATAGAGATGAAGAGGAGGATGAGATTAAGGTCGAAATTAAAGTTGTTGAGAGTATTCATAGTAATAACTTTAGAAGAACGACTTTAGATTTCCCAAGCAAAAGCACTCAATCAAAAACTTTGATACCTTAAAATTAAACATAAGCAATGAATTAATATTCAAATATGAATTAATCTTAATACACAAGGAGTAGAATATACAAATCATAAAGAAATGAAAAAAATATTAGTAATTACAAAACAATCAAGTACGTTAATTTTGATTTTGTGGGCAAGAAATTTTATCCATTGGTAAGATAGCATAAGAATGAATAACAGGACCTACACAGTGGGAAAAAAGGAACTTTTGATGCATTTAAAACTAATATCGATAAAATTACTGGAGTTTTCTTAGCTGACACTAAGAAAATTAATGAAGAAAGGAATATCTATATTCAAGTCAATGTAAATATCAATCCACAGAATGGTTCAAAAGAAATTCAAATTTAAAGTACTGTGAAAATATACAATTATTTAAGTACTTCTTTAGAATTAGGTTTCCAAGTGAATGGATAAATGAAAGAAACAACTTCAGTTAAATTAGAACCAAAATAGATTTATATTGTTCCTTTAGAATTTTTAGAAAATAAAACTGAAGTTAGATTTACACCAGAGAAAATCTAAAATCGTCAATAAGACGAATAATTAGAAAGAAAATATTATCAATTAGACACATTATTGTGTGATCAACAATCATTAGGAGAATTTGAAGTTGATAAGGATAATTCAATAGTTGAAGTGCTAGAACAAGCAACTCAAATTGTAACATCCTAAGGTAAATCAAATCCTGTAATCAAATCCGAGTTTAAATAAATTCATGATCCCTTAAATTATAAATATGATCACATAATAACCTCTATGAAAAGTAATATTAAAAGAAATAACTTTTATTTCATAATTAATTGTGTGAAAATAAAAAATTAAATCACCAATTAAAGGAAAGCAATGATTAATTTCAATGAAATTGGTGATTAAAAACCAAGTGAAGATGATAATGATGCTTGTTATGAAACTTATTTGATTTGTTATCCTATTTTTAAATTTACAAATGCAACAGTAAGAGACATCAATATACATTATGGTGTATTTTCTTCCAATAAATAATAATCTGAAAAATAACTACCTTGTTCACCAGTAAATCCAGATTAGCATTTCTATTGTGAAACATTAGATTATCATGATGATATTGAAGTTTAATTTTCGATTGAAAATTAAATAAAATTTGATCAAAATGAACCATAAAATGAAGATCTATTTAGAACTAAGCCATTTAAAATATTTAATAGAGGCTTTGGTCTAGGAGAAGAGAACAAATTTTAAATTAAGTTTAAACAATCAAAAGGTAATGATTAATACTTGACAGTTCTAATAAAAAAAAGATCAACTAAGTCAAGAGAATTAGTATTATATTGTCCATACTTAATATTTAACGAGACAAATAAGCTATTGATATACAGAGAGTATGGATTAACTTAAGATATTCCTTCAGATGACTGGGTTTATTATTAAAATTTTAGTAAAACCTATTAAAAGAATAAATAAAAGAAAGAAATAGAGTAACATTCTTAATATCATAATTTACATTAATTTGCTACAAGCACAAATATGAACAAAATATAAGTTGCCATAGGATAATTAAATGATCAATAAGTGTCAGATATCTCTAAGTGGAGTAATCCAGTAAGCTTATAAAATAGCAATGTTCTAGAAATAATAGGATCAACTGAAATTTTAAAAAAAGATCATGAGTAATTACCATCAAAAGATAGTAAAAAGAGAGCAAGTACAGATGCCAAAGGAAAATTTGAATTTGGTATGGCAATCACAAGTGGCCCTGGATCATTTCATAGAAGCAAATTAATCACAATTACACCTAGATTTATAGTGCATAATGAAACATAGTATAATATAGCCATGGCCTAAGTAGATACTGAGTATAGAGATAATAATCTGTTGAGGTTGAAACCAGGAGATTGGAAATATTTTAGCTGGTCGAATATCAAAAAACCTGCTCTAGCCATGATCTCTTTTTATTAAGAATCAACTGGTCTAATATCAGGTTGGAGTGGGTACTTTAAACTATAGGTTTAAGAAATCTCATTAAAAATTCCTAGTATTAAACCAATTATAAATAACAATAATTCAGATTACTAATAACTTTATGTACTTTAGAAGGTTAATATAACATTAATGGATGATTTAATCTTATTAATAAGATTCATATTAGAAGATCCAATAATTCCTCCTTATTATATAGAAAATTTAACTAAATATGAAATCACTTACAAACAACAATCATCTAGTCAAGCATAAAAATATAGATTAAATTAAGCTAATCCAATTATGTAAAATAACGAAATCAATAGGGGCATTCATCAGGTAATAGCTTCAAATCCAATTGGATCTCAAGATTAGGAATTAATATAATTTTCTGCTGGAGGAAGTGAAGTTACTTATTTATAACCTGGAGAAAGAGTAGCTTTTACTTGGGATCATTGGATTGATGACAAGGAACATGTACTAGAAGTTGAAATTGAGGGATAAACAGAGAAATATGAAATAGATAAGATTCAAAACTTTTAACCATTAACATTACCTGGTTAATCATAAAAACGAAAAAAACTAGTAAATAAGAAATATCTTTATAAATAAGGAAATATATTTATTAAAGATTTGGATAAGCCCAAAGAATATTATTGTACTCTCAATGTTTTGAAATAAAAATTTAATGTTTATTCTTCAGATAAGAAATAACATGAATCATATTATTTATAAGGAGCAAAAGTAGATGAAAGTAAGGATAATGAATTTGTATTAAAAATTAACCCAGAGAAAATGTTGTCCAAAAACTTACATTTCCAAACTAAGACAGTTGATGAAGCAAATTAATGGGTAGAATATTTATGGAGAGCAATTTTAATTGATAAACCTGAAATGGTGGAATTAAAAATTGAGCCATCAAATTAAACTAAAGTAGTTACTTTTTTTTAAAATAAATCAAATGATAGAGCTGATTCTCAAAAAGAAGGATCAGAAATTTAGTAAGATAAAGAAGAGGACACTTAACGTTAATAATTTACTTGTTATAAGATTTCAATAAGTAATTGTGTAAGTATCTCTATTATCGATGAAACTCCAAAGGAAATATTATAAATCTGCTTTAAAAATATATAAGCTGAATATATTTTGATAGAAGAAGTTTAGAAAGACTTTCAATTAAGATAAAATTATGATGATGATGATAATACAAACGTATTAGCAGAAAAACCATAAATAAAATAAATAAAAGAGCATATAAACTTATCAATAGATTTAATTATCATTAATAATTAAATAATAAATTCACAATTCCCTGTTTTGCTAGCCCCTAATAAAAAGAAAATATTTGGAAATCAATAACCATTTTTTGTATTGACTACTTACAGAAAAGATTAATCATAAATAAAAAAGTCAAATGCTAGTATGAATAATGGAAGTAGAGTAGTTGTTAAGAATGAATCAAACGCTTAAGCAAACTAAGCTTAAGCTAATGATTAACAATAGAACCAGTCCAAATTTAAGATTTCTTATATTCACACCCTATAAATGTTTACAGATACCTTAGAAATTAGGTTGGATCATTAAATTTTAGATTAAATAATATAGTATTATAATTTAATAGCAGCCATTATATGGGATAGTAATTTTAGTGATGTATAATCTTCAAGCAATAGCTAATTTGGATTAGGATCTCTATAAAAAAAATAAGAAGAATAGTTAAAGAAAATAAAATAACATAGTATTAGCAAGATTTATCTCAAAAATTTAATGCTGGAGCCAATTGATATATGTTTTACTTTAAAGTATATATTTGATGTAACTATTTAGATCATCTCCAGGGCACGTCATGAATTCATCATCTATAGGAGTCATAGCAGATTTGGGATTAACACTAGCATCAATTGACAGTGCAAAAATAAGATTAAATGCATTTAAGACTTAACATATATTTGGATCAAGTAATGAAATTATTGGCAGAATATCGAAGCATTACAAAGGGTATGTTTATACAATTAAATTCTTAGATAATTTTTAACATAAATTTATAAATTGTTAGGATCATTTGAAATATTTGGAAATCCAGTTTCTCTCATTTCAAATTTAGGAACAGGTGTAATTGATATGTTTTATGAACCAATATACGCTCTTGTCACAGGAAAGAGTGGTTACAAGGTAGGAGAAAAATTCTTTACTGGAGCAGTAACTTTAATCCACACTTCGATAACAGGTGTGTATAAAACAGTTAACACAATAATTGGAACAATAATGAAGATTCTTGATTAAATGACTTTAGATAAGAAATATATGTCAGAAAGAAGCAATAGATTGAATAGAGCAATTAAAAATTTTAGAGAAGGATTGATAATTGGATTCACTAATTTCGGAAAGATTTTATTTCAAACAATAATTGGAGTTTTAGAAAGACCAATTACTGGAATAAATGATGGTGGATTTTTAGGCTTTTTGTTGGGAATTTACTAAGGAATAATGGGAATTATAATCAAACCTACAGTAGGAATTTATGATCTTTTAATTACAATAATTGAAGGAATAAAAAATACAGCAATATATGAAGAACATATTATGGACACTCGATACAGACCACCAAGAATTTTTGGAGATAACAATCAATTAATCCCTTTTAATTTTAAGCATGCCATTGGTACAGATATTATAAGGAGATACAAATTGAAAGTTATTGATGGAGAAAGTATTATCTTTTTTGATTAACTCAATATATCAGATGGAGACAAGAAAAAATAAGAAGCTTAAATAGTTTTGACTGATTCACGAATAGTTTATGTTTTGGTAATATTTATTTTTATACTTTTAGTCTCATTCATCTATTCATTGTGATAAAATAATGATTTACAAAATTAAATCAATAAAATACTAGGAAAGGTAAAAGGTGCTGAGGTTTAAGCTTCATACTCCTGTTCGAAAATCTTGGTTTTAAGCAAATTCAACTAAATATGAATTAAAATATGAAAGTAAGATCAAAGCCATCAAGTTGGCTGAATAGATCTAAAAATCTTTTAAAGACAAATATAATATTCAATTAACTAATTTAAAGGAAACTTCAAATGAAAAAAAATGATCAACTTAATATATTTTGTAAAATATGTCAATTTTATTTGCTTTTAATTATTTGCAACAGTTTTTTAGACAAGTTTTATGACTCAGTCTAATTAAAATATTGATGATTCAGAGCATCCCTTAAGGAAATTCTTTTATTTGGGTTATATTATAACATTTTGGATAATAAATCAATTCCTTCACTACTCATTTTTAGCAATATTTTATATAAGTAAGCTGGGTCTCTCTTTTCAAATTGAATAATTTAAGTCAAATTTAAAAAACCAGGCCGATTTATTTCAGACCAGTATATTGACCATTTTCGATAATATTTGAATCTCACTTTCTCCTGAAAATAAAGTGTATCGGAGATAGAATTCTGCAAATACACAACCAATTGCCCACACATTTAAAGCTGGACCATATTTTTATGAATTGAAAAAGAGTTCGGGTGCCCTATATTAAATAGTACATGTTTATGTTGTCATAGGCTTATCCTCCCATAATCTTGCTGAACCAAAGTCTATTATTTTAAAAATACCATCTTCGTTATTAAAACATATTTAGGATTTAAAATCCCAATGCAGTATCATTTTGGAAATAAGTTCATCAAATCCCTTTAAAAATTTTAGAGAAAAATTATTTTGATGTCTCTATCTTAAAATTATTCGCCAGTTCACTTTAAGATTAAATTATACAAAAAGTGATGCCATACGATCATAAACAAAATAAATTGAGCCAAATGTATTATCATTCTTTTTTTTTGATGTTTTCATTAACACATGCATAGGTATGATTAAATTTTAGTGAATCATATTATTCATAAAGCTGACCTCACATAAACTATAAATTTCCAATCCGCCCTTCTTTTTTAAGGGCTTGAACCTTTTTATTACTACAAATTATGGAAGAGTTTCTATTTTCACTAATGAAGGAATTCATTGAAATATTCTTTTATTATTTATAGATTTCTCACATTTATATAGGTAAATCTTATCATATGCTCCTCCTGGTAATTTTTTTATTTTTTTTACTTTTGTATAATGATCATGATCCACTTTGCATAATATTAATTGTACAAACAGTTTAAATTATGTTTGTAATATTTGTATATTGAATCTAATCTTAAATTCTTTTTAATAATTGATATTTGATATAATATTTATCCATCTATCGATTATTTAGTTGCTTATTTAAATCAGTAAAAGGGACATATCTAATTCCTAAAAAATTTTAAATATTAATTTTCCATTTTGATCCATATCAATCACTTAAAACACTTTGTTTCCCTTACCAGGAGAAGTTAACATACGACGACGGCCTTTATCCAGTTATTCTAATCGTTTTTGTGATATTTGTTTCAGCTGCAGCACCTGCATGAATAGATTAATAAGGGCCTTCTTACTCAAACCCTAATCTTCCATCTCCTTTTATAATTTATTTTTGCTTATCTTTAAACTATTAATTGTATACTCTCTATGATTATTGTAATTTACTAGCTTAAATTTGTGATTGAGTTTTCTTATTATAATTTCATCATTAAATAGATTGCAGCACATAAATATCAACTACCAGAACCAACATCAAGAGCTCTTACTCAGTTTTATAAATGAACCTTAAGTAATCTCTATTTAGTCATACAATACTAATGAATAAGCATGCATATGAGGAGCAGATATTGTTGCATTAAAGCCTATTTATAATAGGTAATCTTCATTAGCATAAATTTATCAGACTCGTTTATAAATTATTTGCGATCCTCAAATAATAAACCTTATTTCACAATTTCAGATTTAATAAAGCCTTCTTTAAATAAATTTTGCACTAAATTTTCTAGTTTATTATTCATTTAATTAATGGACATTGAATTTTAAATAAAGGAAAATAAGGTAGCGATACTTATCATTGGAATGGCAGGCACTGGCAAAACAACTTTCGTTTAGGTTAGGAATCAATCATTATTATTAGCAATTAAGCAAGCAATTAAAAAATGAGAAGCATACTTTAATTAATCTCGATCCCGCTGTTTATTCATTACCTTATGAACCTGAAGAAGATATTCGTAAATCAATTAATTATAAAGAATTGATGACTAAGTAAGTTATTCTTTTATCATAAATTCTAGAAATAAACTTGGTCCTAATGGAGCGATCATGACAGCCCTCAATCTTTACTCACTTTAATTAAACTAATTAATTGAAAAAATAGAAAAATCAGACTCCAATATATAAATTATTGATACTCCAGGACAGATCGAAGTTTTCACTTGGTCAGCATCTGGCAATTTAATATCTTAAACATTATCTATGTCTATGCCTACAATAATATTTTATGTTATTGATATTGCAAGATGTTAAAACCCTAATAGTTTTATGAGCAATTTATTATTTAGTTGTAGTATATTCTACAAATTTAAATTGCCTATGGTTATAGTTTTTAATAAGTGTGATGTGGCTGATTCAAAATAACCATTAGAATGGTTGAGAAATTATGATTCATTTACAGAAGCTTTAAAGAATAAGGATACTTATTTATCTACTTTGAGCAAATAAATGGTTTTGACTTTAGAAGAATTTTATAATAACTTTACAGTATTGGAAGTTTCATCATTAACTGGATAAGGTTTTGAAAAAATTAATGAAGTTATTGCAACTGCAAAGTAAGAATATATGAACATTACTCTTGTGGATATTTAAAAGAGAATGAATGACTAAAAACAAAAAAATTATGACAAATAAATCAATCAGATAACTTAAAAAATTTAGAATTTGTGAATTATAGATAATCATTTTTTACGGTACACTCTTTCCTTTTCTTTTAAATCCAATATTAGTATATCTTATTCCTTTAATCTCGAATCCATCTGATATCTCAATCTCTTATCTATTTCTTATTCTAAAATATTTTTAAATAATTACATTTTTTTAAATCCATTATAATCAAATTTGCTGATTCTTAATCTTTTTTTAGCAAACTAATTTCACTTTTTAAATTTTCTAATTCGTTACATTAATCTCTTAAACTCATCTTATCATTTTCATATTTTGTGATTTCATTAAAATGTTTAGCTTCTAATTCTCTAATTTAATCCCTTTACTTTTTTTCTAATTCTTCCATTTAATCTTCATATTGTTCCTGAATTGCTATTCTAATTGACTCTTTATATTCGTTTAATTAAGATTTCAAAGCTATTATTTCTGCTTCTTATTAAATAATTCTTCTTTAAGCCTTATCAAATTCCTCAATTTATTCTCTAGCAATTTAAAATGAATTTTTCATTTCTTGAAATGTTAAATTTAAATCAGCCACACTCTTCCCATCTTCTATTGTTGATTAATTTAAGAAACTTCCATGAAATGAATTTTATACCCTTCCATCTTATTCGGTTCTCAATTCTAAAATTTATTAATCTTTTTGATCAATTTCTTCCTAAAGTTTCTTGACTTTTTCTTATAATAACGATTTATCCGCTTTTTGTTTCTCTAAAGATTTTGTTAGTTATTATATTTTTTCTAGTTCAGCATTTAATTTTAAATTTTCTGCTTGCTTCTCATGCAATTCATCTCTAATTTGCTCATAAGCTTATTTCCATTTGGTCTTCTCTTCTTCCAATAATTTTAGTTTTCGAGTATCTACATTCATTTATAAAGAAGGTTATTCTTATTATTATTACAACTATTTGATTTCATCAATCTTGACTTATAATAATATTTTTGATTCATTTAATTGCTTCTAAAGATCTGTTATTTTATTATTCAACAACTATACGGTATTTTTTGAAAAATCATGAGTACTTTCTTTCTCTTTTTAATCCTCTACAACTATAATTACATCATCCTCTTCTTTTGGTTAATTTATTTATCTATTTACGACTTTAGCAATTTCTTCCTTTGAAAATTATGCTTTGTCATCTTTAATTATATCTTTGATATTCTCTGCCTTTACTTTCTATTCACTTTAAACTTCTTATTAAATTTAACAATTTGCAAACCAAGGGTGTTCTCTCATTTTTTGAATATTAAATCTCTTCTATGGATCTCTTTACAATAATCCTTAAACCAAACTCTTAGCCAAAGATGGGAAATCATTTGGAAAATTGATTTTAACTTTTAAAATATTATCCTCAAGAATCTTTTAGGATTCTTTTTGATCTTTAATTTATGAGGAAGGAGCGAAAGGTGCTTTTCCTGTTAATAACTCATAAATTAAGACTCCTAAACTCCAATTATCTATTTTTTCATCATGACCACATTCTAAAATCATTTCTGGAGCCAAATAATCTAATGTACCACAATAAGTTGTTCTTTAATGATTATTGATATTAGACCAACCAAAATCAGCTATTTTTATATGTCCGTTTGCATCTAACAATATATTTTCTGGTTTAATATCTCTATGTATAATTGGAGGATTTCTTGTATGCAAATATTCTATTGCTGACATGGCTTCCTGCATAAATTATTTGACTGTCTTTTCATCAAAACGACCTACTCGATTCAATTTTTACCATAATTACCCTCCTGTTGCGCATTCTAATATCAAATAAATATAATCCTCTTCTTCATAATGATTGTATAATTTTACAATATTAGGATGTTCTAATCCATACATTATTTTAACCTCATTGATGATTTATTAAGTCATTTTCTGTTGTTTTATTTACTTTTTGGCTATTTATTTCAGAGCAAAAACCATTTTTGTTTTTTTATGTCTTACTTTGAATACTTTTCCAAATGCTCCTTATCCCAATCCTTAAATTACTTCGAAATCTTGTGTACAAGCTTCTCTTTCCATTTTACCCTATACTGTTGGTGAGAAAAAGAGTATTCTCTCTTTAACTTAGTTAATTACTAAACCAGTCTACATTTATTCTTCTGAAAATTTATTATTACATAATATTTAATCATTAATTAGATATCAATAATTTTTATTGTATTAGTCATCATACAAAGTTGGACTATAGGTTAAACAAAAAATGTTGATTTAAAATACACAATAAATTTCATTTGCATTCATACCAATTATTTCCTATTTTAGCATCAACTTCTAATGGTAATTCAAGTTAAATTTCAAAAGGATTTTCCATTAATTCCTTGACAATCTTCAAAGCTTCCTAAGCATTCTCTTCTGGTCCTTCCTATAAATATTTTAAACTATTTAATTACAAGAATTAATTCATCATGAACTTGCAAAAGTAATTTGTATCCTAAATCCTTCAATGATTAATTTTTATATATTTTAACCATAGCGGCAATTACAATATCTGCAGCCCCTCCCTAAATCGGAGTATTTATTGCTGCTCTTAATCCATGATTAATATAAGATCTAGTTTATTATTAGAAGTATTTTTCCAAGTATCTATATCTTCCAAGTAAAGTTTAAGTGAAAAATTAATTTTTTGCAATCATTCTCACATTATATTGCCATTATTCCTAAATTACACAAATATAATACCACTTCTTTTCTTTAAGCAAACCAAGCATCTATAGTTTTTTATGCTTCCTTCACTTCACATTACCAATCCTTTGCAAATCCAGTTGCAGTTTTACCATAAGCTATTGAAAAATTCAAAACTTTAGCCTTTCTTCTTTCTGCTGCATATTTGTCTTTTACTAATGGAGCCGGTGCTTTTCCTTTAGATTTGTCCCATTCAATTAATAATTCTCCTTTATCTATTTCTTCCTAGATATGAGGAAACATCGTCTTAAAAAAGATTAATAATAATTTCATACAATGACAGTTCTAGAATGAAAATCTCCTCCTTTTAGAAAAGCGTCAATCATAGCTTTACATTTAGTCATGTGAGCTAATACTCTTAATTCCAATTAACCATAATCAGCCACTATTAGTTTATTTCCCTTTTTAGCTATAAAGGATTTTCTTATTTTATATCTATCCTTCTCTAATGCAGGTTAATTCAATAAATTTGGATTTCTAGAACTTAATCTTCCAGTTTCTGTATTTATATTAATACTGGTATGAATACGACCTGATGGATCAGTTAATTCAATTAATGGGATAATAAAAGTATGTAATAAAACTTCTATGCTTTTTAATTCCAATAAATCATTTATTGCAACGCATGCATCAATACCTTTTTAAGGTTCCCCTTTACCAGCAAAGTGATGATATATCAATCCGTATTGTTATTTCTCTACATCCCCTGCTAGTTACTTTAAGGCATTATAATCAGCTTACGGCATTCCACTAGGAGTATAACTTAAAGGTTCTATTCCTAAACCCTTAATAAGCATTTCAGTATATTTTAGAGGAGTTCTCTAATTCTCTTTAACAATTTAATTTATGTTATCAATTTAAAATCCTTTTACTTCAGGTAGATCTTCAACTTCTTTCCTTACAGATTTCTTCCTTCCATCTGAAAGATATTCATCCTCTTCTTCTTCTTCTTTCATTGTTTAAGGAGTCTTTTTCACCTATTATTTTTTACATGGAGCAAAGAATAATTATTATAATTATTAAGTACTACTACAATTGAATTACGACACATCTCCTTCTTAGGTAGTTTATACCCATTTAATAAAGTTTTATTCATATTATTTCATATCTTCTTCAGCTTTTACCTTAATGTTTTTTACGTGATCCATATCAACCTGCATACCTTCCCTCTCTAACTCTGTTAATATTTCTCCTAAAGAATTCCAATATTTACTATAGATATCACCTAAACTATTAATTCCAAATTCATTTTATTTTGTCTTATAATCAGAATCTGTGGGTTTTAAATTATAAAATATTTTTGTTTTATTTAATAAATCTTTTAAAGTGAGACATAAGAAATATGTTATTTCTGAATCTAAAGTAGAATATTCAACCCATTAGTTAATATATTGAGGGAGACAATGCATTTATAATATCTTAGGATATACTTTTAATTTACTAACTTAACCATTTTTTAGTTCTTTATTTTGTCCAAAGATCTATTTCATACTAGTTTTGAGATTGATATCAAGTAGATGATCTCCAAATAATTAGAGGCTACTTCTTTCTTCATCTGTTAAGTTGGGTTTTGCCAATAAACATTCCATTCTTTTAGTTTTAACTAATTTTATTTCTTCTTCGTAAGCTAATGATAATTTAGCTAAACTATATTCTTAAGGCTATTTAGATGGATCTAATAGTCTGGCCATATGCATAGTATCTCCAAAAAAGCCTCTAACATTAATTCCATTATTGCCAAAAATGTGTTTATCAAAACCATAATTATGCCATATTTTTAATATCTTTTCATCCTCAAAATAATCTTTAAACAACATAATTAAATCACTATTCTGAGCAAAATTATCTATAAATAATCTAGGACCATTCCCAAAATTAACTTCAGGACCTGCAAACGCACTTGCACAAATTAATCTTCCTCTATTAATTGGAGTCTCACTCTTAACATCTATATCTATAGTTTCTGTATCCCATGCATGAGGCTATTTTTTGTATTTATTTAATATATCAATAACTCTTTTTGCATCATTTATATTTCTGACAATAGTTACACCTGGTTACTCTTTTACATCTTCGATTGTCTTATTGTAATAAGACCGATATAAATCATACTCTGGTGTTTTTGAACTACCTCCTATTCTACTTTTAAGTGATGTTATGTTATTGATTTAAGCAAATTTACAAAATCGAAATTTTATCATAAATTTATAATCACATTTAATTATATCAATCTAATTTATTATAATTCAAAAGTTCTTAAAATAGATGTGAAACCTTAAATACATCACAACATACAATTTAATACTTTTTAGGTATATTTTCATTTAGTAATTGACATTTTTATAATTAAATTATAATTCATCATCTTCCAAACTTTGAGTATTAATAATATGAAATAACATAGCATAGATTATGAATAATGTCTCTTTTAATGCAAAACAAAGAAAAAATAATTAATAGGAAAAGAGAATAGATTTATATATGTGTTTGAGGATCGCTTGATAATAAATAGAAACTAAAATAAAGGTGATCCTGCAAGAGTGATTAACTTTGAAAATTTAATTAGAGTAAAGTGGAACTATTCAATAAATCCAAAATCATTCAAAACCTTTCTTAAAAGCTTTACTTTAGAGACTAACAATAATAAGGAATTATTGAAATATTATGCGGACTTTGAGATGTTAATAGCTTTAAAAAAAATATTACAGAAATTTGTTTAACAAAGTTCTCTTGAAGATGAATATGAAACTTAGCAAGTATTGGGAGAGGGTAGTTATGCAGTAGTATTTCAATTGAAAAATATTTTCACTGGATAGCAATATCCCGGAAAGTGTATAGAGAAAAAAAAACTTGATAAAATTGATAAAGGATTAAAAGCAGTGATGAATGAGATAGAAATTATGAGAATTTTAAGTCCAAATGCTTAAATAGTTAATTTGCATGAAGTTTATGATGGTGTAAATAGTATAAATTTAGTATTGGATTTATGTTCTGGAGAAAATTTGTAAGCAGAATTAACAAAACGCAATTTAATTCTAGAAGATTCAGAAATTAAAATTGTAATTACTATCAATTATTTCAGATTATGCATCACCTTTTATTAGCTGTTGACTATATTCATAGCAAAGGAGTCATGCATAGAGATTTAAAACCTGAAAACATACTATTTTAGAAACCATAAGATTTTACAACCTTAAAGATAGGCGATTTCGGACTTGCCGCAATATAAACTGATACTCCTTATCTTTATCCTAAATGTGGTACTCCAGGATTTGTTGCTCCAGAAAGTAATTTCTATGTTTTAATTAGAGTAAAGTTGCCAATTTAGTTGAAAAAGATAAAGAATATAGTAGAATCTGCGATATCTTTAGTTGTGGAGCAATTTTTCATTTGCTTTTATTAGGAGAAGGAGTATTTCCCGGTAAAGGACATTTGGAATTACTTAAACTAAATAAAGAATGCAATATCAATCCAGATGATAAGAGATATGATATTTTAACAATTGAGCAAAAAGATCTATTGTAAGAATAATTAAAATTATAAGATTTAAAATGCTTAAGACTAATCCTGATCATCGTCCTTTTGCCAAAGACTTACTAAATCATCCATATTTTACTAATTAGAAATTAAATGCTGTTGGAATATTCAGCATGAATGTGATAAAATTCGAAGACGATAATACTTTAGTTATGTAAGATTAAATCCATTCTCCAACAAAAATTGGATTAGAAAAAAGATTTTCATTTTTATAAATGAGTAATGAAAGAAACACTCCTTTGAAAATTATATGATAAAAATTATACTGTTCATTTGTAAATCATTTCGTTTAGATAATTATTTATTATATTCAATTTATTATAAGTGAATTTGGCCTTAAATCATGGAATCTTTAGCTCAATAAATTAAGGGATTGTAATAGAAGAATCAAGAGCTTTCTTAATTAGAAAATAGACTGGTTTAGTTAAAATAATAGTTAAAATTACAAGAATCGAATAATCATATAATATAATAGAAAGTTAACAAAATATTGGAAACTAAGGAAAGCACATATTAAGATCAGAGAGATGTAAATATTAATTGTAATTGTAGTTATTAAAATAACTTGAATAATCTCAAAGCCTCAAAGATGCTAATTATAATCGTATTCGTTTAATGAAGCAATAATAAGTGGATGAAACAATGAAATTAAAATAATAATTATCAGACGATAAACTAATGAGAACTCTTACATAAAAACAAAACTCACAGATTCTTTAATATCAACTCAAAAAATTAAAAGATCAGGAGTTATATAATAAGCAATAGTAATTTAACAAGGTAACTTTTGAATAAGAGTATATTTTAGATTTCAGAATGGGAATTTTAAATGAAATAGGATCTAGAATAAAAGAAAAATGAAAAAATTGAAAAAATAAGAGGAGAATAATTATAATATAAAGCTTAATTATCTTAGAAGCTAGATCAATAATAAAAATATTATCAAAAATTATATGATGAAGAATAATAATTGTTGAGGTAATTTTGTCTTATAAACAAGTTAGCAAATTACACAACTCATAATCAATTGCTTAGAATTTAAAATAAGACTTAAGTTAAGTTTAAAGCCTTAGTATAAAATTTTATAACAACTCATTGACTACTATCTCCTCCTCTATCAAATCATATAGTGTACCAAAATTAACAAAGAAATAATTAGAAAGTCCTTATGCTCAAATTCCTGCAATTCTTAAAATTAAAATCAATAAGTAATGTTAAATATAATAGTAGAGAAAAATCTTATGGTGGAAGCGAAAATTTCTTTCCTTGCATTGAAAAACCAAGCCATTAAGAACAATAAAAACATATGGAAAGACTGTATTAATCTAAAAATTAACTTCCGCTGAATTAACAACATGAATATCAAGTTTAGAAAACAGGGATTCAATAGTTTAAATAAACAAGTCAATCTCATTTTGAATCCTAAAGTCATAATCATAATAGCAATAGAACGAAATTTTTGAGTTCAACTTAAACTGGAAAATAGAAAGATTTCGGCACGATAACGAAAATGACAGAAACAAATAGGTCAAACAATCAAAAAAATAACAATACTTAATAAAAGGATACCTAGGAATAATAAGAATAGAAAAAGATAGAAACTTTAAATAATTCAAAAGATATTTAAAAAAAAGAAGATTAATTAGAAAAACAAAAAAGCCTAAAATAAGAAAATCAAAAAGAATAACCACTTTAAAAAGAACCTGAAGAAGTTGAGGAAAATTATGAAGATGAGAATTACGAAGAAGAATTTAATCAAGAATAAGAGTAGGAGTAAGAATAAGAGTAGTAGTAAGAGTAGGAGTAGGAGTAAGAGTAGGAGTAAGATTAGGAGTAAGAGCAAGATTAGGAACAGTAAGAAAATGAGCATTAATCAGAATAGAAAGATAATAAAGAAGATTATGAAGATGAATATTAATGATATGAATTTAAGATATAAATATAATTTCTAAATATACAAATTATATAAATCATATAAATAATGTACATATTCTTGCAATTATTGTCTAAATTGGTTAATATATAAGCATAGCTCCCAATTAGTATTCCTTTGCATTTATGTCTATGCTGTCTTTATGTAATTACCAATTTAATTCTAATAGCACTATTATAGCGTATGCAACAAAAACACATGATATTCCGATTAAATAGGTTATAACTATAGCTTAGAATTGCATAATAGCAAATTAAATCTAACTTATAAATATAATAATTGGGCAAATCATCATGAAAACAAATGCCTTCTTATTTTCAATATTCTCCTTTTTGATAAACGAATATGCTTCAAATCCGATACCAATTCCTGTGAACATACTTAGAGCGATGCATAATAAATATTCCTTTAATTAAGTTTTGCTTTAATCATCAGTAGTATTATCTTCTTGCATTACCATAAAGCTTGTAATGCCAATAAGGATTAACGAATAGAAAAATATTTCTATTATTACTAAAACCCATTTAATTATCTAGATATTAATTAAGGTATACATAATTAATTCTTCGATGAAATATCAAAATCAATGGATATAAAATAAGAGAAAAAGCTAAGCTCACCCAAAATAAAGCAGAAAATGAATAATCTTCTCCTTTGGGTTTAATTAAAAAATGAGAAAAGCATTAAGGTTAATATCCACATCCAAACATTAATGAAATTTGCAAAATTAGGATGATAATTGAAAAAAAAGACGATATCTGTTTAAGATATTTTAACTTAATCTCATAACTTCCAATACTTAAATCATTCTAACCATTTTGATTTTTTATTATTGATTTGGTTAAGCCTACTAATAGTTGAAATTAAACTCCTAATAACATGCAACATAACACTTAAATATCATCGAAAGTGAACTTTTTAAAAAATGAAAATTTACTTCTTTTTATAATTTGTATTTTTAAGTGATTTATAACATATATGAACTCAACCATGTAATAATCATAGTCACAAATGTTTAAAATAATGGTGAATATATTCCTACAAATATATTCAATATGAATTCAATTGAAATTGGAGTAATTAATACAATCAACCAGCATTCTATTAATGGATATATATGATATTGAATACCTTCTCCTTAAAAATGAGTGCTTGTCATATTTGAATAAAAATTAAGTAATAAGATAACACCTCCAATTTACAAATAAATTCTCCATAATTAATCTTCGAAATTCACTCCTAAAAGAGTCCAAATAAAAAGAAATGCAAAACTCCCACAAATTAAGTAAATTACACTTGTTAATGTATTCCAAATTTTTTTATTTTAATTTTCAGCCAGAGAAGCACTGTATTCAAAATAAAAATGACATAGTTAGCAAATTATGATTAGGCCCCAAAAGATCCATTATTTTTCATATTAATATATATATTTTCCTAAAAGTGAAACACCGCAAAAACACTAAGATTTAAGAATTAATTTTACAATGTATTCTAAGAGCAGGAGAGTGTATGTTTTACGAATAAATGTATTTCGATAATCATCTAAACTGATTCTAAGGGGATATAATCTTTAAATACCCATTTTTATCAAGAAAACTCTTTTGCATGGATAATATTTCCATATAACTCATCTTTGATAATGCAATATTATATAATTATGAAAATAAATAAATATTTTTTATACCATGAATTTGTGATGGTTATCTCATTATGCTTCCTTCTTTATCAGTTCTACTATATCTGATCTACAATTTGGACACTTACGGCTATTTGATAGCCAAGATTTACAACAATTTTCGTGAAATATATGTTTACAAGGGAGCTACAAAATCTACTCCTCTTTATATATTAAATACTCTTTACCTTTCTGGAACTCATTGCAACATATGCTACACTTCTTATTGGATTTGCCCATTTTCATTCTTTTAATTTTATCCATAAAATTTTTAGGAACTCCATTGCTTTTATGAAAAACTTTATTTAAGTTATTTTCCCATAATTATTGTTGCAATTACTAAATAGATAGATACTATTCTTACTTATATTTCTTGTTAATACCCTTGAGCAACTAAAATAATAATAAGTTTTACTTTGTTCCCAAAACCTAATCTACATTATGTCACTTTGTTCATTTTATTAGTTCTCTTATATTTAACAATTTTTACTCCTACATTCTTCCCCAATTAATAAATTCATTATGTTTATGTTTTAGTTATTGTCTTTAAATTTTGTTCGATAATTATTTAAATTAATCTTTGTAAAATATTATATCAAGTAATATACGATATTCGAATAAGTATATTTTAAATTCTTTTTTTCTTATATTTAATTATTATATTTGATATTCAGTGTCATAATATTA